GTGCAGCATTAAATAACAAACACTCATGCTCTCTTTCAACCCTCCTGCCCCTTGCACCCTGGAACCAGTGTGATTCCCTTGCATGCCCTCCCACCCTCACCTTGAAACTTACAGATGACTCCCTTTAGCCCCTCCCCCTAATGTACATGTGTGACCCCTGTTTGCCACTCCCACCCTCCCTTCAAACCCACATGTGTACCCCTGTTAACCCCTTCCATCCTCCCACCCTCCCCCCAAACCTACAGCCGGTACAGGTGTACCCCGTTTGCCCCTCCACACCCTCCCCCCAAACCTACAGGTGTACCCCTGTTTGCCCCTCCCACCCCCTCGATGACTCCCTGCATCCCTGGCCTTGTGACTGAAGCATGTCAGTGACTGGTGGAGTGTTTATTGATTATGCGGGATGCTGCCTTAAACAGCTTCATTGTTGTTGCAATAATGGACACAAATTATACTCCTCCTGTTCCTTGGGAGTGTATTTGCCTGTACCAGGCCGTGTTTGTCAATTATACTGAATATGCCCCTCCACTGGGCAGCTTGTGGAATAATGCCTGCAGTTTACCCCACTTCAGGGACAGCACTAATACAAATAATGGGTCGTCCAAGCTTCGGTGCATCACATCATTGTAGAGAGTGATGGATACAGTGTCTCTGTTATGTGATATATCTGCTTAGAATGGGGGGATACGCCCCGGGTTCTTGTAGGGGGCCTAGCATGGTCCTGTTGGTGGATGGAGGGCCAGTATGGGGGGATACCCCCCGGGTCCCTGTAGGGGGCCTAGCATGGTCCTGTTGGTGGATGGAGGGCCAGTATGGGGGGATACCCCCCGGGTCCCTGTAGGGGGCCTAGCATGGTCCTGTTGGTGGATGGAGGGCCAGAATGTAAGAGGGTGTTAATGAGAAATATGCACTTGGAATTGTTCTCGTTTCACCAGTAAAACTTAAGTTGACATTTTTGTTGACATGCTTATAAGGGGAGTGTTCGGACATTCAATGGAGATTTAGTACAAACTACATTTGATTGAGATTCACAATTTGTGACAGATTGGTTTGCAATGGTTTAATGGCGAAGTATTTGTTTTGTATTGTAAAGTTTTTTGTTGTTGGTTTATGGTTCTGCCATCAGTAAAGATTAAATATTTAAAAAAATAATTAAAAATAGAATGTCAGAATCAGGTTTTTTTACCTTACGATTCCAAATCAAGCTTTAGGATGATTATAATAAACCTGTACAATGCATTTTATTTTTTGCCTTTCAACCCTATTTTTCACTATCAAAGTCTTTGAAGCAATGGTAAAAAGAATGTTGTACTGACTGATCTGCTGATGGGATTCTACAAGATCAGATAGTCGTGAACTGTAGGAAAATATGTTGAATGTAATCCTTTCCTTTGAACTACTCAGAAATAAGTTGATGAAATTCTTCAAGGACTGATAGCTAAAGCACACCAAAATCGAAAAATGATATTCCAAAAGATCCAATGAATTTAAATGACATGAATATGTGTCGATGAATTTATTCAAGATCTCATATACAGCTTGACTTTGAACTGTAAAATCTGTTGATGAAATTCTGATAGCTTTCAGTAATATCTGTCCAGTTGTTAAGTTCTGATGCTTTGTGTTGTGGAAGGTCATCTCTTGACAAGGATGCCCTCCATCTGCGTCTCCTCTGACTGCCTCACATCAACACCCTGTTATGACTTTCTACAACAGTTAGTTTCATTCCGAGGTTGAGCAATATCTCGTTTAACTGTAAGAAAGTCATCCTCAGGATGATGTTGATGCAAACGATGCAGCATCACTTCAAGCTAAGCCGTCAACGGCCAAAGTTTGCCAGCCTGTTTGTGTGGGTACCATTGCTCCCTTTGATGTCCCTGATGATAAAATGATACTGAAACATTCTTCTGTAACACAATAATGCTGTGCGTTATTCAATATTCCAATGTCACTTTGTCTTTGATGGTCTGAGCGATGCCTACAAGGCAATGTCAGGGCTCCACTAAATGTTGTAGGATAGTTTTTGTCTAATTGTGAATGTAAAGATCCCCGGAGGATGGGTCGGTTGTAGAAAGCTGACTTCTCGACCCTGCTGCCAGCAGGATGGGCCGCAATTTGTTGCTTGTCAGGGGCTATAAAGAAATGCCCACACTCTAAACAATAACTACTCCCCAGGGCTACAGGAACCATTTTGGTGAATAATGAATGCTCCCTTAGCTTTTAGTGAAAATTACCTTGGCAATGAAATATATGACCTTGGTGATATGGTGCAAGTTGCTGATGTAGGAGTGAGACTGAGAGGTGACAGTGTGGAGATTATGGGGATTTCGGGGGATACTAGCCCAAACATGGTTCTTAGCATCCTTGTCAGTAGAGTGTAGTCTCACGGGGACAATTATCAGCTAGGCTTACTGGCGGAACAGACTTTTACTGGACTTTGGTTTCGGACAAGCGACTAATGACACTGACTGGATGTTTATTTTATTCTGAATTTCTGGGTTAAAATATGTCATGCATTGGAATAGATATTAATATAAGTGTATTACTATCTGTATTTTGCAGGGTAATTTTAATTGCTTCAACTTGTTTGCTTGTGTTGATTGTTCACCAGATCGTCTGACAACGTGATGGAATCCATTGTTTTTGACATCACGGATGGATCAACATGGCGTTGTTAACACATGTGGACTTAAGCATTGCATGTTAAGTTGCAAGCATCTAAAAATATTTGACAAGGTGTTGATGTACATGTGCGCTGTCATCTAGATCAGACACGCAGGCTGAAGGTCAGTGGTAGAAACGAACAGTTTAAGTCCACTAGTCCTTATGACGATAACATATATCAAAACCCTTAAAAAGGGCAAAATTCTACCCATCCTTATGATACCTTAACTTTTGAGCAGTTGCGTGGTGGTGTAGGGGCAGGTTGTGGCAGGGTGTGGCAGGGTGGCAATGGTAACTAGTGAAAATTTACATGTGGGCTGTCACCCTACAGACTGATGACTGGTCAGTGGGGAGGGTGTGTGTGACTGGGTGGGGCTGGGCGTGGCAGGGTATTACCATGTGGGCTGTCACCCTACAGGCTGATGACTTGTCAGTGGGGAGGGTGTGTGTGACTGGGTGGGGCTTGGCGTGGCAGGGTATTAACATGTGGGCTGTCACCCTACAGGCTGATGACTTGTCAGTGGGGAGGGTGTGTGTGACTGGGAGGGGCTGGGCGTGGCAGGGTATTACCATGTGGGCTGTCAGCTACAGGCTGAGGACTTGTCAGTGGGGAGGGTGTGTGTGACTGGGTGGGGCTGGGCGTGGCAGGGTAGCAATGCTACTACAGTGATATTCACTCATGGGCTGTTACCAACGGTCTGATGACTGTGGGGACGATGGGTGGGGCTGGGCGTGGCAGGGTGTTACCATGTAGGCTGTCACCCTACAGGCTGATGACTGGTCAGTAGCCTGCAGTGTTAGAAATTGGCACAAGTTCTGTAGTCCAACTGCCCAATAGTTAAGGTGCCATTAGGACAATTAGAAATTTGCCATTTTTATTGGTTTTCCTGGATGTTATCATTATAAGGACTAGTGGAGTAGAAATGTTAGCTTCTACCACTGAGTAAGGTGTCCTCCACTTGTCTCACGTAGAAGTGGTTTATTATTCATCAGGAGGAAATAGTGGAGTAACTGGAGACAAAATCAATTATTCTGACCATGCTGGGAACTCCGGGATGTGTTGACTGGGTGACGGTCATGCTCTGACACTATCCAGTAGGCAGCTGTACAGTGTAGTCCCACAATAGTCAGCTGTACAGTGTCGCCCCACAATAGGCAGCTGTACAGTGTAGTTCCACAATAAGCAGCTGTACAGTGTCACCCCACAATAGGCAGCTGTACAGTGTAGTTCCACAAAAGGCACCTGTACAGTGTAGCCCCATAATAGGCAGCTGTACAGTGTAGCCCCACAATAGGCAGCTGTACAGTGTAGTCCCACTATAGGCAGCTGTACAGTGTAGCCGTACAATAAGCAGCTGTACAGTGTCGCCCCACAATAGGCAGCTGTACAGTGTAGTTCCACAATAGGCACCTGTACAGTGTAGCCCCACAATAGGCAGCTGTACAGTGTAGTCCCACTATAGGCAGCTGTACAGTGTAGTTCCACAATAGGCACCTGTACAGTGTAGCCCCACAATAGGCAGCTGTACAGTGTAGTCCCACAATAGACAGCTGTACAGTGTAGCCCCACAATAGGCACCTGTACAGTGTAGCCGTACAATAGGCAGCTGTACAGTGTAGCCCCACAATAGGCAGCTGTACAGTGTAGTCCCACAATAGACAGCTGTACAGTGTAGCCCCACAATAGGCAGCTGTACAATGTAGCCCACAATAGGCAGCTGTACAGTGTAGCCCTACAATAGACAGCTGTACAGTGTAGCCCCACAATAGGCAGCTGTGCAGTGTAGCCCTACAATAGACAGCTGTACAGTGTAGCCCCACAATAGGCAGCTGTGCAGTGTAGCCCTGCAATAGACAGCTGTAAAGGGTAGTCCCACAATAGGCAGCTGTACAGTGTAGTCCCACAATAGGCAGCTGTACAGTGTAGTCCCACAATAGGCAGCCTTACAGGGATTTACCTTGTTCTACAGCAAATGTATGTACACATTCCTGGTGTATTAGCCCGAAATTTGGCAAATATTTTCAGTCTTAGTTTATAGACTAGAGTCAGCTGATTTCACAAGACCAGAAACATTTACTATTTCAGTCTGTGCCAAAAACAAGTGAGACTAATACCCCGAACTTGGCTCTAAGCATCAGTTTCAGTGGAATTTAGTGTTATTATGTGGACTAGTGTAACCGAGCTTACTGGACCATGCCGAATTTCACTTGACTCAGGCTTTGGACTAGCAGTTAAAATAGCAGACTGCTATTTTTTGTCATGGGCTAGTTGCTGACAATAAAGATGCAGTGGACATAGATTGTCAATTATTTATTGTGATTTGCTGATGTTTCAGAGTTGCTGAGTCTGCAGGAAGAGATAACGTGAATCCACTGTAAGGACCGACGGACCGACCACTGTGTAGCCGGCGGGGGTTGTCACCTAGTATGCAAGATGGCGACCCTATCGCTCAAGATCAGCGTTGTGGGGAGCAACATCGTCAAGACGATGCAGTTCGAGCCGTCCACCATTGTCTATGATGCATGTAGAATCATCCGAGAAAGAATCGCCGAAACCATACAAGGAAACCGTAAGTACTTTGGGGAGGGATTATTGTGCAGGTCAGGGTGAAGGGATAATCAGTGTTGACGACATGAGGCTGTAGGAAATGCCTGTGAATGAAGTCCCCAGAATACCCCAGTTTCCTGGTGTCCTGTCTAGTGGTAAGATAGATGCGATGTCAGTGGGTATTATGAACCAGGAAGTATGATACTTGCTTGTAAGTCAGACCATGTTGACGGCATCCTTCAGGTGGGTAGAAAATATGTTATGAACAGTGACAAGTTTGGGCTAGTAGAATCCAAGGTGGCATAGACTGTACCAGGGGTTGGTGTGTAGTTTGTTGTGGCATAGACTGGACCAGGGGTTGGTGTGTAGTTTGTTGTGGCATAGACTGGACCAGGGGTTGGTGTGTAGTTTGTTGTGGCATAGACTGGACCAGGGGTTGATGTGTAGTTAGTTGTGGCAGGACTTGACCAGGGGTTGGTGTGTAGTGTGGACCAGGGGTTGGTGTGTAGTTTGTTGTGGCATAGACTGGACCAGGGGTTGGTGTGTAGTTTGTTGTGGCATAGACTGGACCAGGGGTTGGTGTGTAGTTTGTTGTGGCATAGACTGGACCAGGGGTTGGTGTGTAGTTTGTTGTGGCATAGACTGGACCAGGGGTTTATATGTAGTTAGTTGTGGCAGGACTGTACCAGGGGTTGGTGTGTAGTTTGTTGTGGCAGGACTGGACCAGGGGTTGGTGTGTAGTTTGTTGTGGCAGGACTGGACCAGGGGTTGGTGTGTAGTTTGTTGTGGCATAGACTGGACCAGGGGTTGGTGTGTAGTTTGTTGTGGCATAGACTGGACCAGGGGTTGGTGTGTAGTTTGTTGTGGCATAGACTGGACCAGGGGTTTATATGTAGTTAGTTGTGGCAGGACTGTACCAGGGGTTGGTGTGTAGTTTGTTGTGGCAGGACTGTACCAGGGGTTGGTGTGTAGTTTGTTGTGGCAGGACTGGACCAGGGGTTGGTGTGTAGTTTGTTGTGGCATAGACTGTACCAGGGGTTGGTGTGTAGTTTGTTGTGGCAGGACTGGACCAGGGGTTGGTGTGTAGTTTGTTGTGGCATAGACTGGACCAGGGGTTGATGTGTAGTTAGTTGTGGCAGGACTGGACCAGGGGTTGGTGTGTAGTGTGGACCAGGGGTTGGTGTGTAGTTCGTTGTGGCATAGACTGGACCAGGGGTTGGTGTGTAGTGTGGACCAGGGGTTGGTGTGTAGTTCGTTGTGGCATAGACTGGACCAGGGGTTGGTGTGTAGTTAGTTGTGGCAGGACTGGACCAGGGGTTGGTGTGTAGTGTGGACCAGGGGTTGGTGTGTAGTTAGTTGTGGCAGGACTGGACCAGGGGTTGGTGTGTAGTGTGGACCAGGGGTTGGTGTGTAGTTCGTTGTGGCATAGACTGGACCAGGGGTTGGTGTGTAGTTTGTTGTGGCATAGACTGGACCAGGGGTTGGTGTGTAGTTAGTTGTGGCAGGACTGGACCAGGGGTTGGTGTGTAGTGTGGACCAGGGGTTGGTGTGTAGTTCGTTGTGGCAGGACTGCTTCCTGCTTGGACATTGTGTGTAATCTTGGATCAAGCTGTTCTCACAATGTTTGCCCCTCCCGTGGAGATTCCGGGTTAGAATAGGTCCCCAGCAACCTAGGGAACCAAATAGATTGAGTGGTTCGATATAATTTTTAAACCGGCAAGTGTTGCCTGCCCATCTTCAAAGTTACCTGCCCCATTCAGGCATTATAAATATTGAAAAATTGTTAGAAATAATAGACCAATCATGTTGTGATTCAGTTGAAATAATGCAAACAATTATTTGAAATGCTATAAGGAGTTATGATAAAACTGAATACATAAGTAGTCTTAAGTATCTGCCAGAGTCAGGCAGATGGAGGAAAATTTCATGCAGCCTGACAGAAAAGTTGCTAACCACGGGCAGGCAGGCATGGATTGTTGCGCACTGTATTGATCACTGGATTGTCTGGTCTAGAAACAATATTTTTACAGGCCACAGTCATATAGCTGGGATATTACTGAGTGTGGCTTTGACTAACAAACAAGACACATTGTTGTCAACACTAAAGGTTGATTTCGTGCTTGTGGGTAACATGACCTGCAATTAGTATTTGCCACCAGGACTATATCATATGGTCAGGCTGGCTGTCTGAAGCACTGCTTTCTTCATCAATAACTGGAAGGGTGTTTTCTCAGTGTTGACTGTTTCCCTGTTTCGGTGTGTGGGATGAGAGTAGTGGGACACTGTGTAATGAGAACATGTCTGTTAAACAAAAGGAATTCAGCTGGGTGTCACTGGACTTGACCCTGTATGACTCCTAATGAGGGTACGGTTGAGGGCTCAGCTCCAACTCTAGGTTGAGGGTACAGTTCCAGCTGTAGGTTGTGGACACAGTTCCAGCTGTAGGTTGAGGGCTCAGTTCCAGCTGTAGGTTGAGGACAGAGTTCCAGCTGTAGGTTGAGGACGCAGTTCCAGCTGTAGGTTGAGGACACAGTTCCAGCTGTAGGTTGAGGACACAGTTCCAGCTGTAGGTTGAGGGCGCAGTTCCAGCTCTATGTTGAGGGTACAGTTCCAGCTGTTGGTTGAGGAAACAGTTCCAGCTGTAGGTTGTGGACAAAGTTCCAGCTGTAGGTTGTGGACACAGTTCCAGCTCTAGGTTGAGGGCACAGTTCCAGCTGTAGGTTGAGGACACAGTTCCAGCTGTAGGTTGAGGGCACAGTTCCAGCTGTAGGTTGAGGACACAGTTCCAGCTGTAGGTTGAGGGCACAGTTCCAGCTCTATGTTGAGGGTACAGTTCCAGCTGTTGGTTGAGGGCTCAGTTCCAGCTGTAGGTTGAGGACGCAGTTCCAGCTGTAGGTTGAGGACACAGTTCCAGCTGTAGGTTGAGGACACAAGTCCAGCTGTAGGTTGAGGGCACAGTTCCAGCTGTTGGTTGAGGACACAGTTCCAGCTGTAGGTTGAGGACACAGTTCCAGCTGTAGGTTGAGGGTACAGTTCCAGCTGTAGGTTGAGGACACTGTTCCAGCTGTAGGTTGAGGACACAGTTCCAGCTGTAGGTTGAGGGCTCAATTCCAGCTGTAGGTTGAGGACACAGTTCCAGCTGTAGGTTGAGGGCACAGTTCCAGGTGTAGGTTGAGGACACAGTTCCAGCTGTAGGTTGAGGACACAGTTCCAGCTCTATGTTGAGGGTACAGTTCCAGCTGTTGGTTGAGGGCTCAGTTCCAGCTGTAGGTTGAGGACGCAGTTCCAGCTGTAGGTTGAGGACACAGTTCCAGCTGTAGGTTGAGGACACAAGTCCAGCTGTAGGTTGAGGGCACAGTTCCAGCTGTTGGTTGAGGACACAGTTCCAGCTGTAGGTTGAGGACACAGTTCCAGCTGTAGGTTGAGGGTACAGTTCCAGCTGTAGGTTGAGGACACTGTTCCAGCTGTAGGTTGAGGACACAGTTCCAGCTGTAGGTTGAGGGCTCAATTCCAGCTGTAGGTTGAGGACACAGTTCCAGCTGTAGGTTGAGGGCACAGTTCCAGGTGTAGGTTGAGGACACAGTTCCAGCTGTAGGTTGAGGACACAGTTCCAGCTGTAGGTTGAGGACACAGTTCCAGCTGTAGTTTTTAGGTTTCACAATCTGGTTTTGTTGCAGACACTGACTTTGGACTTTTTCTGGCTGACGAGGACCCAAAGAAAGGAGTATGGCTGGAGCAAGGTCGCAGCTTGGAGTACTACCTGCTGCGGAATGGGGTAGGTGTTCAGGCAGTTCTAGCTTCGCAGCCATTTAAGTGAAGTAACAAATAGGCATGGGACGATACACCAAGTGTGGGATCCGATACATATCACGATTCTTGTTCACAATCTGATACGTAGCTTTGCATGCGCTCTTATCTGTGGTGCATAAGCCATCTAACGCACCACAGATAAGAGCACATGCAAGTGTTTGGATACGTATCGGATCATGAACAATGTATCCTGATACGTATTGTATCGCACAGTTGGTGTATCATCCCAGCCCTACTCTCAATTTCATGCACCAGTTTAGCTGTTCTGTGGATGTAAACAACATATATTGGCTGACTTTGAGTTGAGTGCGACTCACTCAGTTTTAATATCTACATTATTGCTAAGCTGTTGGTATTCCATTTCAGTAATGGCTGTATCATGATGAAAGAAAAATACAATTAATGTGAGCAAGTGAACAAGTGGGGAGGATTTACTAATTGAAGATAACATGTTCTACTCCTGTTATGTCTGGCTTCCATCCTACACAAAGTAGTCTGTCACTGCTGAAATCTTTATTTTGTAATGAATGATAATTGACAGTAATAGATATACCATGAGTAGGTTTATTGATACAGGATAGCCGATTACTCCATGTCTGTGTCCAGGCATGTTCTCCACTATCAGACAGACAACCATCTGGCGTCTGCTCTCTGCGTCTGCTGTCTGCGTCTGCTCTCTGCGTCTGCTCTCTGCGTCTGCTCTCTGCGTCTGCTTCTTACATCTGCCATAAACATTACAGCTGTATTTTACATACTCTGTCTGCAAAACAAATATTTTTTGTCTGAAATGAGAGAAACTCTTGATTTATTTTGTAAAGTTTCCATGTTATGAATATTGACATGTTGTGTAAGGACATCTTGGTTGTGACAAGTGCTTTAGCACTGGGGAAAATGTTACCAGAAAATGACATGAAAGAAGTTAAACACAGGATATAGAGACAGAATTACAGACATGTATACAACAAAGTGTCAAGACAGAAACATGGGGATAGTGTTTAGTGGAAGCTCCACAGAGAAACCTTATCTTTTATGACCATTGATTAATATGAATGCCAGGTGTTGTAGGAGTAGTTCATCAGTGTTACATATTTGGAGTAATACATTTGATGCATGTCATGTAAACATAGAAATGTGGCATGTTAGGTATTTTTCCAAATCTGCTATGGCCATTTTAACTTCATGTTAATTTGTGCAGCAGTGAGTTTGGCTGGTTAGGGAGCAATTATTGGATTTTCAAGGGTTTGTGTGTGTGTGCGTGTGCGTTCGCGTGCGCGTGCATGTGCATGTGTGTACGGCAGGATTTTGGATTGGGATCAGCTTTTCTTTTCTTGTTTTCTAATGTGTAGGAACTCATTATTTCTTTCAGGTGTTCAATTATTATCATTTTAAAACAAAGAGAAATATCGACATTTCAGTACGGTACACATGCTCTGACGAAAACGGCACAAATATTTTTTTCCTACAAGTCGCATCTACTCTTTTTCACCCAAACAAGGACTTGTTAAAAGTATAGGTCCCCAGTAACCTCAGCTTGTTGTAAGTGGCGACTGAATGGATCGGTTCGCCAGGCTCTATGTCTTAGATGATTGCTTGTCAAGATTTTGTATGAATCGTTGCTCATGATATCAATCACTGGGTTTCTAGTCTTGATTATTTATAGACAGCCCTAATTTTGCTTGACTACTATTCAGTGAAGCGGTAAATGACAAACACAATAATAGTTTGCCAGTGGGTCTGGAAGGCAGGTGATCAGGAGATGGAAAACTTCCATCAATAATTCTCCACACTAAGTGATGTCTCAGCAGCGATGACTGTCTCTGATTTATTTGTTTGTTTGTTTGTTTGTTTGTTTGTTTGTTTGTTGTTTAATGCCGAACACAGCAATATTCCAGCTATGTGACGGCGGTCTGTAAAATAACTGAGTCAATCCAGTGATTGACATCATGAGCATCGATCTACGCAATTGGGATCAATGACATGCATCAACTAAGACAGCGAGCCTGACTGCCCTCTCCCGTTAATCGCCATTTTCGACAAGCAAAGTCGCCTTTTTCGGCAAGTATGGGTTGCTGAAGACCTGATTTATTGGTCAAACAATGAATAGTTCTCACTGTGCTAGCGGTCACTCTGTATTAATGCAGTGGCTAATTGAAAGAGACCGTTATAGACGGGTATGCATCAAAGTTGGCAAGCCTGACCTCCGATCCTGTTCTTTCTGTCGAGTATTCTCAGCTAATGATATTCCAATGACACTAAAATCTACTGAATATGAAGCTATATGCTAATTTGTCACAATGTGACATCAAGCTGACATGCCATGATATAACTGGAATACTGTTCAAAGCGGCGTTAATCAAATCTCACTCACTTACTCATGCTAGCTTCTTGTCATGTCAGGTGACTACTAGGATCTCGGTCAGGCCCGCTAACTTGGTTGGTGCATGTGATCGTATCCCAATTGGATCTATGCTCATGATATCAATCACTGTATTGTCTGGTCCAGACTCGATTATTTACAGCCTGCCATCATATGGCTGGAATATTGCTGAGTAGGGTGTTTAGCAACAAACAAACAAACAAACTCATGTTTATTTCTACTGGACTTATGATGAGAGTTTCTACCACTGATGATTAAGATCAATGACAGGTTCAGAATCTTTTTCTAAACCCTCTCTCAGACCAATATTTGGCCCAAGTCTGCAGCAGATGTCCCTGAAAAAAGTCTCACAAAGGAATCAGAACTATCCCCAAGTCATGTTGATATAGTTTTAACTAATGTGATGGCTTGGCCGATGTGCCTTGCAATTCACTGATAAAACCTCACCAGTAAAAAGGAAATAGAGGATATTTCATGTGTCGAGTGAAATATCATGTTTCTCTCACCGAGTGACGGGGGAAAGGAGATATTTTCACGAGTGGCATGACAAATCCAATGTCAATCATAATACTTGTTTCCCAATTTGCTTGCAAAGGATTCTATATGAACCCTTGAGGTTAGAACAAATTAATCACAACACGTGAAGGAAGATTGAGTCCTGACCATCTCCTAACACAAGTACTTCATTTAGCTGATTTGCTGTCGTACGTGTTTGTTTTGTTGTTGTTTAACACCGCACTCAGCAATATTCCAGCTATATGATGGCGGTCTGTATATAATCGAGTCTGGACCAGACAATCCAGTGATTGATACATGAGCATCCATCCCCGCAATTGGGATCGATGACATGTATCAACCAAGTCAGCGAGCCTGACCACCCGATCCCGTTAGTCGCCTTTTACGACAAGCATAGTCGCCTTTTACGGCAAGCATGGGTTGCTGAAGACCTATTCTACCCCGGAATCTTCACGGGTCGTCCTACGTGTAGATCTATAAGCAGCAGTGACTAACATTGGCTTGAGGAAGAGATATATATGTATGACAATACTAGAGGATGTCCTGGAGGGCACCTGCTTCCGGACCAACCATTGTTCTACACCATTGTCATGTCAAACTAAAATATGAATGAAGTAGCTGGTATTTATAAATTGCATTTTGTCACTCAACAGTAAGTGTTTGCTGTTCACAAGCCTTGGTTGGTCTTGTGATCGGTGCAAGTTTTAGAACAGAACACCCTCATTTCACTGAGTGGAGTTGGCTGTGAGAGGGAGAATGGTATTTGTTGTGGATGTGTTGTGGAATGTGTGGATTGATATAAGTCAATCTTTGTTGAAGAGTGTCAGTCGAAGAGGAGTTTATCCCACATACAGCAGTCTATGCCAGACACGTTTCAATCTACTGACCAGAACTTGTCATATGGCATCATTTTCAGTAGATTTCTGTGTTGACATATATTGGCTAATTTACCTGAACCTAAAAGACAAGAAATACGAGGGCAAGACTGGGCCTTCGTACCAGTTGCTTATGTCGCAGACTTTTTGTTGAGACTGTTACTGATGATGTTGATGTTGTAACTGATGATGATGATGTTGATATTGTAACTGATGGTGTTGTTGTTGCAGGATCTGCTGGAGTACAAGAAGAAGCAGCGTATCCTGAAGGTGCGGACGCTGGACGGGGCTCTGAAGACCCTGCAGGTGGATGACAGCCACACCGTGGGGCAGCTCATGATCACCATCTGCACCAGGATGGGTGAGTTCCGTCTTCTACTCAGGTCCACGTCCGTGTGGGGATAACAGTCTGCCGTCATGTAGCTGGAATATTGCTGAGTGTGGCCTTAAATAAACAAACAAACAAACAAACAAACAAACAAACACTGACTGTTCCTTGTGGGTTTCAGGAGAGTGGTAAACATCTTACACCAGAATCAGTTCAGGCTTTCCTCCCACATTAAGCAGACACACTGATAAACCTGAAACATTGTTCAAGGTGGTGTTAACCAAACTGACTGACTGACTGACTGACTGACTGACTGACTGACTGACTGACTGACTGACCCACTCACTCACTCACTCACTCACTCACTCACTGGCTCACTCACTCACTGGCTCACTCACTCACTCACTCACCCACCGACTCACTCACTCACTCACTCACTGTGGCAGGTATCACCAACCACGAGGAGTACTCCCTGGTGCGGGACCTGCCTGACGACGAGAAGGAGAAGACGCTGACGCTGAAGAGAGACAAGTCCATCGCTAAGGACCAGAAGAAACTGGAGGAGATGAAGAAGAAGCTCCACACCGATGATGAAAGTAAGTCTGCATGATGGAGTATCATGATGAAAGTAAGTCTGCATGATGGAGTATCATGATGAAAGTAAGTCTGCATGATGGAGTATCATGATGAAAGTAAGTCTGCATGATGGAGTATCATGATGAAAGTGAGTCTGCATGATGGAGTATCATGATGAAAGTGAGTCTGCATGATGGAGTATCATGATGGAAGTAAGTCTGCATGATGGAGTATCATGATGGAAGTAAGTCTGCATGATGGAGTATCATGATGAAAGGAAGTCTGCATGATGGAGTATCATGATGAAAGTAAGTCTGCATGATGGAGTATCATGATGGAAGTAAGTCTGCATGATGGAGTATCATGATGAAAGTGAGTCTGCATGATGGAGTATCATGATGAAAGTAAGTCTGCATGATGGAGTATCATGATGGAAGTAAGTCTGCATGATGGAGTATCATGATGGAAGTAAGTCTGCATGATGGAGTATCCTGATGAAAGTAAGTCTGCATGATGGAGTATCATGATGAAAGTAAGTCCTGCATGATGGAGTATCATGATGAAAGTAAGTCTGCATGATGGAGTATCATGATGGAAGTAAGTCTGCATGATGGAGTATCATGATGGAAGTAAGTCTGCATGATGGAGTATCATGATGAAAGGAAGTCTGCATGATGGAGTATCATGATGAAAGTAAGTCTGCATGATGGAGTATCATGATGGAAGTAAGTCTGCATGATGGAGTATCATGATGAAAGTAAGTCTGCATGATGGAGTATCATGATGAAAGTAAGTCTGCATGATGGAGTATCATGATGAAAGTAAGTCTGCATGATGGAGTATCATGATGGAAGTAAGTCTGCATGATGGAGTATCATGATGGAAGTAAGTCTGCATGATGGAGTATCATGATGAAAGTAAGTCTGCATGATGGAGTATCATGATGGAAGTAAGTCTGCATGATGGAGTATCATGATGAAAGTAAGTCTGCATGATGGAGTATCATGATGGAAGTAAGTCTGCATGATGGAGTATCATGATGAAAGTAAGTCTGCATGATGGAGTATCATGATGAAAGTGAGTCTGCATGATGGAGTATCATGATGGAAGTAAGTCTGCATGATGGAGTATCATGATGGAAGTAAGTCTGCATGATGGAGTATCATGATGAAAGTAAGTCTGCATGATGGAGTATCATGATGGAAGTAAGTCTGCATGATGGAGTATCATGATGAAAGTAAGTCTGCATGATGGAGTATCATGATGGAAGTAAGTCTGCATGATGGAGTATCATGATGAAAGTAAGTCTGCATGATGGAGTATCATGATGGAGGGTGTCCAGCACGGAACAGGAGAAGCCAACCTGAACTGTAGTTCCTACTAGCTTGTACACCCTTCCAAAGTCACGATAGTGTGTTCAATGAATAGCATCAGAAGGAAGGCCTCAGCCCACAATACAATACGAGGTTAAACTGATCTATCAGTAACAGTGTTCAACATTAAGGGGTCCTGTGTCCCTTGAGGCCTGTCCCTGTCCCTCTAGTATCTAGGGTCTCCTAAATCTGTGGCTGTTAACACTTGGGCTATGACAAAGACTCCTTGACTTTCATAGTTAATTAAGAATTCACTCTACACCACTAAGTTGTGCTGAGGACAAGTATGCCTGGCTATAAGGATCGATAATCAGAATTATCGTCGATGGGAAGAAATATTAACGATTGTCAATATGAAATTGTCATGGATAAGAACTTACATCAACTATTGTGATGAAAAAAGTTTAGATTTACAGAAACAGACTTGTCATTGTCACTCATGTCAATTGTCGAAGATGAAAAGCAATTTTTGTATCTCACATGTGGCATGAAATATGTTGATTTCTTTCTGGATTTTCTTGCATATTTGCTAAACTGGACTTTTCTGATATTTATTGATAATTGATCAATGTTTAGTAGGCAATTATCGATCTGTATGATCTACATCGATAGCCAGCCCTAAGGACAAGTAAATATCCAACGATGGTAGTCCTTAATAACAACTGGCATTTGAGGGCTATAATCACTGTTATGGACTGTTGTATCTTAGTGGAACATTGACTGTTGTATCTTAGTGGTACATGGACTGTTATGTGCTTGTGTTATATCTGGGTAGTATTTGACTGTTGTATCCATGTGTGTACTGACTGCTTCGCTCTGTTCCAGTGAACTGGCTAGACCACAGTAAGACACTGAGGGAGCAGGGCATCGACCCAAACGAGATACTGCTGCTGAGGAGGAAGTTCTTCTTCTCTGATCAGAACGTTGACGCCCGTGACCCCGTCCAACTTAACCTCCTCTATGTCCAGGTGAGCTTCTAGTTCCACACCTGTGTAGGGAGATCGCTGTCGTCAGTCATCTAAATTATTATGCTATGTTATACTAGACACTTACAGAGATGGTTTCTTAGGCAGAATTCAATGGCAGACATGCTGTTCTTGTTTATATGTGAGAACACCTCCGTGGTCTAGTGGATAGAGCCTCTGCCCGGAGACTACCTTCGTGGTCTAGTGGATAGAGCCTCTGCCCGGAGACTACCTTCGTGGTCTAGTGGATAGAGCCTCTGCCCCTAGAGAACCATCGTGGTCTAGTGGATAGAGACTCTGCCCCTAGACAACCTTTATTGTGTTGTGGATAGAGCCTCTGCCCAGAGACTACCTCCGTGGTCTAGTGGATAGAGCCTCTGCCCAGAGACTACCTTTGTGGTCTAGTGGATAGAGCCTCTGCCCAGAGACTACCTTTGTGGTCTAGTGGATAGAGCCTCTGCCCAGAGACTACCTTTGTGGTCTAGTGGATAGAGCCTCTGCCCAGAGACTACCTCCATGGTCTAGTGGATAGAGCCTCTGCCCAGAGACTACCTTTGTGGTCTAGTGGATAGAGCCTCTCCCCAGAGACTATCTCTGTGGTCTAGTGGATAGAGCCTCTGCCCAGAGACTACCTTCGTGGTCTAGTGGATAGAGCCTCTCCCCGAGACTACCTTCGTGGTCTAGTGGATAGAGCCTCTCCCCAGAGACTATCTCTGTGGTCTAGTGGATAGAGCCTCTGCCCAGAGACTACCTTCGTGGTCTAGTGGATAGAGCCTCTGCCCAGAGACTACCTTTGTGGTCTAGTGGATAGAGCCTCTGCCCCCAGACTACCTTTGTGGTCTAGTGGATAGAGCCTCTGCCCAGAGACTGCCTTTGTGGTCTAGTGGATAGAGCCTCTGCCAAGAGACTACCTCCATGGTCTAGTGGATAGAGCCTCTGCCCAGAGACTACCTTTGTGGTCTAGTGGATAGAGCCTCTGCCCAGAGACTACCTCCTTGGTCTAGTGGATAGAGCCTCTGCCAAGAGACTACCTCCATGGTCTAGTGGATAGAGCCTCTGCCCAGAGACTACCTCCATGGTCTAGTGGATAGAGCCTCTGCCCAGAGACTACCTCCTTGGTCTAGTGGATAGAGCCTCTGCCCAGAGACAAGGTTTGTGGTTTAGTTGATAGAGCCTCTGCCCCGAGACTACTTTCGTGGCCTAGTAAAGTGCAGTAGACGATGTTCCTGACTGTGATGGTGTTGTCTCCCCAGTCCCGTGACGCCCTGCTGAACGGCACCCACCCCGTGAGTCAGGAAGAAGCTATACAGTTTGCAGGCTTGCAGTGTCAGATACAGTTCGGGGACCACGTCGACTCCAAACACAGACCGGGCTTCCTCGAGTGAGTAGTTACCTCCCTTTACTGTAACTCTTTACTCACAATATCGATCTCTGTACTGTGAGGTCCAGACTGGACAATCTACAGACAGCTGTCATATAGCTGGAATATTGCAGTGCAGCGTTAAACAACCATCATGCATACATACCTCTAACCAATGTCCTCAAGACTCTTTAACTCTGATGGACTGATGGAAGCGTTAGTTGCTTTGCTTTTGTCACTGTAACTGTGACACTATCTTAACATGCCACATCTTGTTCCAGCTTGAAAGAATTCCTGCCAAAAGAATACATGAAAATCAAAGGAGTTGAAAAGAAGATTTACATTGTAAGTAACCAAGCAGCCATCCCACCAACACTTCGAGATACAGATCAGAGAGAAGCACTAACTTATTTCAACACAATCCCTTTTTTATTATTTTTTTAAAATTCTGGTGTATGCAAAGTCAAATTAGTCATTGAAGCCTCTTCTTGTCTATTGGTCCTGTTATCTGTGAAATATAAGCCGCCTCCATAACAGGAACCCGTGAAGATCCAGGGTAGAATAGGTCTTCAGCAACCCATGCTTGCAGTAAAAGGTGACTGCTTGTCGTAAAAGGCGATTGACGGGATCGGGCAGTCAGGCTCGCTGATTTGGTTGATGCATGTCATTGATCCAAATTGCGAAGATCAATGCTCATGATGTCAATCACTGGATTGTCTGGTCCAGACTGGATTATTTACAGACCGCCGTCATATAGCTGGAATAATGCTGAGTGCGTCGTAAAAGAACCAACCAACCAACCAACCATAACAGGATTTGGCAAATGTTTGGTTCTAGTTTGTGAATTGTTACTGACATTTTCTTCAGACTTGGGGCCGATTGTTGGCCTCTGACAGGTCCAGTAAGTCTGTGTTATGGTTAAAGATTTAGAGGCTCCCAAGATTCAAATACCATAGGGGAAGTCATCAAGGACCCCAGGCTCCCCTTTAATTTCAAACACTTGCACTCATGTGAGACTGTAGACAGACAGCCAAGAGGCTATGTGTCATGTTACAAGGATGTAGAAATCTACTGCTCAATGTATTTGTGAGCATCCCCCATTAGATGTCCTATCTGGTTTCTCACTTGACTGGTGCTGTTTCAGGAACACAAGAAGTGGGCCAGCATGTCGGAGATTGAGTCAAAGGTCAAGTACACCCACTTGTGTCGCTCCCTCAAGACCTACGGCATCACCTTCTTCCTTGTCAAGGTCAGTGTGACATGAAAGTGATTAGTCTTTAGTCTATTTGGCTTTTAAAGAATCTTTATTAACGTGATATTAATTCCTTGTTGACTTATTGTCTGATCACCAAACAACAGGGTTAGAAATTGGCACTGGTCCTATAGTGCTTGCCAAACTGCCCAGTGGTAAAGGTATCATAAGGACTAGTAGAAATTTGCCCTTTTTAAGGGTTTTGCTATATGTTATCATTATAAGGACTAGTGGACGAAAAATGTTAGTTTCTAACCCTGCAAACAACAGTAGTGGATGTAGCACTGGATGACGTCACTGATGCAGATGTAACGGTTTCATCATGAGGACGTGGTCGGTCGGTCATCTAAGGCGCCAGCATATACGGTGCGTAGATGTGTCACTTTGGTGTGCCGGAAAATGTGATCATGGGATAGAATCCCAGATTTGTCCTGAACATTGTTTTGTGTTTCACAACATCATTCCCGTGCTTGTGGGTTTCATCAAAGTGGTAAACATCTGAGACCTGCATCCCTCAGGCTTTCCTCCTACATTTAGGTGACACATGATATTACATAGATAGTTCACACAACCTAACTAGAACTTGGTACATCACACTGCCATGCTCACATGGCTAGAGAACTACTGATTGGTGTAACACAACATTCGAATATTAACAGACCAGCGTTAAACAACAAACAAATACTAATGTGACATGGTGTCAGTGGTGTTAATGGTGATGTTGGTGTTAATGGTGATGTTGGTGTTAATGGTGATGTTGGTGTTAATGGTGTTGGTGATGTTGCAGGAGAAGATGAGGGGGAAGAACAAGCTGGTACCGAGGCTGCTTGGCATCACCAAGGACAGCGTGGTGCGTGTGGACGAGAAGACCAAGGAGGTGGGTGTGTCTGACAGTAGGGGTCGACAGGTGGGGTAGACAGGTGGGGTAGACAATAGAGGTAGACAATAGAGGTAGACAGGATGGGTTGGAATTGGTCTCCAGCACCCTTGTATTACCATGCGACTAAATGGACTGAGTGGTCCGGCTCTGTGACTTGGTTGCTCATAGTATCAATCACTGGTGGTGTGGTTTGACAAGATTATTTACAGTCTGATGTCATTCTGCTGGATTATTGCTAAGTGCTGGGCAAAGAAAAACCAACCAACCAACAGACAGACAAACAAACAAACAACACAGTCAATAAATACTCAGCACACTGCACCAGGGATCGTCAAGCTTGTTGCAAGTGTGTATAGTTTCTCTGAATCCTGTCATGAAGTACTCTGTGTAGGATGTCCTGATGTCTGGTAGACCTGGGGCCGAGGGGCGGGGCCCGCTGTGTGTCAACTGTCCCTACCCGTTTCTCCCACTGTGTTTCAGATCATGAAGACCTGGCCTCTGACCACCGTGAGGAGATGGGCAGCCTCCCCCAACAGCTTCACCCTGGTCAGTACAACGTGTACTTGCTGTTACAGCATGCCCTATAGCCTTGGAGGAGCCGATAAATCTTCCAGAGATATTGGCCTTTTGTTTGTGTTTCAAGCCACCAGTATCATAGCCTTGTCAGGATTAAAGAAGCCGAAATGTATTGCCACACATCCTTTGAATATTGTAGTAACCGCATCTGTGCATTTTGTAACCTGTAATTGTAGATATAATTATTTAAACATGCCTACCGACAATGACTGAAAATAGTACTATTCTATGAATATTAGCTTCCGCGGTGATGTGGCCGCCAAACCAGCTGTTTCAATCAGAGGGGGTTTATTGTGATTTATCTGCTTCTGATTGACCAATCACAATCGAGTAAATTCCAAATTCATGGTAGAATATTGGTTAACATTTTAGATTTTTCTAAAAATGATAGTATTGATATTATTTGAATCGTCAGTTCGGAGATATTGTTACTAATTATTTTGTTTTTCCACACCAACAATAATCACAATACTATTGTCCCAGTAGCCTCTGTACCAAGAAACACAACAGTCAATGTTGAAGTTGTTTGTGTTGTATCCTGCAGGACTTCGGAGACTACTCAGACACGTACTACTCCGTGCAGACGACGGAGGGGGAGCAGATCTCACAGCTCATCGCTGGCTACATCGACATCATCCTCAGGAAGGTGAGTCAGTCTCACAGCAACTAGGAATGCACCATGTCTGTGTTTGTGGCTTTCAACAAAGTGTAAAGTCAGAGACCTGCATCACTTCAGGCTTTCTCCCACATTAAGCTGACACGCCGTTTTGGGACTGAAATAATGTTCGAAGCGTTGTTAAACCAACTCACTCACTCACTCACTCACTCACTCACTCACTCACTCAACTAGGGATGCACCATGCCTGTGCTCGTGGCTTTCAACAGAGTCATAAAGTCAGAGACCTGCATCACTTCAGGCTCTCTCCCACATTAAGCTGACACGCCATGATAAGACTGAAATACTGTTAGAAGCATTGTTAAACCAACTCACTCACTCACTCACTCAACTAGGGATGCACCATGCCTGTACTTGTGGCTTTCAACAAAGTGTAAAGTCAGAGACCTGCATCACTTCAGGCTTTCGAAACCAACTCACTCACTCAACTAGGGCTGTTGTGATTTGCCTAAAAGTGGAATGATGTGTGTTTAAATATCTGTAAGATCATGTAGGTCATGTAAATAAAGAAACAATATGTATGTGTTTATACAAGAATGTCAGGTTATGAATTGATTATTTGTAAAATACTATTTCCTGACTTGCTGTTTCCCACTTCCTCCTATGTTTTATGACCTCAAGATTGCTAAATGTGATCGGATCTGTAGTATTCTATATCATACAGCTCCATAACAGGAACCGCCTCCGTGGTAGAGCGTCCGCCCGGAGAACGTAAGGTCCGGTGTTCGATCCCTGGTCGCGTCATACCAAAAGACGTTAAAAGATGGTACTTCTTGTTACCCTGTCTGGCGCTTGACATTAAGTCAAGGACAGGTCGGCACGGAGTCAGTATACTGTGTCTGAGTGGGATATTCATGTTAAACTGCGGCATGGTATCTCAGTGAGCGAACACTATAAATTGGCATCAGTCATGATAACTGTTTTTGTTTTCAGAAAAAGGCAAAGGACCACCTCGGTCTGGATGGAGATGAAAACTCCATGATGATGGAGGACAACGTACTGCCGGCCAAGTGAGTCACCGAGTCTACACCTACACCATGCCCACACCACGCTGATACCACGCCCACACCACGCCCACATCTACACCATGCCCACACCACGCCCATACCATGCCCACACCACGCCTACATCTACACCATGCCCACACCACGCCGATACCACGCCCACATCTACACCATGCCTACATCACGCCGATACCACGCCCATACTATGCCGATACCACGCCCACATCTACATCATTGTCCACACCACGCCGATACCACGCCCACATCTACACCACGCCCGCACCACGCCCACACCATGCCCACACCACGCCGTTACCACGCCCACACCATGCCCATACCACGCCGATACCATGCCCACACCACGCCGATACCACGCCCACACCATGCCCATACCACGCCGATACCACGCCCACACCACGCCCATACCACGCTGATATCATGCCCACACCACGCCAAGACCATGCCCACACCACACCGATAACATGCCCACACCACACCCATACCACGCCCACATCTACACCATGCCCACACCACACCCATACCACACCCTCACCTACACCATGCCCACACCACACCCATACCACGCCCACATCTACACCATGCCCACACCACACCCATACCACACCCTCACCTACACCATGCCTACACCACGCGGATACCACGCCCACACCTACACCACGCTTATACCACACTTGTAGACCATGGCTACACCACACATTTACCATGTCGACACCATGTATAGACCAAACATACACAATACCTGTACACCGCACCTACACCACTGTACTCCTTGCCTACACCACACCTACTGTACGACTGTGAAGATACGGGATAGAATAGGTCGCCACGCCCACACCATGCTTGCCATAAAAGGCGACTGCTTGCCATAAAAGGCGACTAACGGGATTAGGTGGTCAGGCTTGCTGACTTGGTTGATGCATGTCATCGTCTCCCAATTGCGTGGATCGATGCTCATGATATCAATCACTGGATTGTCTGCTCCAGATTTGATTATTTACAGACAGCCGTCATATAGCTGGAATATTGCTGAGAGCAGCGTTAAACAACAAACCAACCAACCAACCAACTAAACTGTGTTCCTATGTTGCAGGGCGACCATCATCCAGCACCAGTCCTCCAACGTGTCCCACCCCCAGTCTGGGTCGGTGGCGATCCCCGCGGTGCTGCGTGACGGGGGGCAGGGGGAGTCCATGTTCGGGATGGGCAGCATGCAGCAGGTGCAGTCCACACACGTGACAAACCTCGCGCACGCTGGACACGCCGCCCCTCATGTTAGTAGTCCCGGGAATGTGTGTAACCAGAGCAGCCCTGCCTAGTGTCACGTATACATGGTAGGGGCTGGAGGCGTTTCTCTCTCGGCCCTTACTGTGCATATACTGAACAGTAGGCATCTGATGCTCATTTTAACCCTCTCAGTTGATTTTAAACTTTGTATTTAATGTTACTAGATGAAATTTTGATTATGCTTGAGTGAAATTGAGTTTTGAATCGGATTGTTTCTCACAGTTGCTGTGAATTTGGAATAGCTTCTGTTACATCAGTGATATGTGTGTTAATGTTACTACAATCAGATGCCAACTGAGAGGGTTAAACACTTGCACCAAGACTCAGGTTGTCCTTCAGTTCAGAAACTCTCACAGCATATTTTAAGAATTGGTTTGCAAATTGGTTTACAGAATCTTAAGTTTCTCAAAAAACTCTCATTTGTAGCTTATCAAAACACAACTGCATGCTGATCTTTGAGGATGACCTGAGTCTTGTGTACCACCTACTAATGACATATATGCATATTGATACATCTGTGACTGTTGATCTAGATCTTCAGGAAAGATTCTCAACATTTCTTGTGAACATTTAAATGAAAACATGTATTGAAAAGATTCTCTAGTACGTCAAGTAAGTTTATTCTTTTCTTCTATTTTTTTATTTTTGCGAATCACTTCTTGTATTGTGATGACTAGCTTCATGTTGTATTAGAGCAGGAAAGATGTGATTGACTCAGATAAGTATGTACTACGCTACAACAGTAGAATATAATACAGTACAGTTTAGTATGTCATAAGTTATAGGTAAAACTGGCTGCTCTAGAAATGGGTTCAAGTTGTCAAAAAGTGGGTTAAAAGTTGCCCTAGAAATGGGTTCAAGTTGCCAAGAAGTGGGTTAAAAGTTGCCCTTGAAATGGGTTCAAGTTGCCAAGAAGGGGTTAAATAGTTGCCCTAGAAATGGGCTCAAGTTGCCAAGAAGGGGTTAAATAGTTGCCCTAGAAATGGGCTCAGGTGGCCCAGAAGGGGTTAAAAAGTTGCCTTAGAAATGGGTTCAAGTTGCTAAGGAGTTAAATAGTTGCCCTAGAAATGGGTTCAAGTTGCCAAGAAGTGCGTTAAATAGTTGCCCTAAAAATGGGCTCAAGTTGCCAAAAAGGGGGTTGAAAAGTTGCCCTAGAAATGGGCTCAGGTGGCCCAGAAGGGGTTAAAAAGTTGCCCAAGAAATGGGTTCAAGTTGCCAAGAAGGGGGGTTAAATAGTTGCCCTGGTAATGAGCTCAAGTTGCCAAGAAAGGGGGTTAAAAAGTGCTCTAGAAATGGGCTCAAGTTGGCCTAGAAGATTACAGGGTTGTTGACCTTGGCTCCTGCAAACTCTCGTGGTAATGCAGGACATTAGCTTTCACGTATATCTCTCTGTCTATGGTAGGGGGGAGAACTCTGTCTAGCTTGTGCTTCCAGCAGCCTCTAGAACCATGTCTGGTAACCATGGGAATAGTAGACGTGTATATTCTAGCAGTACGCCTGTGGTGTGTGTAACCTGCATGGATGCAGACAATATATGACAGCTTTGTAGTTAGATGATGGACTACGACAGGGCCCACCAGCACAAAGGGATCACAATGCTGGGACCATTATAAGCCTATGTAGTATAGGAGTTATAGTGGATGTAGCGCTACAATCACTTTGTGCAGGTGGGCCTTGCTGTGAACTGGGATGGACTACGACAGGGCTCACCAGCACAAAGGGATCACAATGCTAGGACCATTATAAGCCTATGTAGTATAGGAGTTATAGTGGATGTAGTGCTACAATCACTTTGTGCAGGTGGGCCTTGCTGTGATTTGGGGCAGATGGCCCACCCAGAACATATAATCGGGCTTGGAGTTAGTGGTAGCAAGAAGTGAACGAGTCATCATTTTTTTTCTCTTTTCCTAATTGAAAAATCTGAGGAAGGAAATTCTCCCAGGTGGCCCTTATTTGATTGAGCTTGTGTCAAGAGACAAGATGTCGCTTTCTCTATTTAGTACTCTATAAAACAGGGTTAGAATATGTCGCCGGTAGCCTTAGTTAGTTGTAAAAAGTGACTAAATGGTCCCCAGCGGCCAAAGCTAGTGGTTGAAAGTGACTAGATGGTATTTGTCTTGGTGACTTGGTCGATTGTGTATCATGCCCAGACTTGTGGATCGATGCTCATGATAACAATCACTGGATCGTCTGGCCCAGACTTCATTATTTACAGACTGCAGTCACATAGCTGGAATATTGCTGATAGCAGACTTTAACAGCATTCATTGACACTGTTCAAGAATTAGGAATTGTTAAGACATACCATGAACCTAAGTGTAATACTCGGCCTTGAGTTGATCCCTGGCAGACATCCTCGTGGTAACCTACACTTCTTTTATGTCCTTGTGATCCTGAGGCTGGCCGAAACAGCTGCAGATAAATCTTTCATAGATTTCTGGTACCCTCTTTGATACCCTCGTTAGGTACCCTTGGTTTGGTACCCTTGGTTTGGTACCCTTGGTATGGTACCTCCCTACTGAATGTTTGACCTGTTATGAATGCTGTCTAACAACTGTATGTCTGTTCCTGCTCATGGACCGTGTGCACAAAGCAATCATAGCTTGACATTATTATTCCCATGCAGTTATCTCAGCTATGATCACTTTGTGCAGGCGGTGCCAGGTAGCAACTGTATGTCTGTTCCTGCTAATGGACCGTGTGCACAAAGCAATCATAGCTTGACATTATTATTCCCGTGCAGTTATCTCAGCTATGATCACTTTGTGCAGACAGTGCCAGGTAGCAACTGTATGTCTGTTCCTGCTAATGGACCGTGTGCACAAAGCAATCATAGCTTGACATTATTATTCCCATGCAGTTATCTGAGCTATGATCACTTTGTGCAGGCGGTGCCAGGTAGCAACTGTATGTCTGTTCCTGCTAATGGACCGTGTGCACAAAGCAATCATAGCTTGACATTATTATTCCCATGCAGTTATCTCAGCTATGATCACTTTGTGCAGACAGTGCCAGGTAGCAACTGTATGTCTGTTCCTGCTAATGGACCGTGTGCACAAAGCAATCATAGCTTGACATTATTATTCCCATGCAGTTATCTGAGCTATGATCACTTTGTGCAGGCGGTGCCAGGTAGCAAATGTATGTCTGTTCCTGCTCATGGACCGTGTGCACAAAGCAATCATAGCTTGACATTATTATTCCCATGCAGTTATCTCAGCTATGATCACTTTGTGCAGGTGGTGCCAGGTAGCAACTGTATGTCTGTTCCTGCTCATGGACCGTGTGCACGAAGCAATCATAGCTTGACATTATTATTCCCATGCAGTTATCTGAGCTATGATCACTTTGTGCAGGCGGTGCCAGGTAGCAACTGTATGTCTGTTACTGCACATGGACCGTGTGCACAAAGCAGTCTTAGTTCTATGACATCGTAACGCCCATACAATATTCTGAGCTTTGATCACTTTGTGCAGGTGGTGCCAGGTAGCAACTGTATGTCTGTTCCTGCACATGGACCGTGTGCACAAAGCAATCATAGCTTGACATTATTATTCCCGTGCAGTTATCTCAGCTATGATCACTTTGTGCAGGCGGTGCCAGGTAGCAACTGTATGTCTGTTCCTGCACATGGACCGTGTGCACAAAGCAATCATAGCTCTATGACATCGTAACTCCCATACAATATTCTGAGCTATGATCACTTTGTGCAGACAGTGCCAGGTAGCAACTGTATGTCTGTTCCTGCACATGGACCATGTGCACAAAGCAGTCTTAGTTCTATGACATCAGATCCCGATACAATATTCTGAGCTATGATCACTTTGTGCTCATGGACCTGGCAGCATGTTGTTGAACTGTCCACTAGAGTGTATTACCTTAGAGTTGAGAATGTCTGAAAGTGTGTTGTGTGGATTATATTGGAGCAAGGAGTAGCAGTGATATTTGTGCATGGCGTTGACTTGGTCAGCATGTGTGTTGCGAGTACCTGTCAGTGTCTGTGTATGTACCGATGGTGTAGCGTCTCGTTACGTTCACGTTGTTACTGGCTTTCTTCAGTTCCTGTTTGATATGTCAGTATTTTGTTAGTGAAAATCTTTTGTTGCAGTATTTAAAATAAATGTAATAAAAGTAGAAAATAGCATCGTAAGTTCAGTTGAACCTTTTTTGTGGCGGTAGACTTTGTTTTATTTTGTTTCATTTTGTTTCATTTTGTTTCATTCAAAAACTGTTTTAGTGACTTACATCAATGTCAGCTGTTCCATTATCAGATACTATGCAGTAATGGATGACACTTATCTACAATAACTTGTATCACTATCTAGTACACACAGAATTTACCCCAGTTAACCCACATTGTGTAGCCTGTGTGTACTGACCAGTGCTGTCCACTGTAGGGTCAGAACGCCCAGCAGCACGGCCTCAACCAGTCCCAGAAGGCCCTGTTGACCACCATCGAGGAGGGACTGTCCTCCGTCAACATGGCCAGGACAGACCTACAACAGAGGGCACAGGTCCCCAAGCTCGGATCAGACGCGGTACGTACAGCAACATTGTGGGGGAACATTGGTAGCAAGGAGTAGTTGGATGGTGACCGTGTTCCGCAGTTTGACTTGACAGAGCCTCTAAGGCTTTGGTCCTGCCCCATATTGGACCCGTGAAGATTCCGGGGTAGAATAGGTCTTCAGCAACCCATGCTTGTCGTAAAAGGCGACTAACGGGATCGGGTGGCCAGGCTCGCTGACTTGGTTGATGCATGTCATCGATCTCAATTGTGTGGATCAATGCTCATGATATTAATCACTGGATTGTCTGGTCCAGTCCTTGCCAAACTGCCCAAAAGTTGAGGTATCATAACGTCTATTAGAAATTTTGCTCTGTTTAAGGGTTTGGCTATATACTATCATTTTTTGACTGGTGGTCTAAAACTGTTTGCTTCTATCGATGTTGCATGGTGTCTCCTACGGCAAGTGAATCAACTTTAGATAGCAGCTTTATCTTTTCCTAAGATTGTTTTCTAAGAAACTAGTATCACCGTGAAATTGTGCAATGTTTGGTTTGTTTACATCCAATAGATATGGGGAGTGTTGTTCAATGTAAAGTGCCTGATATATGAACAGAAGAAAGTCTGGAGTCCTTTCATAAGATGTGCCGGTGTGTTTATATCCAATAGATATGGGGAGTGTTGTTGTTCAATGTAAAGTGCCTGATATATGAACAGAAGAAAGTCTGGAGTCCTTTATTAGATGTACCGGTGTGTTGATGATGCTCTTGCTGTTGCCAGGCCTCCAAGAAGTGGCGTGAGAACCAGCTGGACCTCAACAGACAGAAGGTGGGCTCCCAGCTGTCAGCCATGAACGCCGCCACGGCACAGCTCGTCACGCTCACCTCCGGCAAGGAGGACGAGATCGACTACAACGCTGTCGGCTCAGCCGTCCATCAAATGTGAGCACATTCTTCCTTCACTAAGGCTATAAATAACTACTACAAAACTTTATAACTGTTATTAAGGAAGGAGCTTGTGCACTTTCCTTACCAATATGGCGGAAGGTATCTGGTATCTGGTATCTAACTCGTTTCTGTTTATCATCTCCCCTGTGACTACTGTGATAATGAGGAACTTCCCTCCATGTCTCCAGTTCGTCCAACCTGGGTCAGTTCAGCCGGGATGTGAAGATGGTGGCTGCCCTACAGGAAGAGAACAATGACAAACTGCTGGACGCTGCACGACGCCTCGCCGGCGCCTTCTCCGACCTTCTCAACGCTGCAACGCCCGCCAATGTGGAGGTGAATATACCAAGGATATATTTCTTCACAATACATACCGGGCGGTCAGATAGCCTAGTGGTTAAAGCGTTCGCTCTTCACGGGTTTGATTCCTGACATGGGTACAATGTGTGAAGCCCATTTCTGGTGTCCCCTGCCGTGATATTGCTGGAATATTGCTAAAAGCGGCGTAAAGTCATACCCTACCCGGGTATCCACTGTTGGTGTCAAGAGATACAAAATGTCTGATTTGGAATAGTTTGACTGTAGCCCTGGACAAGATGTATTTAGATACACGTATGAATCGATCTGGACATGCATACACTGACGTTGACTGAAGTTTTATCTTTATTCAAACATATAAAAGTCTTGGTGCATAGTCAAAAAGAAATGTGAACATTAGTGACTTGTAGTGTAACCATGAAGTTCAAGATCATTTTTGTCATTAAACAATATATCACATGACCAACCACGGGTCTGAGTAGTTCTGTGGTATCCGGGTCCTTCTCAGTACCCACCCGACCCGAGTACCCGACTTACCCGGACCCTAGATTCTGGGTTAGAATGGGTGCACAAGTTGCAGAGTCAAACCTGTGTTTATCCTCATCACTATGCGTGTCGTAAAAGGCGACTAACGGGATCAGGTGGTCAGGCTTGCTGACTTGGTTGATGCATGTCATCGATCCCAAATGGGTGGATCGATGCTCATGATATAAATCACTGGATTGTCTGGTCGAGACTCGATTATTTACAGACTGCCGTCATATAGCTGGAATATTGCTGAGTGCAGCGTTAAACAACAAACAAACCAACCAAACCATCACTTCATGAGACCTGTGGACGTGAAGCTTGTTCAGGTTCAGGTTCAGGTCAACTCATGTGTGTCATTGTTTCACTGACTTCAATGCTGCTAGAACCGTAGTTGACTGGGGGGATTCAGGGTAAGAATATACGTCCCCAGCAACCTTTGCTTGTCGTAAGAGGCAACTAAATGGATCTGGTTGTCAGCCTCGCTGACTTGGTTGATGCATGTCAAGAATTGTTTTAGATCAATGCTAATGATGTATATCACTGGATTGTTTGGTCCATGTTTGATGAAGACCAGCATCCTATTGCTGGAATATTGGTCTGGTGTTAAGCAACAGACAAACAGATAAACCATTATGGTCCTGGCCTACAGTACACTGGCTGTATGTATGATAATATCGACCATCTCGTATGAGGCTAACCGGTGTATGTGTATTGCAGCCGCACCAGATAAACCATTATGATCCTGGCCTACAGTACACTTGGCTGTATGTATGATAATATCGACCATCTCGTATGAGGCTAACCGGTGTATGTGTATTGCAGCCGCGCCAGATAAACCATTATGATCCTGGCCTACAGTACACTGGCTGCATGTATGATAATATCGACCATCTCATATGAAGCTAACCGGTGTCTGTGTATTGCAGCCGCGCCAGAACCTGCTAGCAGCTGCCAGCAAGATCGGGGAGGCCAGCCAGGAGGTCATGGATGAGGTCGGCGAGACCACTGAGGACCTGGACAGAGTCTTCCAGGTCAGTACAGCCTAGACTAACACCTAGTCTCTGAAATGAACATATCCTACAGAAAAAACAGTTGTTCAGTTATCTTAATAAGAAAATAATAAAAGGGAGCCCAGTGACTCTCTTCATTTTCAGATGATACTGCAGTAATCTAGACTTGCCAAACATTATAGACTTGCATGGGCTGTATTGGATAAATTTGTATCAGGGTCTGTAGGACAGACTAAGTACAGCCCTGCAGGAGGTCATCAGTTCTCAGGATCATAAATAGTGCTTGTTGATTGAAGTGATGATGAGTTGTATGGACTGCATTTGGCAAAGTCAGAATAAAATCCTTTTTTATTTTGGCTTAAGAATGTTGGTCAGTCTCAGGCATTGTATTCCAGCACTGTTTCTAAACTTATGGAAGTCAATGAAAATATGTCTTACTCTTATTTTTAGCATGACATTGTATATTTGAAATCATTAGCCTTGTGTGTTTCTCTACCATATTTTCACTCAGCTAGTAACTCGTCTGTATTAATCATCCCCCAAAAGCTGGGATCACTGTGACATAGCTGCCAAATTGTTTGCACGTGTTAAGAATTTGAAACTAAAAACAAAAAAACCCAACTGTCTTTATTCCATCATTCACCCAAATAGTGTGCCAATTTAATCTTAAAAATAATCAGCAGGACTGAACTTCCTAGACTGTCGGTCATTGTTTTATTTAGCCTTACATTATGTGCTACGAACGGGTGTTGTTTTCAACTGGTATGAAGTCTACTTTGAGCTAAAACAGAAACTAAATGATGAAACAAACTTCATATCATCTTGTTTTGGTGTCCCAGGCAGAAGATTGAAGTCAAATACTACTACTAAGTGGGCTGCCATCCTGTGATAATGAGGACTCCTTGATCAGATGATCAGTTGTGTTTAGGGTTTACTTTTATACAAACTGTTCATTTTTATCCTAAGGATTGTTAGACAAAGTCTCTGTTTGTGTTTGCAGGACACGCTCCTGTCACTGGCTAAGGCAGTGGCTAATGCCACGGCGGCGCTGGTACTGAAGGCGAAGAACGTGGCCTCCAAGACGGAGGACCAGGGTCTGCAGAACAGGGTCATCAGCTCCGCCACGCAGTGCGCCCTCGCCACGTCCCAGCTGGTGGCCTGCACCAAGGTAACTACATCACTCAACTCTCATCTCACATCACTCTACTCTCATCTCACATCACTCAACTCTCATCTCACATCACTCAACTCTCACTCAACTCTCATCTCACATCACTCAACTCTCATCTCATATCACTCAACTCTCATCTCACATCACTCAACTCTCATATCACATCACTCAACTCACATCACTCAACTCTCATCTCATATCACTCATCTCACATCTCACATCTCACATCTCACATCACTCAACTCTCATCTCACATCACTCAACTCTCATCTCCCATCTCACATCAGGGGACTGCCACCGTGGTCTAGTAGATGGAGCATCTGCTCAGAGAGAAGAAGGCCGGTGGTTTGATACCCGGCCCCATCCTACCAAAAGACGTTTAAAGTCTGTTCTTGTTATTTCCTGTTAACTTAGATATTTTGGATGTAAAACTTGTAGTTTCCAATAGAAATTGGTGATCAGTATTAGCGTTTACGACTTTATGATTGTAATGGTTTTACCATCTCTGCATCCATGTTCCATGTCGCTACATAATGTTGACCGTGAAGTTAAACCCCCATGTCACCTCCCCTCCCCTCAGGTTGTGGCGCCCACCATCGGGAACCCGGCCTGCCAGGAACAGCTGATCGAGGCCGCCAAGCTCGTCGCCAAGTCCGTGGAGGGCATCGTGGAGGCAGCACAGTCGGCATGTAAGGACGACCACCTGCTGCAGGATCTGGGCGGCGCCGCCACGGCCGTCACCAAGGCCCTCAATGACCTCCTGCAACATATCAAGAAGGCCGCTGTGCCTGTCAGGGTCAGTACATAGTCAATCGTCCTGTGAAATGTCCCTTGAAGACCAGGGTTAGAATTGGTGTTCACCAAGCCATTTGAGTGGTCAGACTCGCTGACTTGGTTAATGCATGTCATCATATCCCAATTATGTTGATCGATGCTCATGATGTCAATCACTGAATTGTCTGATCCAGATTTGATGTTTTCAGAATGCTGTCACATAGCTTGACTATATTGTAGGCGTTAAGCAACAAACAAACAAAACCAATAAAATCTCACTAACTCACTTTTCAAGTGTATCAAATGTCAAAGAGTTAATTAAAGTCATCTTTTAGCATACAAGACATTCCAAGAACTGATAGCTGTTCAATGTAAAAACCATAGGGCGGGACTTTTTCAGTTGATATGTCTGTGAGTTGATGATGATGATGATGACGATGATGATGATGATGATGATGATGATGATGATGATTGCAGGCCAGTGAGCAGCATGAGGAGGCGGTGGACCAGATCATCACCGTCACAGACAACCTGTTCAGCAGTGTGGGCGACGCCCACGAGATGGTCAAGCAGGCCAGACACCTGGCCCAGGTGAGTCCGGAGTGTGACAAGTAGAGTAGCTCATCCTAGTCTCAGCTCCTCACAGGGGCGGTCGGGTAGCCTAGTGGTTAAAGCGTTCGCTCGTCACGCTGAAAACCGGGTTCGATTCCCGACATGGGTACAATGTTTGAAGCCCATTTCTGGTGTCCCCCGCCGTGATATTGCTGGAATATTGCTAAAAGCGGCGTAAAATCAAACTCACTCACTCACTCACTCACTCACTCAGTTCCTCGCATGGGTAACCACAGCTGGAGCCTCATCTATTTGTGTCTGTTTGTTGCTGGGTTACTGTTTCATTTTCCAAAACCTTGTGGTCCAGACTTATCGCCTGATATCTGTGAAGATCCAGGGTAGAATAGGTCTTCAGCAACCCATGCTTGCCGTAAAAGACAACTATGCTTGTCGTGAGAGGCGACTAACGGGTTCGGGTGGTCAGACTCACTGACTTGGTTGATGCATGTCTTTGTATTCCAATTACCTGGATCGATGCTCATGATGTCAATCACTGGATTGTCTGGTCCAGACTCTATTTTATACAGTTTGCCATCATATCGCTGGAATATTGCTGAGTGCGGCATTGAACAAACAAACAAACAAACAAGCATCATGTCACTGACTGTAGCATTAAGCAACAAACAAATAAACAAACTGTAAGAGCATGTGGTCTGTCTGATTAGATAGAAGTCAGGACCCTATGTTGTGTTGCAGGCCACGTCCCAGCTGGTCAGTGCCATCAGGAACCAGGCTGAGACCAACACCGACTCCGACGTACAGAAGCGTCTCCTAGCAGCAGCCAAACAACTAGCTGACGCTACAGCCAAACTGGTGGAGGCGGCCAAGGTGAGGACTCTCAGTGTGTTCAGGACCACAACAGTAGGAGCGATGACGTAGAGACGACATAGAGAAGACATAGAGATGACGTAGAGATGACGTAGAGACTACGTAGAGATGACGTAGAGATGATGTAGAGATGACGTAGAGATGACGTAGAGATGACGTAGAGATGACGTAGAGACTACGTAGAGACGATGTAGAGATGACGTAGAGATGACGTAGAGACAATGTAGAGATGACATAGAGATGACATAGAGATGATGTAGAGACGACATAGAAATGACATAGAGATGACATACAAGGGATGGCAGTTCCATGGAACTGATTGGGAGTGAAATGGGTCGAACTGAGAAATATCAAAGCTATCAGAATTAATTTTGGGCTAATTTTTTCTTAGCCTTCTCAATCTAGGATGTGACGTGATAAGGAATAGCTCAAATAGATTTTGTCTTTATGGATTTTAAATAATATCAGAGACCATTGTGAAGCTTTAGTGTCTGACTATTCATTGACTTCATTTTGACCGGGTTAGAATAGGTTGTTGGAGGTACCTGGTTGTTAGACTAAACTGGACTGTTAGGTAGAACTCTGTGATGTGATATGGGTGGAATCTTGCTGGGAGCAGAGCTAGACATTCACTCCCTTGTTCTACATTGTCAGGGCTGTGCCTCCAATCCCAATGACTCCGACCAGCAGCAGATTCTCCGGTCCGCGGCAGAGGAGTTGCGCTCCGCCACCAACGCCGCTGCCAGCAACCAGCTGAAGAGGAAGCTGATCAACAGGCTGGAGGTAAGCGACTGCTTAGATAATTATCGCCATAACATTACATGAAAATATGGACTAACAGAACTGCATAATTTGTCAGAAAAACAATTTTCCGTTAAGATAAATCCCCAATAGTTCACCATGTTTGTTCTGTTCCAGAATGCCGCCAACCATGCTGCTGCTGCCGCCACCCAGCTCATCAACTCCTCCTCCCTCGCCAACAAGACGAACCGTAACGCCACCACGGAGGCCCAGCTCCGACAGCAGTGTGAGGTGGGTGACAGGGACTCTGTACTGGTGCCTGGGGTTGTACAGGCTCAGTGGGCGATTTTTAATCAAAGTCTGTCTCATCTTATATCTCAGACTCATACGGGTGTCCCAGTTGTCTAAAGCACCACAATTTGCTGTGCAGAGTTATCTCCCTTTGAGTTGCCAGGAACCTATGATCTTGGCTTTCAATCCTGTATTCTACATTTGTCAACACCTTACCATGCTTGGAGGTGTCACCAAAATGGTACTGTTCAAAATTGTTGAAGGCAGTTTGTTAAACTAAAGTCTCTCACTCATTAAATTGTAGAGAAGAACAAGTTCTGTTCAATTGCAAGTCTGCTTAATTGAATTTTATGATATATACATCTGACAGTTTTGATTAAGCTCATAATAAGAGACAACATACAATATGTGGATATTAGCACCAGACTGGGGGTGTCACTTGGCACACAATATGTGGATATTAGCAGCAGACTGGGGGTGTCACTTGGCACACAATATGTGGACATTAGCAGCAGACTGGGGGTGTCACTTATTGGCTGTAGCTGTTACCTGCAGGGAAAGTATCAGTGGTCACTGACCTAGCACTGTGTGTGTTGTAGGCTGTGAATGAGGAGATACCTCCCCTGGTACACGCTATCCGAGCCTCCCAGCGCAGTCAGGACAGCGCCACCGCACAGCTGTCTCTCATCAACGCCAGCCAGGACTTCATACAGGTATGTCACACATGTCACACACGTCATACACGTCATACACGTCATACACGTCACACTCACACATGCACACACACGTCATACATGTCATACACGTCACACTCACACATGCACACACACGTCATACATGTCATACACGTCATACACGTCACACACGTCATACACGTCACACACGTCACAAACGTCATACACGTCACACACGTCAAACACGTCATACACGTCACGTGCATGTCACACTCGCATGCACACACGTCACACACGTCATACAGGTATGTCACACACGTCACACATGTCATACACGTCATACACGTCACACACATGTCACACTCACACATGCACACACACGTCACACATGCACTTACACATGCACACACACGTCACACACGTCACGTGCATGTCACACTCACACATGCACACACACGTCATACACGTCGCACACGTCATACATGTCGCATGCATGTCACACTCACACATGCACACACACGTCATACACGTCACACACGTCATACATGTCGCATGCATGTCACACTCACACACGCACACAAGTCACACACATATCAAACTCACACATGCACACACACACACGTCACACACATACACATATCAGTTCCTAGTGCTATGTCACATAGACACTAATGATGCATCTAACAACTTCAACACTGAAACATAAGTATATACATTGTATGTTCTTGAAGCCGGCCAGCAGGATGGTAGCTGCTGCCAACGCCGCCGCTCCAACAGTGACGGACCAGGCTGCAGTCCTCAACCTCCACAACAGCGTCAAGGCCATGACATCAGCACTCGCAGAACTCAGGACAGCCTCATCGAAGGTCAGTCTCACAGATTCCTGCGTATTGACTCCCGAGTTGGTCAGAGTCGGTGACTTTCTTGATTGACTGCGTCGTACCAGACAGTGTCGTTGTAGAACATAATGCATATTTGCCCGTGGTTTATTTGGCCCAGGCTCAATGAAAGTACAGCCACTGTTATAGGGCTTGAATAGTGCTGACTGCAGCATAAACAACAGACAAACAAACAAAATCTTTAGGTTTTGCCCCAAACTACCCAGACATGACAAAACTGACTTTCAAACTCAACAACTCATTCTTCAAGTGTGTCCATTGTCCAAAAGTTACAGTTGTCTTTGTTAGTGCCCTCTATCACACTGAGAATACAAACATTTCCTGAACTGGGTCCACGTGTCAAGAGACTGGAGCTTCTGGGTCAGAATAGCTTCCCAGTAGCTTGTCTTAAGTTTAAGGTGGGGATTGGGTGGGGGAAATGTCTGACTTCTTTGTGTAACCCTTCCACAGTAGGCCTCCATGACAAACCTGGAATATGAATAGTAATTTATGAGCAAATAAAGATGTTGTTGTGCACAACATTCCAAAATGGCGTCCGGTTGTCATTTTACCGAGATGACCAAATTACAAAAATTAAACATACACGGATATGGGGTGAAATGTTGGCCAGCCAGACGGGCCATCTCCTAGACGTTTCAGCAAGCCCTTTGTAATTATAACTGGCCACGGGCCAACGGGTCAACAGTTAAACTGACATCTCTAATGCGACACAAGACACTCACTGTTGACATCCTACACCCAGTATGTAATCCCTGTCTGGTTTCACGCCCACTGATATTGCGGGAATGTTGCTGAAAGGGGCATAAAACCATCCTCATTCTCCTTCCTCAGTATACGGGGCGGTCGGGTAGCCTAGTGGTTAAAGCGTTGGCTCGTCACGCCAAAGACCCGGGTTCGATTCCCGACATTGATACAATGTTTCTGGTGTCCCTCACCGTAATATTGCTGGAATATTGCTAAAAGCGGCGTAAAACCACACTCACTCACTCACTCACTCACTCACTCACTCACTCCACAGTATACAAGCAAGCTTTTAGCGTGGATTTAGTCTGACTCTATTCAGCATGTGATCCCTCCGTTGTGTAGGCCCAGGAGGCGTGTGGCACACTGGAGGTGGAGTCCGCCCTGGACCAGGTGCATGGACTCAACTACCAGCTGGACGAGATCAAGAAGGCAACAAACGAAGGACGCCTCGTCCCCCTGCCTGGAGAGACGGTACGTCGTCGCTAGTAGTGGACAACTGCAGCTTCTTTCCTGCATGCGGAGTCTTTGTTAACTGATTGTTTCCTGAAGAGAAAATGTTTATTACATTATGTCCGTGTAGCAGTAATGGGCAAAGTGCCATCAAAAAGTTGCCTTCTTAAAAACATAAAATGTGACTTAGGTTAGTTAGACATAGGAATATTACAGGTACAGATATTTTGGGTCATGAAGTGAAAAAAGATAATTTCCCACACAGTTGATTATTATCTGTGAAGAGCGACATCACATCATCCTGTGTGTGCTAGCGCAGTGTTAATGATTAACATGAAAGTATGCATGAATGTCAACCCTGAGGTTAAGAATCAAACATTTTGGATGTCCGTAGATTCAGATGTTATTGGGGAAACCTAAAGGGCCCCAGGGCTCCAATTGCTATGTTCGTAACTCACTGTCAAGTGTAGCCTGGGCAGTAGAGCATCTAGTGTGTGTGGTTTACACGTGATGTAGCTCAGTGATTCTCTCCCCACAGGCTCAGTCAGCTGCTCTCCAGCTGGGAACTACGTCCAAGACGGTCGGCTCCTCCATGGCACAGCTGCTCACAGCTGCAGCTCAGGTCTGTTGTCTCCCCTGTCTTTGGTTGTCTCCCCTGTCATCGGTTGTCTCCCCTTGTCTCTTTTTTTTTATTGCTAGTTTGCTTCTATTCTTCTGTAGATTAAATGTGATTGCAAGGAATACATGAGGTTGAAGGGTTTATCAGATGTGACAGCCAAGCATGAAGTATTCTGGTCAGAATATTTTCATCACTGCCTTTGGGCGGTCGTGTAGCCTAGTGGTTAAAGCGTTCGCTCGTCACGCCGAAGACCCGGGTTCGATTCCCATCATGGGTACAATGTGTTAAGCCCATTTTTGGTGTCCCCCACCGTCCCCTCACTGCCTTAACTTGTTTCAGAGCCCAATAACATTGTTATGGAGTGGTTGTGCTTTGTGACTGACACTGATCAGCCACTGGGTTGACTGACTGGATTATTTAGTCAGTCAGCTTGTATATTCCTGACTACTGGCGTAAAACAACAAACGAAACCTAAAAATATGAAATTGAAGTGTTTTTTGTGTCTTTTCTTCAGGGTAATGAAGACTATGTTGGTATCGCTGCTCGGGATACGGCCAACGCACTGCGGGTGTTGACGTCAGCAGTGCGCGGTGTTGCTGCAACCACCACGGACAGGCAGGTCCAGCACGCCATCATCGAGTGTGCCCAGGACATCATGGACAAGTCTGTCATCCTTCTGGAGGAGGCCAAGCGGGTGATGCGGGACCCCAGCAACCCCGAGAACATACAGAGGCTCAACCAGGTACGTGTAGACAGTAGACAGAGGCTCAACCAGGTACGTGTAGACAGAGGTTCAACCAGGTAGGTGTAGGCAGTAGGCAGAGGCTCAACCAGGTACGTGTAGACAGTAGACAGAGGCTCAACCAGGTACATGTAGATAGTAGACAGAAGCTCGACCAGGAATGTGTAGACAGTAGACAGAGGCTCAACCAGGTATTAAGACCGAGATCAGTATTCAGTGTTGAGTAGACAATCTACTGTAGCCAGAGCAGACAGTGTTGTTGGTCTTCAGTGCAGGGCTAGAAATTAATTTTCATTTTTACTGATCCACAAAAACAGCTACATCTTGCTAATGTTAACAGTAAGTAGCTGATGTTAAAAGTAAGTAGCTAATGTTAACAGTAAGTAGCTGATGTTAAAAGTAAGTAGCTAATGTTAAAGTAAGTAGCTAATGTTAAAGTAAGTAGCTAATGTTAACAGTAAGTAGCTAATGTTAACAGTAAGTAGCTAATGTTAACAGTAAGTAGCTAATGTTAACAGTAAGTAGCTAATGTTAACAGTAAGTAGCTAATGTTAAAGTAAGTAGCTAATGTTAACAGTAAGTAGCTAATGTTAACAGTAAGTGTCCACAAGGAAATGTAACCGGTCCTACCTGAAGTTTACTAGTCTCAGACTAGCGGACATGTTAATTTCGAACCCCGAGGTCACCCTATTCAGCAGACAGCAGAGATGTAAACAAGCATATTGTGTGTTGCAGGTATCCAAGAGTGTGTCGAACGCCCTCAACAACTGTGTGAACTGCCTGCCAGGTCAGAGAGACGTGGACGCCGCCCTCAGACACATCACCGCCTCCAGCCAGACTCTCTCCTCCCCTCGGGTAGGTCCTCGCTGCCTTGTGGTTAAAGCCTCGGTTCGATTCCCCTCATGGGTACAATGTATGAGCACATTTCTTGTGTCCTCCGTTTAAGTGGTTTAAGACCTGTGAAGATCCAGGGTAGAATAGGTCTTCAGCAACCCATGCTTGCCGTAAAAGGTGACTATGCTTGTCGTAAAAGGTGACTAACGGGATCGGGTGGTCAGGCTCGCTGACTTGGTTGATACATGTCATCGGTCCCAATTGCGTGGATCGATGCTCATGATATTAATCACTGGATTGTCTTGTCCAGACTTGATTATTTACAGACTGCCGTCATATAGCTGGAATATTGCTGAGTGCAGCGTTAAACAACGAACAAACAAACAAACAAACAAACTTAAGTGGTTTCATACCATACATACTCATTCACTCTACTTACACTCCAACCCCGTGAAGATCCGGGTTAGAATTGGTCTTCAGTAACCCATGCATGTCTTAAAAGGCGACTGGATTATTGCTGAGCGCGCCATTAAACAACAAACAAACTAAAATACCTACACTCTACTTACTCAATCATTCAGTTGTATTTTATCCCCTCCTTTATTGTATGGAACACATGTCTATTGGTGTAGTTCCCCGGGACGGGCAAGTCGTACCAAGATGTTCAGGTCGACATGAACAACGCAGCAGTGGGCTTGAACCAGGCGGCCAGCAACATCGTGACGTCATCCCGCGGCACCCCCCAGCAGCTGGCGATGTCCTCCTCCCAGTACGGACACTCCTACCAGGAGTTCGTGGACACCGGACTCACCATGGCCGGACTCTCCAAGGACGTGGAGACACAGAACCAGATCGTGGGTGGCCTCAAGAGCGTGTCCATGGTGTCCAGTAAGCTACTGCTGGCAGCCAAGTCCGTCTCGGCCGACCCTAATGCCCCCAACGCCAAGAACCTCCTGGCCCAGGCTGCAAGGTGAGGAGTTCATGATGGTGTTCATCATGTTCTGAAACCAATGTAACTTGTTCTAAAGGGCACGCGTAACATCCCCTTGGCGGCTGATAGTGCCCTTAGCATAGCTACTGATAGTGCCCTTAGCATAGCTGCTGATAGTGCCCTTAGCATAGCTGCTGATAGTGCCCTTAGCATAGCCGCTGATAGTGCCCTTAGCATAGCTACTGATAGTGCCCTTAGCATAGCTGCTGATAGTGCCCTTAGCATAGCCGCTGATAGTGCCCTTAGGATAGCTGCTGATAGTGCCCTTAGCATAGCCGCTGATAGTGCCCTTAGCATAGCTGCTGATAGTGCCCTTAGCATAGCCGCTGATAGTGCCCTTAGCATAGCCGCTGATAGTGCCCTTAGCATAGCCGCTGATAGTGCCCTTAGCATAACCGCTTTGTGCTTTTGGTCCTAGATTAGAAAATGTCCAAAACATTCTTTGCTCGTTGTATGGGGCAACTGGATTGGATCAATTGGTGAGACTCAGTTGATTGCTGCTATCGTTGTACTTGTCAAACATCAAAGACCTGTATCACTTAGGGCTTTCCTCCCACATTAAGCTGACACGGCGTGATATAACTAATACTTATACAAATAATGGGACGGTGTTAACTAACTCACTCACTCTTAAAGCCAACCTTTCGCTGGATTATTTACAAGATGTCGTAATGTAGCTGAAATATAAACACAAACGAATCTAATATTCACACCACTGTTGTTGTTCACCGTGTGTTCACCATGTGTTCACCATGTGTTCAAGATGTCGTGATGTAGCTGAAATATAAACACAAACGAATCTAATCACCACACCACTGTTGTTGTTCACCGTGTGTTCACGGTGTGTGTTCACTATATGTTCACTGTGTGTTCACCATATGTTCACCATGTGTTCACTGTTTGTTCACTGTGTTCACTGTTAGTTCACCGTGTGTTCACCATGTGTTCACCGTGTGTGATGTTCTCACAGGGCGGTGACGGAGAGCATCAACCACCTCATCAACATCTGCACCGTGTCCGCCCCCGGACAGAAGGAGTGCGACAACGCCCTGCGCCAGATAGAGATGATGCACAATCTCCTTGACAACGCCAACGAGCCAATCAGTGATGCCCCGTATTTCGAGTGCCTTGATGGAGTTATGGACAAATCAAAGGTGAGTCACTCAACCATATTCATCAAGTGATATAGAAGTTGTCAAGGACTTCAGACAAGTGCTTGTGGCAGGCAAATTAGGAACAAGAATTCAAGTCTGCATTTTTTCAAAGATATTTTGTCATTGCATTCAATGAAATAATGTAAAACCACGTAGCCAAACATATTTTTCATTATTTGTCCAATTATCAGTGAAATGGAATGGGAATGTTTGGGGATTTCTTGTGGTCTCACTTTGGAACTTATTACCAACTTTGCCATATACCTTGGTCTCAATAATACCAGGAACAAAATCCCTGAACATATCGGTATGACTGCCCTGCCACTCCTATAGCAGTCCTCAGACAGTTTGTACGGTATACACAGCAAGACTAGAATACCTTTAACTTGCTTCTGGAATAAGGTACCAGAGAGACCGATGGATTCCAGGTTAGAATTGGTTCCCAGAAACCTATGCTGGTCGTTGCTTGGGTGGTCAGTCTCAGTGACTTTGCTGATAGTGTGTCATTGTTCCCTAATGACATGGATCGTTGCTCACTATATCAATCACTGGATTGTCTGGTCATAGCTGGAATATTGCTGAGTGCAGCGTTACATAAACAAGATACCAGATATCTAGCATATTCTAGTCAGTGCCAACATCCATGTTACTAGATAGGACTGACGTGTTTCTGAACTCGCTGTCATTGTGTGTCCATGTTTGTGACGCTTCATGTTGTGAGCCATCATTCATCTCCTCATGCACCTGACACCCCCCACACAGTTGACGCCTGTACGCCTGTACAGGAAGGTCACAGTTAGAATAGGTCTTCTGCAACCCATGCTTGTTGTAGAGGCCACACACAGTTGATGCCTGTACGCCTGTACAGGAAGGGCACAGTTAGAATAGGTCTTCAGCAACCCATGCTTGTTGTAGAGGCCATACACAGTTGATGCCTGTACGCCTGTACAGGAAGGTCACAGTTAGAATAGGTCTTCAGCAACCCATGCTTGTTGTAGAGGCCATACACAGTTGATGCCTGTTCGCCTGTACAGGAAGGTCACAGTTAGAATAGGTCTTCAGCAACCCATGCTTGAAGAGGTGACAAACAGGATCGGGTGCTCAGTTTACTGACATCTTTGATGTGTATCATCATATCCCAAGTGCATAGATTGATGCTCATGATGTCAATCACTGGATTGTCTGGTCCAGACTTGACTATTTACAGACTGCTGAAATATAGTTGAGTGTGACGTTATACAACAAACAAACATACAGCAAGCATACAAACAAACAAACAAACAAACAAACATACAGCAAGCATACAAACAAACAAACAAACAAACAAACATGGGAAATGAATGATCATCCTCTGTGGCTGGGCTATGTCATCGTGCTGCCAACAGCATTCATGAATGTTTATCATGCACTGATGTGCCTGCCCAATATGGATTGTCCATAAACCTGAACTAAGATAGCTGGAATATTGCTGACTGTGGTATAAAGTAAAGAAAATTCCAGACTCCCTGATTTTCCATCTCGACTTTAAGACTCGTGAAGATCCAAGTTGGAATAGGTCTTCAGCAACCCATGCTTGTCGTAAGAGGTGACTATGCTTGTCGTAAGAGGCGACATGCGGGATCGGATGGTTGACTCACTGACCTGGTTAATGCATGTCATCGTATCCCAATTGTGTGGATCGATGCTGATGATATCAATCACTGGATTGTCTGGTCCAGACCCGATTACTTACAGACCGGTGTCATATAGCTGGAATATTGCTAAGTGCGGCGTTAGACAACAAACAAACAAACAAACGACATCTCCACTTTCCATATGTGTGAATCTGTGATTGTTTCATCATCAGCCAACAGGGGGTCACCTGGAGGTAAGAGTTTATTGTACACGGCTGTCCTAGATTACACCATCTTCTTCATGTAGCTGCCTCATTTCATCTCAGTACTGGTGTCCTGTGTTCTCATCTTGTTTTCTACGTTTTCATATTTTGATTCATTACAATTTTCTCCTCGTCGTTGTGTCAGTGTTGAAAATCAACCAGGCCCTTTCCACTTACACTAAGTTCACTCCTATCTAGTCAGTGAGAGTAAGTTGACAGGTAGATTGCTTTGATAACCCATAGTTCTGCTAACAACAGTCTGCTGCTGCTTTACCTGAGTCGAGTTAAACACCCCCGTGACGGTCCTGGGTGGAATTGGTCTTCAGCAACACATGCTTGTCATAAGAGGCGACTAACAGGATCGGGTGGTCAGGCTCACTAACTTGGTTGATGCGTGTCATCGTATCCCCATTGTGTAGATTGATGCTCATGATGTCAATCACTGGATTGTGTGGTCCAGACTTGATTATTTACAGACCGTCGTCATATAGCTTGAATATTGCTGAGTGTGGCGTTAAACAACAAACAAACGAAACTAACAACAGTCTGTGACTTTACCACAAGCCCAAAGCCTGAGACAAGTTAAAAATTATGTTCAGTCTTGTAATCTCGGCTTATAATAGCCCGTTTTAGAACAAAACAGCTGAAAATGATGCTAAGATGCAAGTTCAGACAAGCAAACTCTAATGTTTCTTGTGGGACAGACTGACAATAACATTAGATCCTTAGCAGTCTGATATAAGACTGTTATTATATGAGGATTGGATGGCTAAAATGGCTGACCTGGCTGGGTGCTCACTCTATCAGTCACTGGTTTCCTGGCCCAGCTTTGATTATTTACAGTCAGACATGTTATAGCTTGTTGATTTCCATCCCCAATTATATGTTCATGTTACTTTTATCTTCATATGACTATAACCGGTTAACCATTAAGAGCTGACAGTTAATAATGATGTGACATTTGTTGAGCAGTGATTCAAATAAGAAGAAGTACTGGGGTCCTTTAGGTTTTCTTCTGTACTATTTGAATCTAGGGAGCCCTAAATCTTTAACTTTCAACTTTTCCTGCTTAGTTTTTAACAATGTGGGGCGTAAAATATCAACATCTAAGCACAGCCATTATTATTTTGCATTCAGAACTGCCTGTTTACATTTGGTTTCAAGATAGGTAAGCTGTTCCAAATGATATGCTTGCTCATACAGAGAATTTAGAAGTTGATTGTCTAATTAGAAAGTTCACCTGACATAATGAGGATGTTGATGGAATATCGGAGTTAAACATCGGATCTCCAGTAAACTATGGTTATAACAAACTCAAATGGGCCACTACTTTTAATTCGTTATAACCGTAGTTCGTTATAAGCATATGTATAGCATATATATACAGCAGTGACTTGGGAAAAAAATAAGTTTGTCATATTCGTCAGTTCGTTATAAGCGTGTTCGTTATAAATGTAGTTTACTGTACTTGAGATTGGTCCATGTGTGTACCCATCTGTATGTCTGTATGTCCTGCCTGTTGTCTGTCTGTACGTCGGTGGTCTGTAGCTGGTCTGTGTGTTGAAGGTCTGTGGCTGATGTCTGTGTCTACATTTCAGAGTCTGGGAGAAGCCATGACAGGAATCTCCCAGCATGCCAAGAGAGGAGACATTGATGAGTTCTGTGACTCTGTGAGGAATTTCGCCAACTCCGTGTGTGGACTGACAGAAGCCTCTGGGCAGGTAGGTGTTACGCAGTTATACCACGTTATTCCATGGCGTTGTCTTTGGTGTGGAACCAAACTCACTGAAAATGTCAGTATTCTTCATCAGAGATCAGGGCTTCAGACCACTGTCTTTGACTCAGCGATTCTAGAGAATATTTCACAGGCATGTCCAGACCTAGTGGATGTTCTGGGGGCACGGGTGGCCCAGTCGTTTAAGGCGCCACGATTCGCTGTGCAGAGTTGCGTCCCTTGGGCACGCCAGAAACCTATGGTTGTGGGTTCGAATCCCGGTTCGCCCCGATTATGTTTCTAGGTTTGTCAGCACCATACCCGTGCTCGTGGGTTTCACCGAAGTGGTAAACGTCTGAGACCTGCATCACTTGTATTGCAAACTGCCATGTTGATGTCAGTGTACATGACATAAACGCATTAGGAAATATGTGTGTGACCCCATGGATTCCAGGTTAGATTTGGCCTCCTACAACCTATGATGGTAATAAGAGGAGACCAAATGGATCGGGTTGTTAGGCTTTGTGACTTGGTGACTTGGTAGAAAATGTGTCATCGTACCCCAGCGATGTGGATCTTTCTCACAATATCGATCACTGGATTGTCTGGTCCAGAATTGGTTATTAACAGATCGCCATCATATAGCTGGAATATTGTTTAGTACGATGTTAAAAAATGAACAAAGAAATGACACTCTGTGTGTGCTGTTGTATGGAGACTGCATGAAGGTATGTCTGTATTGCAGGCTGCCTACCTGGTAGGTATCGCTGACCCTGCCTCGGAACCCGGCCGGCCCGGCGTTGTGGATCAGTCCCAGTTCTCCCGGGCCAACCAGGCCATTCAGATGGCCTGCCAGAACCTCACCAACCCTGCCAGCTCACAACAGCAGGTAGGTGGCGCTGTGCTGTGCTGTGCTATCATTGTCTATACACTGCCTGCAGACCCCGACTTCCAAGCAGGGTGGTGTTTCGACCACATTACACCATCTTACCTCTTTTGAATCATAAAGTAGAAAATATAATTATGAAATGGAATTTCATTTGAAAGAATTTAAAAAAAATATAATTATGGGTATTTGTTATTGAAGTTTAAAAATGAACACAAAATATTGATTGACATAACAAAACATAGGTACATGCATAATATTCCTGTAATTGTTAGTTAACTGAAATGACTGTTATGAACGAAAATCACACACAAGGACGTAACTCACACGCAATCAAGGGGGGAAATAAACTAAAATTGAACATGACGTCTTTTCTTATCCAGGGATTTATCTAGACTGCAGTCTGTAGAAAATGTCAGTGTAAAATCCAAAATTTGAAGTGAAAATGTGTCCATTTCATGCTATTATCTATAAAAATGATGTCTTATAGTCCGTATTAGGAACAATGATGAGAAAGTAGCTTTAATGTTTAGTTTTACATCATAAATTACAATTTTAAGATACAATTTTAAAATAATCTGCAGTTAGGAAAATAAGTAATTTAGAAAATCCCATTTTTGTACAAAAGGAACATTTTTTTCCAAACTTGCCTGCCAAGAGCATTAGTTTGGAATTCTAGATATATCCCTGTTGTGATTTTATTGTTATTGACGTGAAAATGTGTTTTGTTGTGGAACACTTCGTAATTTGATCAGTTTAAATATTATTTAAAACTGAAGTAAAGAGTTTGATAAACATAAATTATCTTAGATAAAATGTCATTTTTCATAATTGATTATTGATCAAATTTATTTGTGAATTCTAAAGTTGTAATGTTTTTTTCTGTAGTGAGCATGAAGCTTGTGTCTTGGGTAGTCAGCCATGTTCTGCATTGCCTTGTTTATTCCAACACATCTAACATCAACATCAGCAAATAAGATTTTGGACCACTTCTACAAAATATGTTTGAGCAAAACATCCCTAGAGTGTGCTCGTCGTCACGGTGTCATACCACTGTCTAGCAGTAGGGAGTGATCTAAGACCTAGTTAGTTCAAGCCGGAATGAATACCGCCCTGTGAACTCCGCCTCATACCACTGTCTAGCAGTAGGGAGTGATCTAAGACCTAGTTAGTTCAAGCCGGAATGAATACCGCCCTGTGAATCTGATCCTGTCATCTCCTTTGGTCTTGGCTGTAGCATCTTCCTGAGGCAAGGGAGTTAACTGACCTTAAAAGTCAGGTTACCACCCTTGCCAAACTAGGCTGGAATGATGGAGTTATGTTTTGGCTGGACTAAGTCTATCCATCGTCCAATCAAAATCCTTTAACATACTGTAACTCGACAGCCGGTTCATAAACAACATGGCGACCGCCCTGCTGATTTCGGTTAATTGGAGGATTTGCATAGCATGTGTACTGTCAACTGGGCATTGACAGATATTGTCCAAATCTTTTCATGTATTTAATCAAGGTGCTCAAGTGATTTGATGCACTTCGCGAGGTAAAATCCTTTTTATTACAATAGAGATCTTTACTGTCGATGAAAATGGAGGAAACAAAACTCCAAAGTTCCTAACAAAAATTATGTAGACACATACAATTGTGCCAGACTATCATGTTTTGGTGAATTGTTTGGTTAGTGTGAACAAAATAAGGATTAAAATATTTCAAATTTCATTTTGGTTCTTCAAGACGTTTTGTGAATGTGTTACAATTATCATATTGATGAAGCCAGCATCGTTGGGCCACAGTGTTGTGTGCTGGACCTGAGGTTACAGTCATCGATAAGAGAATAATACTTTTCAGAATATATTTTTCACTTTTAAAGTTTTGGGGATTTAAAAAAAAAAGAGATTTAAAAAAAAAGAAGTATTCCTAAGTATGGATACGGAAGGTGACGAGCCGCTCTAAGATGTTTTGGTGTACAGTGTAGATGAGTGGGATACGCCTGTGTACAGCATGCCTGTTGTATGCCCTGTGATCTGCTGGAGACCCCTAACACTCGCTACACTCCCACACCTTCAGGTGTAACAGTAAATATGTATCACAATAAATAATTAGGTGACTGTTATTTGAAACTTATTATTTAAGTTACTATTGTTTAACATAGTGAATAATCAAGATTAAAGTGTTCTTGTATTGAGGGTATATATGTAATAATAAGTTGTGTGATCTTGTTGAGACAATGTAGCTTTAAGAATCTGATGAATTATGTTTGATTTCGTGAAAGCATGGTAAATAACAATATGAAGAGCTGTTAAAGCTAAGTCAGTGATAGGTAGTGGTGATAAGAGGAATCCTGCTATTACAACGGAACTGCATGGTGTGAACTTTCCACTTTGACCTTTGACCTAGGTGAATGTTCAAGCGCAGGTATGTGTTATAGGCCTATACTTACCACCTGTGTTAATCTGTATTATTGACATAACCTCAATAATAATAATAACTGTTTTCATTGGTTGAGCGGGTCAACTCAGATGTTAACTCAATGTTGATTGGTTCAAATTGTCTTTGAATTCATATTTAATAATTATTTATCAATTTGTCCTGATTTGAACCAATCAGGGCGTGTTCTCTCTGAATTGACCCTGCCAGTGAGACTGCTCGTTATGTGTTTGTTTAACAGTAACCATGGTAACTTTTTGTTTTGTGAAGTACTACGAGTCATGGGCTGTAAGATCTATGGTAAGCTGGCATCCGTTTTGCCCGACACGTCATGTCCGAGGTCCTCGGCCATCAATCGCTTCTGTCAGTTCCGCCCACAGTCTTCAGTTGCGTCTTGTCTCATGCATGCTTACACAGGCTGGTCCGGCCGCTACACAGCGTACGTAGAAGGGGACTTACGTAGGGACTGCGTTCTGTATGGTCCGGCCGCTACACAGCGTACGTAGAAGGGTACTTACGTAGGGACTGCGTTCTGTATGGTCCGGCCGCTACACAGCGTAAGTAGAAGGGTATTTACGTAGGGACTGTGTTCTGTATGGTCCGGCTGCTACACAGCGTATGTAGAAGGGTACTTACGTAGGGACTGCGTTCTGTATGGTCCGGCCGCTACACAGCTTACGTAGAAGTGGACTTACGTAGGGACTGCATTCTGTATGGTCCGGCCGCTACAAAGCGTACGTAGAAGGGGACCGTGATGAATGTGACTTACGTAGGGACTGCACAATGTATGTAGAAGGGGACCGTATTGAAAGTGACTTACGTAGGGACTGCAGTCAGGCTGGTCCAGCCGCTACACAGCGTATGCAGAAGGGGACCGTGATGAACGTGACTTACGTAGGGACTGCAGTCTGTATGGATAACTTCGGATGCAGTGACAGGTCAGGTGTTAATATATCGTATCGTAGGCAGGGAGTGTAGGCATAAGATAGGTAGGCATAACATAGGCACAGAATGTAGGGGACCATATTGAACGTGAAGTACGTTGGGACTGCAGTCTGTATGGATAACTTAGGATGCAGTGACAGGTCAGGTGTTAATATATCGTATCGTAGGCGGGGAGTGTAGGCATAAGATAGGAACAGAATGTGGAAGGGGACTTGTTGAATGTGACTTACGTAGGGACTGCAGTCTGTATGGATCACTAAGGATGCAGTGACAGATCAGGTGTTAGTGTATCTTATTGTATCATATCGTAGGCACTGACTGTAGGCATAACATAGGCACAGAATGTAGGGGACCGTATTGAACGTGACGTACGTAGGGACTGCAGTCTGTATGGATCACTTAGGATGCAGTGACAGATCAGGTGATAGTGTATCATATCGTATTGTATCGTAGGCAGGAAGTGTAGGCATAACATAGGCGCAGAATGTAGAAGGGGGCCGTATTGAACGTGACATACGTAGGGACTGCAGTCTGTAGGGATCACTTAGGATACAGTGACAGGTCAGGTGTTAGTGTATCGTATCGTATCATATCGTATCGTAGGCGGGGAGTGTAGGCATAACGTGACGTACGTAGGGACTGCAGTCTGTATGGATAACTTCGGAATCAGTGAAGGGTCAGGTCTTAGTGTATCGTATCGTATCATATCATATCGTATCGTAGGCGGGGAGTGTATACATAACGTGACGTACGTAGGGACTGCAGTCTGTATGGATAACTTCGGAATCAGTGAAGGGTCAGGTCTTAGTGTATCGTATCTGTATGAACCTTGGCAGGAGACGTAGTGAAAGTACTGTACATGGACTATAATATAAAGAGGTGATGGCGTCGAGATGAGAAATATGACAGGTACATAACATAGGTTTGAAATTACTGCCAAGAATTGGCCAGAGTGCTACAAGCAATACAGGACAAGAGATATCTCCATTGTAATATCGCAGTAGACAGTAGGAGACACGAGACATGTAGCTTCAGGATAATCTCTAGCATCAAGCCGGGCCAGCCTCAGGACATCGTGACGTACCATGTGCCACATCAGTAATCATCCTCAGTTGATTACTCGTGCATATTGAGCACAACTCTTTTTTTCTAGATGTGCATTATCCTAATGTGGACTCAGTTGCTGTTTAAGTTTGTAGGTCGTGTACAATGTAAAGGCTTTTCATAATTTTTAAACACTGGTTTTATAATTGCTCATTAATTTTCTGTATCCGTTAACTGTACGTATATATATATATATACATGCCCCAGATGTATAAGTGTTCCTCTTGTCCTCCATCAGCTGAGGCCTTCTGTAACTATTGTAAACATTAGCAGTTTTCCTGTAGCTAGTATCTCCCAGTAGTCACGTAATCACATGTATAAACTTCCTTTTCAAATATGGTCAGTGTAAAATGATAAACTGTAACATGAATGTAAAATATGCTGATCTATTATTTTCATATTGTCGTCTTCAAACAGTTTCTTGTTGATTAATGTAAACCAATTGCAGGGGCCTGTTTCAGGGGATCTTAGCGCTACAACTGTTGTAACTAAAAATAAGTAGCGCTAAGATAGATAAATTGCTTACCTCATTGTTATACTTAGCTCATCCCAGTTTAATGTTCTCTGTTTGTGTTTTGCTTTAAAAAACTGTATCAGGGGAGATAATCTGGGTTTTTGTTTAAAATTGTTAATATTGTCGTTGTTTAAGAGACTACTAATACTGTTGTATTTTATTAATGTGCTGTTTTTCTTTAGAAAAACTCTTTAGCAGGGGAGATAATCCAGGGTTATTTTAAATGACTTTTAATATTGATGTCGTTATTATTGACAATCAATTCATTATGTGCTGTACTCTTATATAGCACATTAACATCAGGGGAAGTAACTCTTGTACAACTAATTATGATGCACTCGGCATGTTGTATTGCCAGCATGTATCAGCTGAGAACAGTTCCTGAAAGCACATGTTTATATCAGTGATATGTGATACACGCAGGACTTGACATATGCTGCCATGTTTTACTGTGCAGTTTTCCCAGACATTATTGAGAGTATATCCATGCGTCAGTCCCAGATGAATTCTACAATAAAGGCATACCCATTCCCCTAAAACTTTAATACAAACTCATTATGTTGGTTAGATGTACGTGTGCTTGGTTTATGTAAAAGAGGGAGTTAATGATGGAGGAGTAAGCATATACTCCGAAATAATAAAGAAGTGTTCCTCATAATAAAGAAGTTGACATCCATCAATTCTCTCTCTTATGTGATCACTTCCAAATGCCACTCAAAGACTTGATAGTTTATGTGGTCATGATACCACCAGAAGGTTTAAAAGTGAGAATTATTTATTTCGAATTTCGTTTTATTGTGGAATTCATATTTTGTATGTTTGAATCACATGTTAAATGTTTGACCATCATTCGAATGTAGAGTAGGGCTAGCTGATAGAAATCTAAGTTATACTCAGAGGGAAACAATCAACAGTAGTGTGAAATATCTCCGTATCCCTGGCAATAGTTGAGTTGTACTATATGAAAGTGTTACCTTATGAGGGGCGGTCGGGTAGCCTAATGGTTAAAGTGTTCGCTCGTCACGCCGAAGACCCGGGTTCGATTCCCGACATGGGTACAATGTGTGAAGCCCATTTCTGGTGTCCCCCGCCGTGATATTGCTGGAATATTGCTAAAAGCGGCGTAAAACCATACTCACTTACTCACTGTTACCTTATGAAAGTTATGTATAACCCAACCAACAGAATAGCATCAAACACCTTGGTTTCCCTGTGTAATTCTCAATAATGTCTGGTAGTACTGCTCATCTGTTCTCCTCACGACGAAGGAGTCGGTGTTACCATGGTAACAGTACAAGCTAACCATGTATTGTACAAGTAACATCCATTAATGTCATTATTGTTTTGTCAGCCTAATATTTCCTGATGTCATGTTGACATCTGTGTTGTGTGAGCGCCCCCTGTGGGGGTTCCTGGTTAGAGTGCGTGCCCAGCAACCTACGCTGGTCGTGAGAGTCGACTTCATGGAGTCGACTTGGTTGATTGCGTGTCATCGTACCCCATCAGAGTGGATCGTTGCCCATTATATCAATCACTGGATTGTCTGGTCCAGACTCGGTGTTACAGTGGGCAGTCATACAGCTGGAATATTGCTGAGTGCTTCTTTTAACAACAAACAAACGTATATTGAGTTACCATAGTTACCGTGAATCTCCTGATCTCTGCAGGCTGTTGTGCGCCTCCCATCCCGAGAGCAGGTAACACCACACAGATTGTTCATTGGTTGCACACTTCTCAATTGGCTTTCAACTTTGCCCCTGGAGGCGGAATCCACAAGACTTGCTCGCCTTCACAATGCCGTCCTGCCCCCGCCCCCTGCCCTTACAGCCACCCCCACTCCCTTACACCACCCCCACTTCCTTAAAGCCACCACCACTGCCCTTACAGCCACCCCCCCCAGCCCTTACAGCCACCCCCCTGCCCTTACAGCCATCACCACTCCCTTACAGCCACCTCCACTCCCTTAAAGCCACCACCACTGCCCTTACAGCCACCCCCCCAGCCCTTACAGCCACCCCCCAGCCCTTACAGCCACCCCCACTCCTTTACAGCCACCCCCACTCCCTTACAGCCACTCCCTTACAGCCACCCCCTGCCCTTACAGCCACCTCCCCTACCCTTACAGCCACCCCCACTGGCATTACAGCTACTCCCCCCTGCCCTTACAGCCACCCCCACTCCCTTACACCACCCCCACTCCCTAAAAGCCACCACCACTGCCCTTACAGCCACCCCCTGCCCTTACAGCCACCCCCACTGGATGCATTCAATCAGTTTCCTCTGGAAGCTATACAGAGCTTACTTCCCCTTTATGAAGCCTAAATGTTCCCAATTCCTTGTCCAGATCATCCAGCTAGACCTTACAGGGATGCGATGGTAGACAGGGACCTATGTACCCCCATGCTTGTCTCCCGTGCAGATGCTAGGGCAGGATAGGTCCTCAGTACCCCTGCTAGAGCAGAATAGGTCCCCAGTACCCCATGCTAGAGCAGAATAGGTCCCCAGTACCCCATACTAGAGCAGAATAGGTCCCAAGTACTCAAGGCTTGGGCAGAATAGGTCCCCAGTACCCCATACTAGAGCAGAATAGGTCCCCAGTACCCCATGGAAGGGCAGAATAGGTCCCCAGTACCTTTGCTTGTCTTACCGTATTCAGTTACTTTACAGTCAGTTACACTAGGGATCCCTGACACAATAGACCCCGGTATTCCATGCCTGTAACGTGTATCCATTGTTGATCATCCATCACGAGTACTTGGCTGTGTGGCCGCCAGGGAGGACGAGGTTCAAGCCATGATGTACATGATTATGTCGGTCTCCTGTTGTTGACACTGTCTTGTTGCCACCCGTCACCCACCACCAGCACCGTGTCCATGTCTGTATGTCCTCAGTGTCTGTATGTGCCACGAGTGTACATTGTAAGGTCAAATACCCCGTACAGTTATCAGGAAAAATGTGGGGGTCGGGTAGCCTTGTGGTTAAAGCGTTCGCTCCTCACACCGAAGGCCAATTCCCCAAATGTGTTAAAGACCATCCCTTGTGTCCCTGCCAAGATATTGCTGGAATATTGCTGAAGGCGGCGTAAAACAATACTCACCCACTATTAGGAAACATGGCCTTCATTGGGCATTAAGAAATCTGGCCCTCGTGCACATTTCAGCGCAAGTTCAATGCGAAAAAAAAAATGTCTCACCCTCACTCACATACCATTAACACAGTAAACATATTTGTTTCCACACCAGTTATTATTTAAATTGGTGCCGAAAACCAACCATTTTGTATCTCAAAATAATGGAATTTATGTTGACCAGTTTCCGTTTTATATGTGCTGCTTTTGTTATGTAGCATCCCCTCATGTCACCCTGCCCCCCATTGACACACCCACCCCCTCCCATAGACACGACCCACCCCCTACCTCCCACCCCAGCCTGCATGACCACGCCCTGTCCTTGTCAGGACACATTCAGCTTCAGTTTCGCAAGAGCATTTAAGTGTTAAATACGAAATTGTCAAATTGATTTTGTAATGTAAGCTTTCTCTGTGGCTGTCATGTGTGGAGTCTGTGTTCAACTCTGTTCAAAGTGTCCATTTGATCACCGTGAAATGTTGCAATTCTAAAACATGCTCAAATATCTCCTTTGAGACAACTGTTATTAGATATACTCAACGTGGAAATTTGTTCTGCCATAAATTCTGAAATTTCACTGTTGCTTCATCTGCACTTTCAGTTTGAGCATTTTGGCACATTTCTTCTAGTTACATCAATTTCACATTTTTCTTCTGTTTGGGCAATTTTGTGTGTTGGCGAAGGTGCGAGCACGTTTAGCTGAAATCTCGCCATAATCAACTTAAGTTGAAGTGTCACCATCAATGTTAAACTAATTCAATATGTTGCATGACACTAAACATTTCCGTAATACGAACTGAAAGTAACCTGACCTTGACATTGGAACAACGTGGAGATAGCATGATGTGATGCTGTATGGTTGCAGGTGCTGTCTGCCGCCACGGTCGTCGCCAAGCACACGTCCGCGCTGTGTAACGCCTGCAGACTGGCCTCCTCCAAGACGACCAACCCTGTTGCCAAGAGACATTTTGTACAGAGTGCCAAGGACGTGGCTAACAGCACTGCCATGCTAGTCAAGGCCATCAAGGTGAGAAGGCGTTCTGACTGTGTGTTTGTGGCAGTGTGATACAGCTGTATGGTGTACTGACCGTGTGTTTGTGGCAGTGTGATACAGCTGTATGGTGTACTGATTGTGTGTTTGTGGCAGTGTGATACAGCTGTATGGTGTACTGATTGTGTGTTTGTGGCAGTGTGATACAGCTGTATGGTGTACTGACTGTGTGTTTGTGGCAGTGTGATACAGCTGTATGGTGTACTGACTGTGTGTTTGTGGCAGTGTGATACAGCTGTATGGTGTACTGACTGTGTGTTTGTGGCAGTGTGATACAGCTGTATGGTGTACTGACTGTGTTTGTGGCAGTGTGATACAGCTGTATGGTGTACTGACTGTGTGTTTGTGGCAGTGTGATACAGCTGTATGGTGTACTGACTGTGTGTTTGTGGCAGGGTGATACAGCTGTATGGTGTACTGACTGTGTGTTTGTGGCAGTGTGATACAGCTGTATGGTGTACTGACTGTGTGTTTGTGGCAGGGTGATACAGCTGTATGGTGTACTGACTGTGTGTTTGTGGCAGTGTGATACAGCTGTATGGTGTACTGAACTGTGTGTTTGTGGCAGTGTGATACAGCTGTATGGTGTACTGACCTGTGTGTTTGTGGCAGTGTGATACAGCTGTATGGTTTACTGACCTGTGTGTTTGTGGCAGTGTGATACAGCTGTATGGTGTACTGACCTGTGTTTGTGGCAGTGTGATACAGCTGTATGGTGTACTGACCTGTGTGTTTGTGGCAGGGTGATACAGCTGTATGGTGTACTGACCTGTGTGATACAGCTGTATGGTGTACTGACCTGTGTTTGTGGCAGTGTGATACAGCTGTATGGTGTACTGATTGTGTGTTTGTGGCAGTGTGATACAGCTGTATGGTGTACTGACTGTGTGTTTGTGGCAGGGTGATACAGCTGTATGGTGTACTGACTGTGTGTTTGTGGCAGTGTGATACAGCTGTATGGTGTACTGAACTGTGTGTTTGTGGCAGGGTGATACAGCTGTATGGTGTACTGACCTGTGTGTTTGTGGCAGTGTGATACAGCTGTATGGTTCACTGACCTGTGTGTTTGTGGCAGTGTGATACAGCTGTATGGTGTACTGACTGTGTGTTTGTGGCAGTGTGATACAGCTGTATGGTGTACTGACCTGTGTTTGTGGCAGTGTGATACAGCTGTATGGTGTACTGACCGTGTGTTTGTGGCAGGGTGATACAGCTGTATGGTGTACTGACCTGTGTGATACAGCTGTATGGTGTACTGACCTGTGTTTGTGGCAGTGTGATACAGCTGTATGGTGTACTGACTGTGTGTTTGTGGCAGTGTGATACAGCTGTATGGTGTACTGACTGTGTGTTTGTGGCAGTGTGATACAGCTGTATGGTGTACTGAGCTGTGTGTTTGTGGCAGTGTGATACAGCTGTATGGTGTACTGACTTTGTTTGTGGCAGTGTGATACAGCTGTATGGTGTACTGACCTGTGTGTTTGTGGCAGTGTGATACAGCTGTATAGTGTACTGACTGTGTGTTTGTGGCAGTGTGATACAGCTGTATGATGTACTGACTGTGTGTTTGTGGCAGTGTGATACAGCTGTATGGTGTACTGACTGTGTGTTTGTGGCAGGGTGATACAGCTGTATGGTGTACTGACTGTGTGTTTGTGGCAGTGTGATACAGCTGTATGGTGTACTGACCTGTGTGTTTGTGGCAGTGTGATACAGCTGTATGGTGTTCTGACTGTGTGTTTGTGGCGGTGTGATACAGCTGTATGGTGTACTGACTGTGTGTTTGTGGCAGGGTGATACAGCTGTATAGTGTACTGACTGTGTGTTTGTGGCAGTGTGATACAGCTGTATGGTGTACTGACTGTGTTTGTGGCAGTGTGATACAGCTGTATAGTGTACTGACTGTGTGTTTGTGGCAGTGTGATACAGCTGTATGGTGTACTGACTGTGTGTTTGTGGTAGTGTGATACAGCTGTATGGTGTACTTACTGTGTGTTTGTGGCAGTGTGATACAGCTGTATGGTGTACTGACTGTGTGTTTGTGGCAGTGTGATACAGCTGTATAGTGTACTGACTGTGTGTTTGTGTCAGTGTGATACAGCTGTATGATGTACTGACTGTGTGTTTGTGGCAGTGTGATACAGTTGAATTGTGTACTGACCTGTGTGTTTGTGGCAGTGTGATACAGCTGTATGGTGTACTGACTGTGTTTGTGGCAGGGTGATACAGCTGTATGGTGTACTGACTGTGTTTGTGGCAGGGTGATACAGCTGTATGGTGTACTGACTGTGTGTTTGTGCAGGCCCTGGACAGTGACTTCACAGACCACAACCGGCAGCAGTGTGCAGAAGCATCTCGGCCTCTCATCAATGCAGTGGAGGAACTCACCACCTTCGCCTCATCACCGGAGTTCGCCAGTAAACCCGCCAAGATCAGCCACCAGGTACACAGGCTGGGTCGTTGTTTTTATTTTCCAACCAGGATTATTTCTTTAAAAATCCATAAAAAAACGAAGACTTTATGAAATGTCTTTAGTTCTGCCTTGTTATCTTTGTAATTGTATATAAGTGGTAGGATGTACGTATATATATGCCTCCCCCCTCCCCCCAAAGTTTTTAGATCCATGCAGATGAAATCATGGAACTGTATAGAATAAGCAGGGAATTTATTTGTATTTTCACTTTTTCTGCACAAATGATCTGAGTTGCCATCTACCTAATTGTAAAAGTGGTAGTCCACAACAAAATATCACTAGTCCTTCTTGAATTTTAATCGGACTTGCAGATTAATATTTACTTCAGATTAATGTATACTTGGTAAGTCTGTCACAGCAGCCCTGTGGACCATGCTAGTTACTGGTGTGTGGATGTTGCAGGCACGGCGTGCCCAGGAGCCCATCACGATGTCGGGCAAGGCGATGATCGATGGGGCGTGTCATATGCTGCAGGCCGCCAAGCAGCTGGCCATCAACCCCCGCGACCCCCCCACATATCAGCTGTACTCCAACCACTCCAAGAGCGTGTCCGACGCCATCAAGAGACTCGTATCAGCCATCAAGTAAGTTCCCAGTCTCACATCACATGCAGTTGAAACCTGTGAAGACCCGGGTTAGGTTTGATCTTCAGCAGCCCATGCTTGTCATAAGAGGTGAATAAAAGGATCTGTTTGCAGACTCACTGACCTGGTTGATGCATGTCATCGTATTTCAATTGTTTTGATCGATGCTCATGATGTCAATCACTGGATTTTCTGGTGCAGATTCAATTATTTATAGACTGCTGTCATTTAGCTGAAATATTGCTGAGTGTGGCGTTAAACAAAAAAGGTACTAGCTATCTAGCATGATCTAGTCAGTGCCAGCATCCACATGACTAGATACGACTGACGTATTGTCAACTTCTCCCTGTCACTGTGTGTCTGTATGTTGTGAGTCAGCAGTGCTACAGCAGTTGAAAGTGATAGACAACACGGTCACCTACTAACTGCTGTATAGGTCTGTATTGATTATCCTCACCCCCGTCTCACTCCCTCTCCTCACCCCCACAGAGACACTGCCCAAAGTCAGAGGGACCGTATATATCTGTACTGATTATCCTCACCCCCGTCTCACTCCCTCTCCTCACCCCCACAGAGACACTGCCCCAGGTCAGAGGGACCGTATATATCTGTACTGATTATCCTCACCCCCGTCTCACTCCCTCTCCTCACCCCCACAGAGACACTGCCCCAGGTCAGAAGGACCGTATATATCTGTACTGATTATCCTCACCCCCGTCTCACTCCCTCTCCTCACCCCCACAGAGACACTGCCTAAAGTCAGAGGGACCGTATATATCTGTACTGATTATCCTCACCCCCGTCTCACTCCCTCTCCTCACCCCCACAGAGACACTGCCCCAGGTCAGAGGGACCGTATATATCTGCACTGATTATCCTCACCCCCGTCTCACTCCCTCTCCTCACCCCCACAGAGACACTGCCCCAGGTCAGAGGGACCGTATATATCTGTACTGATTATCCTCACCCCCGTCTCACTCCCTCTCCTCACCCCCACAGAGACACTGCCCCAGGTCAGAGGGACCGTATATATCTGTACTGATTATCCTCACCCCCGTCTCACTCCCTCTCCTCACCCCCACAGAGACACTGCCCCAGGTCAGAAGGACCGTATATATCTGTACTGATTATCCTCACCCCCGTCTCACTCCCTCTCCTCACCCCCACAGAGACACTGCCTAAAGTCAGAGGGACCATATATATCTGTACTGATTATCCTCACCCCCGTCTCACTCCCTCTCCTCACCCCCACAGAGACACTGCCCCAGGTCAGAGGGACCGTATATATCTGCACTGATTATCCTCACCCCCGTCTCACTCCCTCTCCTCACCCCCACAGGGACACTGCCCCAGGTCAGAAGGACCGTATATATTTGTACTGATTATCCTCACCCCCGTCTCCGGACACTGCCCCAGGTCAGAAGGACCGTATATATCTGTACTGATTATCCTCACCCCCATCTCACTCCCTCTCCTCACCCCCACAGGAACACTGCCCCAGGTCAGAAGGACCGTATATATCTGTACTGATTATCCTCACCCCCGTCTCACTCCCTCTCCTCACCCCCACAGGGACACTGCCCCAGGTCAGAAGGACCGTATATATCTGTACTGATTATCCTCACCCCCGTCTCCGGACACTGCCCCAGGTCAGAAGGACCGTATATATCTGTACTGATTATCCTCACCCCCATCTCACTTGCTCTCCTCCACCCTCAGGGACACTGCCCCCGGTCAGAAGGACCGTATATATCTGTACTGATTATCCTCAGCCCCCGTCTCACTCCACCCTCCACCCACAGGGACACTGCCCCAGGTCAGAAGGAATGTGACACTGCCATCGACAAGCTGAACCACACAATCCGCGACCTGGACCAGGCCTCCCTGGCGGCCATCAGCCAGAACCTGGGCCAGCGCAATGACAAGACTCTCAAGTCCTTCCAGGAGCAGATGATCAACAGCGGCCGCGAGATCCTGGACACCATCGAGGCCATCCAGCGGGCAGCCAAGTGCAAGCCAGAGAACCTGGGACACCTGGTCAGTGGGCAAGGCTGGAGAGTTACTGTGTAACTGTGTAACATCTAGTTACTGGGATATCCCAGCAGGCAAGGCTGGAGAGTTACTGTGTAACATCTAGTTATTGGGATATCCCAGTAGGCAAGGCTGGAGAGTTACTGTGTAACATCTAGTTACAGGGATATCTCAGTGGGCAAGGCTGGAGAGTTACTGTGTAACATCTAGTTACAGGGATATCTCAGTGGGCAAGGCTGGAGAGTTACTGTGTAACATCTAGTTACAGGGATATCCCAGTGGGCAAGGCTGGAGAGTTACTGTGTAACATCTAGTTACAGGGATATCCCAGTGGGCAAGGCTGGAGAGTTACTGTGTAACATCTGTGTAACTGTGTAACATCTAGTTACATGGATATCCCAGTAGGCAAGGCTGGAGAGTTACTGTGTAACATCTAGTTATTGGGATATCCCAGTAGGCAAGGCTGGAGAGTTACTGTGTAACATCTAGTTACAGGGATATCCCAGTGGGCAAGGCTGGAGAGTTACTGTGTAACATCTGTGTAACTGTGTAACATCTAGTTACAGGGATATCCCAGTGGGCAAGGCTGGAGAGTTACTGTGTAACATCTAGTTACTTGGATATCCCAGTGGGCAAGCCTGGAGAGTTACTGTGTAACATCTGTGTAACTGTGTAACATCTAGTTACAGGGATATCCCAGTGGGCAAGGCTGGAGAGTTACTGTGTAACATCTGTGTAACTGTGTAACATCTAGTTACAGGGATATCCCAGTGGGCAAGGCTGGAGAGTTTCTGTGTAACATCTGTGTAACTGTGTAACATCTAGTTACAGGGATATCCCAGTGGGCAAGGCTGGAGAGTTACTGTGTAACATCTGTGTAACTGTGTAACATCTAGTTACAGGGATATCCCAGTGGGCAAGGCTGGAGAGTTACTGTGTAACATCTGTGTAACTGTGTAACATCTAGTTACAGGGATATCCCAGTGGGCAAGGCTGGAGAGTTACTGTGTCACATCTGTGTAACTGTGTAACATCTAGTTACAGGGATATCCCAGTGGGCAAGGCTGGAGAGTTACTGTGTAACATCTGTGTAACTGTGTAACATCTAGTTACAGGGATATCCCAGTGGGCAAGGCTGGAGAGTTACTGTGTAACATCTGTGTAACTGTGTAACATCTAGTTACAGGGATATCCCAGTGGGCAAGGCTAGATAGTTACTGTGTAACATCTGTGTAACTGTGTAACATCTAGTTACTGGGGTATTGGGTTGACTCTGTGCTGCTATCTATAAACGGTTTTGATTTTGACTTATAGCTGCACTGTTCTACGTCTTTTTTTGAACTTATCGGGCAGGATAAAGAATCTTTACCATCAGGTTTTCAGCTCAATCAGTAATATTTTTGTTGCACAATCTAAAATATGTACTCATATTTGAAGTTAAGCGTCTTAGGAAAAGAATCATGTTGCACTTGTCGTTAGATCACGATGCATGCACTTTGCTGAAGCAGATTTGCATCGGGAATCCATTAGGAACACACACAAAGGGACAGCCAGAAGTTCTTTGTTGCCAGGAATCAGAGTTGCAGGATTGTGCTTCAGCAGCTAGAGTGATGGAATGGTGGCAGTTATTTTATTAACTTCTTACCCAAACTGTTCTTAATATCTTTTCTTCTAAAAATGTGCATTGCCAAGGAGCCATGTTTGTAAATGATTTTGCATCCAATCATCTGTAGAAATGAGGCCTGCTTGATGCAGTCCAGTACAATGTCCTCACTCTTGTCCTCTGTGTCACAGATCAACACCATGTCCTCCTACTTCGAGCCTCTCTCTGACGGGGCTATCGGGACAGCCTCCAAGAACCTCAACTCCAAGCAACAGATGAACGTCCTCGACCTGTCCAAGACAGTTGCGGAGTCAGCTCTTCAGTTCCTCTACGCTTGTAAGGAGAGCGGTGGAAACCCCAAGGTAGGTGGAGCATGAGAAGTAGGGCATGCAGATCCAGGAGGTGGACACACCGCCATTGTAATAGAGGCTTAGCCACAAGTACATTGTAACCTCATTGAGATGTTAAACAAGGTGGAGCAGGAGAAGTAGGGCATCCAGATCCAGGAGGGTGGACACACCCCCATTGTAATAGAGGCTTAGGGGTGTACTGACCTGTGCGTTTATGCAGGCCCTGGACGGGAGTATCATTGTCACAATGTCTGCGACCGCCTCATGGTCTAGTGGATAGAATGGAAGGTCAGTGGTTCATTCCCCGGCCGCGTCATACCAAAAGTCATTAAAAGCTGGTAATTGTTGTTACCCTGCCTGGAGCTCAGCATTAAGGGGCTAAAACAAGGACTGGTCGGCTCGGAGTCAGTATACTGTGTCTGAGTTGGGGTATTCATGTTAAACTGCGGCATGGTATCTCAGTGAGCTAGCACTATAAATCAGTATCAGTCCGGACTAGTACAAGCAGCCACACAAACTCACACACACACGTGCATGCACGTTGCTATATAAGTGCAATAATCTTGGATGCGACGTTGAAACCCATTTCACCTCACCTCATACCGAAATATGTTGAAAGATTGTACTTGTTACCCTGCATCAAGGGAATAGATTAGGACTAGTGGGCTCGGATTCGGCATAATGTGTCAGAGAGTCAGTGTAGCTGTGTTTTGGGAGAAATTTTGAAAATGTGTCACAGAAAATACATGTAATCAGGGAATATGTATCTGTATGAACTGTGTGATGTTGCAGGCGATGCAGGCTCACGGCAACGTGGACGGAGCGGCGGAGGACATGAAGGACGTCCTCCAGGACCTGCTGCAGACCATCGAGGAGGCCGCCTCCCAGTCTGGCGCCGTCAGCAGCATGATCGACAGCATCAGCAAGTCCATGGCACGGGTAGGTGTCCATGTCGTCAAACACGTTGATGGTTAACAGGACTTTATCCCTGTGGTGATTCTGCATTCCCCAGCAACATTTGCTGGTCGTAGGAAGTGACCGAATCAGGTGATGGGGCTTAGTGACTTGCTTGATCGTGTGTCATCGTTCCCATCATCATGGATCGTTCACTGGGTTGTCTGGTCCAGACTCGATTATGTACAGGCCACCATTATACAGCTGGAATATCGCTGTGTGTAAACAAGAAACACAATTTGACTTTATCATGCAGAAGTGTAGCTGTGAGGTCGGATGTAGTGTTATAAGCTCCATGTGTCAGTCTACCATGGCGGTTTAAAGCTCTACTTCTGAGTGGTCTAATCCTTTGAATGTGTTAGACTGTGATTTTGTTGTTGATCACATAACTGCAAAAGAAACTATTTCTTTGAAAGCACTTCTTTCTTGGATCCTACTGGGAGGCAATTTCCAGTACAGATTTTACTTGATAAAGATTATTTAATACTGTTCCCAGATTATAGTGTGTGAAGGTAAGTGTGCAGGAGGTTATCATTGAGCTGTGACTGTTCCAGACTGACGAGATTATCGCCACGGAGGGAACATCGTTTGTGGACTACCAGACCAACATGGTGCGCCTGAGTAAACAGATTGCCCGGTCAGCACAGGACATGGTGAGAACAGCAGGCTTAATGTTGAAAACATAGTTGACACATATCGACACCCTTACGTATGACCTGACACTATAGTTCACAGGAGACAGAACATTCCTCCATGACGTGATGTAGTGGTGGATATAAACTGGAAACCATTCTTTCCTGAAGAGTGATTACGTAATGGACTCCTCGACAAAGTCTGAAAAGCCCTCTGGACAGCATAACTGTCTTGACTTGGCTCTGGAAAAGCTTATTAGGAATACGTCATCAGTCCTTCAATGCTTCACACTGATAGTTTGTGTTGTGCTTCAGATCGGCAAGTCCACCACCAACGTGCAGGACCTGGGGCAGCTGGCCAACCTGTTGACCCGGGACTACAGCCAACTCTCCAACAACTCCCGCGGAGCCGCCGCCGCCACCAACAACCTCGAAGTAAGCTGCCCACATTGTTCTGTAGCCCCACAACACAGCCTCCCATACAGCTGCCCACATTGTTCTGTAGCCCCACAGCACAGCCTCCCATACAGCACAGCCTCCCATACAGCACAGCCTCCCATACAGCACAGCCTCCCATACAGCTGCCCAGCATTGTTCTGTAGCCCCACAGCACTGCCTCCCATACAGCTGCCCACATTGTTCTGTAGCCCCACAGCACTGCCTCCCATACAGCTGCCCACATTGTTCTGTAGCCCCACAGCACTGCCTCCCATACAGCTGCCCACATTGTTCTGTAGCCCCACAGCACTGCCTCCCATACAGCTGCCCACATTGTTCTGTAGCCCCACAGCACAGCCCCCCATACAGCTGCCCACATTGTTCTGTAGCCCCACAGCACAGCCCCCGATACAGCTGCCCACATTGTTCTGTAGCCCAACAGCACAACCCCCCATACAGCTGCCCACATTGTTCTGTAGCCCCACAGCACAGCCCCCCATACAGCTGCCCACATTGTTCTGTAGCCCCACAGCACAGCCCCCCATACAGCTGCCCACATTGTTCTGTAGCCCCACAGCACAGCCTCCCATACAGCTGCCCACATTGTTCTGTAGCCCCACAGCACAGCCCCCCATACAGCTGCCCACATTGTTCTGTAGCCCCACAGCACAGCCCCCCATACAGCTGCCCACATTGTTCTGTAGCCCCACAGCACAGCCTCCCATACAGCTGCCCACATTGTTCTGTAGCCCCACAGCACAACCCCCCATACAGCTGCCCACCATTGTTCTGTAGCCCCACAGGAGAGCCTCCCATACAGCTGCCCACATTGTTCTATAGCCCCACAGCACAGCCCCCCATACAGCTGCCCACCATTGTTCTGTAGCCCCACAGCACAGCCTCCGATACAGCTGACCACCATTGTTCTGTAGCCCCACAGCACAGCCTCCCATACAGCTGCCCACATTGTTCTGTAGCCCCACAGCACAGCCTCCGATACAGCACAGCCTCCAATACCATACGGCCTCCCATATTTGTTGTCTCGTACAGTTTCAGCCTGTGATAGCAGCAACTAGTCTGAAGCCAATTCCAGTAAAAATTCTTCTGGTCTAGTAAGATCAGCTTATTTTAAGTGAGTGAGTTGGGTTTTATGCCGCTTTGAACAGTATCTAAGTTATTTTACGGCATGTCAGCTTGAAGTGGGAGGAAAGCCTGAAGTGATGCAGGTCTCAGACATTTACCACTTTGGTGACACCCACGAGCACGGGTATGGTGCTGACAAACCTGGAAACATAATCAGGGGAACCTGGATTTGAACCCACAATCATAGGTTTCTGGCGTGCCCAGTTGACAACATCTCAGATGACTGTGTTGTTGCAGTGTAAAGTGTAACGGTAATTGGTTTTATATTGCTGAAGGGACGTACAATGTACATATTTCTGTGTAGATCGGCAACCGGATCCGGACGGCGGTGCAGGACCTGGGCCGGAGCTGTGTGGAGGTGGTGCAGGATGCTGGCAACCTCCAGGCCAACCCCACCGACTCCTACGCCAGGAAGGACCTGTCAGAACACGCCAAGAGCATCTCAGAGAAGGTGGGTGTCCTCTCATAGTGACACAGAACTTGATGCAGAATTGTCTCAATCTATGTATCAGTGGACCTTAGTCAGACTCATATGATTGATTTTGCCTACCTGTAGGCCTTGGCCTGAAAGTCATAATTGATTGTACCTACCTTTGGGCCTTGATCTGAAAGTCATAATTGATTGTACCTACCTTTGGGCCTTGATCTGAAAGTCATAATTGATTGTACCTACCTTTGGGCCTTGATCTGAAAGTCATAATTGATTGTACCTACCTTTGGGCCTTGATCTGAAAGTCATAATTGATTGTACCTACCTTTGGGCCTTGATCTGAAAGTCATAATTGATTGTACCTACCTTTGGGCCTTGATCTGAAATTCATAATTGATTGTACCTACCTTTGGGCCTTGACATGAAAGTCATAATTGATTGTACCTACCTGTAGGCCTTGACATGAAAGTCATAATTTATTGTACCTACCTGTAGGTCTTGACCTGAAAGTCATAATTGATTGTACCTACCTGTGTGTCTTTGTTTGGAAGTCATAATTAATTCTGCCGAACCATGGCCCTTGGTCTGCCTATTGACCTTGATGTGACTATTGACCTTGATCTGACTGTTGACCTGGGTATGACTGTTGACCTGGGTCTGACTATTGACCTGGGTCTGATTATTGACCTTGGTCTGTCTATTGACCTTGGTCTGACTAATGACCTGGGTCTGGCTAGTGACCTTGGTCTAACGCTGTTCCTGTCTTGCAGGTCTCCTTCGTCCTGGCATCCCTCCAGGCCGGGTCTCGTGGCACACAGGCCTGCATCAACGCAGCGAGCACCGTCAGCGGCATCATCGGCGACTTGGACACCACCATCATGTTTGCGACAGCCGGAACCCTCAATGCTGATGGCTCTGAATCCTTTGCTGATCACAGGTGGGGATCTTATTGACAGTCTTGGCAATAGAGTGGCTTACATTATGTCGTTTAAAGATTTAGGATACACAACAGTGTGACTTGCACAGTGAATATGAACTCATTGTTGCACACGTCCTTATAGCACAGTAACAGTTCCTTTGGAATATTTCATGAACCATTAATCATCCATGTTCCAGGGAGAGCATCCTGAAGACAGCCAAGGCCCTGGTTGAGGATACTAAGACTCTGGTTGCCGGGGCAGCATCCAATCAGGAACAGCTTGCGGCAGCTGCTCAGACAGCTGTGAAGACCATCACGAGACTCGCTGATGTGGTTAAGCTGGGGGCAGGATCGCTGGGGTCTGAACAGCCAGAAGCACAGGTAAGGAACACACGACACTTGAACAATAACTGTTTACACAGGGACATGACACTTGAACAATAATTGTTTACACAGGGACATGACACTTGAACAATAATTGTTTACACAGGGACATGACACTTGAACAATAATTGTTTACACAGGGACATGACACTTGAACAATAATTGTTTACACAGGGACATGACACTTGAACAATAATTGTTTACACAGGGACATGACACTTGAACAATAACTGTTTACACAGGGACATGACACTTGAACAATAATTGTTTACTTGTTTGTCGAGTCTTTTTACCGTGTGTTCCAATTGGCTTGAAAATGGTAGCATGTAGTGTCCCTTTAGGCATATGACTTTGTTTAAAATGTCTGCCTCTTTTCACCCAGCACTGAATGGGTACCCTGTTGGATTCAATGAAATTGTGACTGTTAACTGTTGTCTAAACACATTTGAGCAGTTGTGAATTTGAAAATGTGCAATGCAAATTCATAATTTAATAAAATAATATTAATATTTTGTTGGGACCCCAATTATCCCAGGTATTCCTAGTTTGTGGTGGATGCCTCTTGGTAATATTGTTGATCCTAGCATAAAACTGTCAATAAACTCTTCACTGATCTCCTGTATCGACCTGCAGGTCCTCCTGATCAACGCCGTCAAGGATGTCGCCTCCGCTCTGTCCGACCTCATCAGCGCGACCAAGAACGCCTCGGGGAAGAGTGTCAACGACCCCGCCATGCTACACCTGAAAGACTCGGCTAAGGTAGGTGTTCACTGTTGTCCTTGTGTCTAACCCGCATGGCTCTCCGCTAACATCAGCTCTGTACACGGTCCTCTCACTAGCCAGGACTAGTCTACTAGCCTTGTTTCAGACAGTAGTAAAGGTGTGTGTACTAGCCTAGGCTACCAGCCATACTGGGCAATACATGGGTGTGGGATGCAGGGCTGAATGTAGCACTAGATTCAGGGTTGTAGTTCCTCCCAAGGCAGTTGGTTTAATGGTAAAGGTGACCCCAGGGCTTGTAGAATGTCAGGCTTTTCGGTTGTCCTGTCATGTTATGACTAGTCCAGCCAGTAAAGGTTTCCAGCTTCTGTCCACCACTGCACGATGTCGTGGTGGGCTGTTCTGTCTCCTGTGAACTATCTGTGTTGATATGTCAGTCTGCGTATGTGTGTCGAGTGGGACTGTAACTACAAGGAAACTAGTTGCCAACTTTGTGAGCAGTGCTCAAACCCTAGGGGATCTTGGGTTAGAATTGGTCCCTTGCAACCTGTGATCGGGTGTCAGGCTTGCTGACTTGGCTGATTGCATGTCATCGTATCCCAATTGTCTAGATCGATGCTCATGATGTCAATCGCTGGATTTGTCAACAGCCGTCATGTAGCTGGAATATTGCCGAATGGTGTTAAACAACAAACAAACAAACAAAGCTGATGCAAACTGATTCTTGAAGCCTGTTCATGTCTCAGCCGGATCTGGGAGTGTGTTCAGAATCACATTTTGTAACAGCACAGCTCAGAAAGTTAGAAGACTGAAAAGTACATTTTCCTCCTCCGTGCAGTGGGGCGGTCGTGTAGCCTAGTGGTTAAAGCGTTCGCTCGTCACGCCGAAGACCTGGGTTCGATTCCTGACATGGGTACAATGTGTGAAGCCCATTTCTGGTGTCCCCCGCCGTGATATTGCTGGAATATTGCTAAAAGCGGCGTAAAACCATACTCACTCACTCACTCACTCCTCCGTGCAGTGCTGGTTTAAAGTAATCCTGTAGAAATGTGATTCCTAGTGATGTGGTGGATCATGCAGTATGCTTCAATAGCCTGATCTATGAGAGCAGGAGATATGGTCTTCCGTGTACAGATGACAGATACCAGATTTGTAGTTGTGGGAAGGGAGATAACTCTAATGTAGTTAGGAGACAACTAGGTTTTTCATTTTGTTCAGAAGGAGATAAGATGTGATGTTGATGTTTGTGAACTTGCAAATAATTTTACTGATTGCCGAGTTCTGCATTTTTTTAAGGGGGAGAAAATAGTAATTACCACTGTCATGTTGTTTGTGGGTGGGAGATGACTCTTTTGAGTGTTTTCTTGAAGGGGGAGATAATTCTAGTGTGTGTTTTTTTAATGGGGTTTTGAAGGGGGTGATAACTCTGTTGTGTGGGTTTTGAAGGGGAGATAACTCTAGTGTGGGTTTTTTAATGGGGGGATGACTCTGTTGTGGGTTTTGAAGGGGAGATGACTCTAGTGTGGGTTTTTTTAATGGGGGGATAACTCTGTTGTGGGTTTTGAGAGGGGGGATAACTCTAGTGTGGGTTTTTTAATGGGGGGATGACTCTGTTGTGGGTTTTGAAGGGGAGATAACTCTAGTGTGGGTTTTTTGAATGGGGGGATAACTCTGTTGTGGGTTTTGAGAGGGGGAGGTAAATCTGTGGACAGACATATTTCTGCAATGTGTAATGGTCACAAGACACTTTTATGTTTATCAGTTCAAGACAAGATGGAGACGGGTTAAGATGGGGTGTGTCTATCTACACAATAATGATTGTTATTTGGCTGACACATAAATGTTGGATCTCTAAATGCCTTCCTACAGAGTAATGTGTCTTCCACTGACCAGCCTGTACCGTCTGTACTGACTTCTCCACTAGGTCCCAGTGTGTGGGTTCTTGTGTCCCAGTGTTGTGTGTTGGGTCCCTGTGTGTCGACACAACTGAGAGTGTTGTGTCCTTCTCTTAGACACAAGTATGGAGTGTTGTGTCCGTGTGTTGCAGCTGTGTAGGTTATGTGACTTAGTTTCTAACTGTAGCCCAGCTGACACTCACCCCACCTCCCTACTAACTCCGTCTAGACCATCTTGGGAAGGAAGCTCGGTGAATGGGGATTTCAGATCATAGACAGGTGTGTTGCAACGACAAAATTATAACGAGGTGGTCTGAAACTTTACGCAGTAGTCAAAGTCTGAGTCGCTTTCGTCCTGTCTCCAACAGCTAATCATAGTCCAGACTGTACACTAACGTCTACAGATTGGATAAATAGAAAGACAAGTCGGGACTTATATCCACAAGTTTTTGTCACACACTAAAGTGGAATCACAAAGACAAGTTTCCAATTGAGTTTGAACTAAGGGAGATTCCAGTGCCAGGTTTGATGGACTTGTCCACCTAGAATCAGAAACATCAGCATCATTACTTGACAAGAATAAGATAACATGTAGATAATGCCATAGAGTAATGATCTCAAAGAACAGGAACAACTAACAAGTTTTGATGATGGAAACGAATTGTCAACCATCGCATTGTCTCAAAAATGTGAAATGCCTCATCTTTGACTGGAATCGATTCCAGTTAGGCATTCTTAGATCATTCTTGAAACAGGCCAGAAAAGGAAATGTTACTCTTAGTCAGGAATGTATCTCGACCTGCCAAGGGGCCAATAATCTGCCCCAAGGGTGCAGCAGCTGTCAGTAAAAATTCCCAGTTTGGAATGAAATTGGAACAAGTCCATGGTTTGGGACAGCAACACCCAGAAATCCTTCCATTCACGCGGAATCCTTCCAAGATCTGTAGCTCCGATTCTTAATATGCTGTTTTGTTTTATTTATTTTCTGTATTCATGATAAAACTGCTTACAAACTTGAACTGTTCTATGAGGAAACGTGAATGGTATAAATCCTTGTTAAATCTCAGCTAGGTAGGGTGCTGTAAGATTTCATTTTCAGTTGACTCTGTGTTGATGTTTATGTTTCCTTTCCGTGGTTTCAGAGGTCAAGAGTAATTGACTCTGCCGATGTCAGGTTTTTACGTTCTTTGTTCGCATGAAGTGCGTGTGCGTCGTAGCCGCCTGTCCGAGAAACGGTCGGCCGGCTATTGCACTTCAGTGTCTGTTGTGTGGGATAGACCTGTCTTTGTTGTGTATGCTTACCTGGTTCCATCATCTAGATCAGAATCATTAACATCATTACATTTGTTGATAACCAATACCAAAGAATATTCAAAAGTGCCTTGAAACTTTGTTAAATGATTAACTGCACTTGTTTGCCAGTTCAGCACCTGTAGAGTAACCTCCCCTTAGAATGGAACATTAGAGTTACCCCCCTTTATGAATGGTTGTCGTCCTTCATATTAGTGAACATCATGCCTGATTGGCTGAAATCATTGATGCTGCCTTTTCATTGGTTGTTAATATGCACTGGAGCTGAGGATTGCATGGTGTTAGAGCACATAGTCAGACATAACAGCTCGCCTAGAGATTCAGTAGCCATGTCACAGAACTGCACTGTTTAACAGAGGGCAATCACAGTCATACTATACTCCAGCAACTGAAACGTTTAAGCAGAGTTTTAACAAAGTGGGCTTTGGAAAAGTCAGATTTTAAGAAGTGTATTCTGAGCCTCTTTTTGAGGTGGGATCCAGAAATTGGTTGGGGAACTTCCGTCACATTAAGTAGTTATACCCAAGAAGCAAGAAAATATTTATGAACTTCATTGAAATATGTATCTGTTTTTTATTTTCAAAATATTTTGTAGTCCATTTTTTATTTTTTTAAATAAATTAGAATTACCGACAGATTGACTGGATAGAAACATTTCAGTTTCAACATAGAGCATGAGGTACGTAAGCCTTTGTTGGTGTTTGCATGATTTGTGCTGAGTTTATTTAAAAAATCATCCAAAAATATTTTTATTGTATATGATTATCAACCACCCAAGAATGTAAGTGTTAAAGTTTTTTGTTATTTTTGTCCATATTTAAAATATTGATATTCCTACCAGTGTTCAGTAAACTTGTGGTTGTGTACTATATACTTGGAGCTGAATGTCTCAGATAACGTATATAGCTGTATACAGAATATCATACATATCATTTGTGTAGAGACATGTCATGTTATATTTGCCTGTGACATTGTGACATTTTCGTCTAGAAATAACATTCATCGCAGTGTGAAAGTACTTTTTTTCCCAAAATATTTGTCAATTAAGCCACAAATTACCTAAAATATGTCTCTAATTGATGTCCCACTTAAAACCATTCTTGAACTAAATTTCATCTTTGTGTTGTTTGTTAAATACCGAGGTGTAAGTCAGTATATTTGATATAAAAGTTTGTAAGCAGTTGTTCATTTTTAGCCTATTTTTCTGACTATTGAGCTAAGTATTATTTGTGTATTGTCATGTAGAAATAAATAAACACTGTCCGTGCTTCGCTGTCCTTGTTTTCTCTGCTTGTGTGACTAACAAACGTAGTCAGCGTGTCACACAGCCTCACAGCTGCTGCTGGGTGTGTCTAGGGTAGCGGGGATCTAGTCACACCACAAGCACCTGTCTTGTTGTAACAGGCGATTACATGGGATTGGTTGGTCAAATATAGTCAGTGTGTCACACAGCCTCACAGCTGCTGCTGGGTGTGTCTAGGGTAATGGGGATCTAGCTACACCACAAGCACCTGTCATGTTGTAACAGGCGATTACATGGGATTGGTTGGTCAAATATAGTCAGTGTGTCACACAGCCTCACAGCTGCTGCTGGGTGTGTCTAGGGTAATGGGGATCTAGCTACACCACAAGCACCTGTCATGTTGTAACAGGCGATTACATGGGATTGGTTGGTCAAATATAGTCAGTGTGTCACACAGCCTCACAGCTGCTGCTGGGTGTGTCTAGGGTAACGGGGATCTAGCTACACCACAAGCACCTGTCTTGTTGTAACAGGCGATAACATGGGGATTGGTTGGTCAAAATGGCTGCTGACAAGGGTTTTCTCAAGGATGGTAGTTGAACAGGAGTGATCTAGCTACACCACAAGCACCTGTCTTGTTGTAACAGGCGATAACATGGGGATTGGTTGGTCAGAATGGCTGCTGACAAGGGTTTTCTCAAGGATGGTAGTTGAAAAGGAGGGATCTAGCTACACCACAAGCACATGTCTTGTTGTAACAGGCGATAACATAGGGATTGGTTGGTCAAAATGACTGCTGACAAGGGTTTTCTCAAGGATGGTAGTTGAACAGGAGGGATCTAGCTACACCACAAGCACCTGTCTTGTTGTAACAGGCGATAACATGGGGATTGGTTGGTCAAAATGACTGCTGACAAGGGTTTTCTCAAGGATGGTAGTTGAACAGGAGGGATCTAGCTACACCACAAGCACCTGTCTTGTTGTAACAGGCGATAACATGGGCATTGGTTGGTCAAAATGGCTACAAACGTGGTTTTTCTCAAAGATGGTAGTTGAAAAGGAGGGATCTAGCTACACCACAAGCACCTGTCTTGTTGTAACAGGCGATAACATAGGGATTGGTTGGTCAAAATGGCTGCTGACAAGGGTTTTCTCAAGGATGGTAGTTGAACAGGAGGGATCTAGCTACACCACAAGCACCTGTCTTGTTGTAACAGGCGATAACATAGGGATTGGTTGGTCAAAATGGCTGCTGACAAGGGTTTTCTCAAGGATGGTAGTTGAACAGGAGGGATCTAGCTACACCACAAGCACCTGTCTTGTTGTAACAGGCGATAACATGGGGATTGGTTGGTCAGAATGGCTGCTGACGAGGGTTTTCTCAAGGATGGTAGTTGAACAGGAGGGATCTAGCTACACCACAAGCACCTGTCTTGTTGTAACAGGCGATAACATGGGGATTGGTTGGTCAGAATGGCTGCTGACGAGGGTTTTCTCGAGGATGGTAGTTGAACAGGAGGGATCTAGCTACACCACAAGCTCCTTTCTTGTTGTAACAGGCGATAACATGGGGATTGGTTGGCCAAAATGGATATGTATATCATCTCTTGCAATAGTAAATATCTCTTGTTTGCCCTAGGATAATCAGGATTGCTTTCTGTGTTGTAACAGGCAAGAAAATAGGGAAAGTTGGGCCTGGCTTTGTATGGATCATTCTTGGATATAGACTATTTTTTTAAAAAGTATCGTTACCTGTAGCCCTCTAGCTCTCAATGCACAACGGTGTGGGTCGATGCTGATCACTGTTTGCTCCAGATTCAGTTGCTTAGGTTGTCAGACACTGAACTATGATACTGCTACAGCATCATTTGAGGGTTGGAATCTGATGCCTCGTTGCAGCAGCACCCGGGTTAATGCCTTGTATGACCGACCTATAGTGACATGAAGTGCTGGTGTACTGTGGAAATCTAAGTGGTGTTGGACAGTTTATGATGTAAGGGGTATGGACTGATGTGAGGCCCACATACTTGTGTTCAGGGTTGGAGGATCCTGTGTAAGTGGTATGTATTGACCAGAGCCACACATGAGTTTCATAATGCTGGTGTATACGAAAGAAGGGATTGTCCTAGAGCTGGTGTATACGAAAGAAGGGATTGTCCTGGAGCTGGTGTATACGAAAGAAGGGATTGTCCTAGAGCTGGTGTATACGAAAGAAGGGATTGTCCTAGAGCTGGTGTATACGAAAGAAGGGATTGTCCTGGAGCTGGTGTATACGAAAGAAGGGATTGTCCTAGAGCTGGTGTATACGAAAGAAGGGATTGTCCTAGAGCTGGTGTATACGAAAGAAGGGATTGTCCTAGAGCTGGTGTATACGAAAGAAGGGATTGTCCTAGAGCTGGTGTATACGAAAGAAGGGATTGTCCTAGAGCTGGTGTATACGAAAGAAGGGATTGTCCTAGAGCTGGTGTATACGAAGCAGAGATTGTCTTGTGCTAGTGTATACGAAAGAAGGGATTGTCCTAGTGCTGGTGTATACGAAAGAAGGGATTGTCCTAGTGCTGGTGTATACGAAAGAAGGGATTGTCCTAGTGCTGGTGTATATGCAGCTGGGGTTGTCTGGTGTTGGTGTATACAAGAAGGGATTGTCCTAGAGCTGGTGTATACGAAAGAAGGGATTGTCCTAGTGCTGGTGTATACGAAAGAAGGGATTGTCCTAGTGCTGGTGTATATGCAGCTGGGGTTGTCTGGTGTTGGTGTATACAAGAAGGGATTGTCCTAGAGCTGGTGTATACGAAAGAAGGGATTGTCCTAGTGCTGGTGTATACGAAAGAAGGGATTGTCCTAGTGCTGGTGTATATGCAGCTGGGGTCGTCTGGTGTTGGTGTATACAAGAAGGGATTGTCCTAGTGCTGATGTATACGTAGCAGGGATTGCCCTAGTGCTGGTGTATACATAGCAGGGATTGTCCTAGTGCTGGTGTATTCAAAACAGGGATTGTCCTAGTACTGGTGTATACGAAGCAGGGATTGACTTATGCTGGTGTAAACGAAACAGGGATTGTCCTAGTGCTGGTGTAAACGAAACAGGGATTGTCTTGTGTTGGTGTTCACGAAGTAGGGATTGTCCTAGTACTGGTGTAAACGAAACAGGGATTGTCCTAGTACTGGGGTTCACGAAGCAGGGATTGTCCTAGTACTGGTGTATGCGAAACCGGGATTGTCTTTGCACTGTTGTATGCATAGTAGGGATTGTCCTAGTGATGGTGTCTACAAAACAGGGATTGTCCTAGTACTGGTGTATACGAAACAGGGATTGTCTTTGCACTGCTGTATGCATAGCAGGGATTGCAGCTTAGACAGGATTGTTATGGGGACTGTAGGGAGAATATTAGTCTACAGCATTCATATGACTCAATCATAGGAAGCGAAACTTTCTGCTGGTTGAACGTTTGTATATATATACAGATGGAATGAATAAGGGAACATTTAGTTTTAGACACAGTAAAATAATATGCTATCATGGGTCCCCAGCCTTGTCCATCAAATATGTGTTGGAAACAATGCACAAAAACACATCTTAACATTTGATTCTGACGTGTTTGAATTGTATGCACGCTATTTCAAATGTACTGACAGTAAAGCTTGTTTCTCTCTGCTTTTCATTGTCCCCTTATTCGATTCCATCAGTAGTACCAATTTGTTGATTGCTGAAGTTTGGCGAAGACATGACCCTGGGTTGATCTTTATGTAGCTGCAGAAAAGTGACTCAACGACACATATACAGAACCCAAAAAGTCAGGAATCGTGAATAATATTTGGAATATTTTGATGAAATTGTGTGCTCAGTCTTTACTGCAAAAAATATCACCAAATATTCATAATCTCTAACTTTGTTGTTGAGCATAGTTAGGTTTACTACGTTGAAGTGGCTTTGGTCTAATTAAGTTCTGATTCATTCCATTTATTCTTCAACCTGATTTCTATGTTAATGTGGGCTATATTTGCTTACCTATTTATCATGATTAGTATAAGCCACATGGAATTACTCAAAGCCATTTTGGGTAACATTTAGGAATATTTCAGACTGATATATTTGCTGTAACATAGATAGGGGTGTGCTGTGGTTCAGTAATATCATGTTCTGGCTTTGGGTTGAGGGTGAGGTTTGTATGTTTGTTGTTCATCACTGTGTGTAGTTGCTGCTGTGTCCACTGTTAATGTTGTCCATGTTGTGTCAGGTGATGGTGACAAACGTGACGTCGCTGCTGAAGACAGTGAAGACCGTCGAGGACGAGGCTGTGAGAGGCACGCGGGCCCTAGAGTCGACTGTCGAGGCCATCGGACAGGAAATCAGGGTAGGTGATAGACTGACATATATCTTCCTCAGCAGGCCATAGAACCATCACACAGATCAGAGTAGGTTATATCTGTCTACGGCAGACAGTGCCCTAATACTTTCACTGTACAACCACTTGACAGCAAATCAGAGTAGGTGACATCCAACAGGCTGATATATCTGTCTACAGCAGACAGTGCCCTAATACTTTCACTGTACAACCACTTGACAGCAAATCAGAGTAGGTGACATCCAACAGGCTGATATATCTGTCTACAGCAGACAGTGCCCTAATACTTTCACTGTACAACCACTTGACAGCAAATCAGAGTAGGTGACATCCAACAGGCAGATATATCTGTCTACAGCAGACAGTGCCCTAATACTTTCACTGTACAACCACTAGACAGCAAATCAGAGTAGGTGACATTATACAGGCAGATATATCTGTCTACAGCAGGCTGTGCCTTAACACTTTCCCTGTACAACCACTAGACAGATCAGTGTAGGTGACATCCAACAGGCTGATATATCTGTCTACAGCAGGCTGTGCCTTAACACTTTCCCTGTACAACCACTAGACAGATCAGTGTAGGTGACATCCAACAGGCTGATATATCTGCCTACAGCAGGCTGTGCCTTAACACTTTCACTGTACAACCATCTGACAGATCAGAGTAGGTGACGTCATACAGGCTGATATATCTGCCTACAGCAGGCTGTGCAGGCTTAACAGGGTTGATGTCTTTTCCTCACCTGCCTGTTGTGCATTCTGAAGTTTGAACTAGTTACAGAGTAGATATAAATATCCTTGGACTTCCACGTTCATATCTTCATTGCCTCTATTTTCTCTGATGTGACACCCACTGCATACTAATGTTAGCAATGAAATGATAGACAGACGAGGTAAGAATTATGATACGTTACACGCTATCGTACCACCATTGTATAATGAAATGCAGATACAAGCAATGAATGTCATAAGACATTACTTTCGCATCAACTTGCCACTTTAAAGCGAGATAGAGAAATAGAGATGCACAATATATTGCTATGCTTAAGACTGTCCGCTATGTACTGGGATTGATGGTCATGTGTTGCTTATGTCATTGTTCCTCCAGGCCTACGACACAGCCGACATCTTCAAGAAGGCCAACGCCGAGGATCTCATCCGCTTCACCAAACCCATCACCAACGCCACCGCCAAGGCTGTTGCTGCAGGCAACTCTTGTCGACAGGAGGACATCATTGCAGCTTCCAACATGGGCAGGAAAGCCATCTCCGATCTGCTGAGTATCTGTAGGGTAAGCCATCTCCGATCTGCTGAGTATCTGTAGGGTAAGCCATCTCCGATCTGCTGAGTATCTGTAGGGTAAGCCATATCTTATCTGAGTATCTGTAGGGTAAGCCATCTCCGATCTGCTGAGTATCTGTAGGGTAAGCCATATCTGATCTGAGTATATGTAGGGTAAGCCATCTCCGATCTGCTGAGTATCTGTAGGGAAAGCCATCTCCGATCTGCTGAGTATCTGTAGGGTAAGCCATCTCCGATCTGCTGAGTATCTGTAGGGTAAGCCATCTCCGCTCTGCTGAGTATCTGTAGGGTAAGCCATATCTGATCTGCTAAGTATCTGTAGGGTAAGCCATATCTGATCTGCTAAGTATCTGTAGGGTAAGCCATATCTGATCTGCTGAGTATATGTAGGGTAAGCCATATCTGATCTGCTAAGTATCTGTAGGGTAAGCCATATCTGATCTGAGTATCTGTAGGGTAAGCCATCTCCGATCTGCTGAGTAACTGTAGGGTAAGCCATATCTGATCTGAGTATCTGTAGGGTAAGCCATCTCCGATCTGCTGAGTAACTGTAGGGTAAGCCATATCTTATCTGAGTATCTGTAGGGTAAGCCATCTCCGATCTGCTGAGTATCTGTAGGGTAGGCCATATCTGATCTGAGTATCTGTAGGGTAAACCATCTCCGATCTGCTGAGTATCTGTAGGGTAAGCCATCTCTGATCTGCTCAGTATCTGTAGGGAAAACCATCTCCGATCTGCTGAGTATCTGTAGGGTAAGCCATCTTCGATCTGAGTGTTCCTAGCGTAGGCTACCTTGATCAAATGTCTGTAGGGTAGGCTGAGATGTTGTTGCGACCATGTTGCAGGGAGCTGCAGCCACAGCGGAGACGACTGAGATTCGTCAGCGGGCCATCAACGCCGGCCGAATGTGTGGTGTGTCGTACCGGGAACTTCTGGAGAGTGTACACCAGGTGAGTTGCCACACAACACCTGCACTATGCAGTGCTAGAAACTAACAGTTTTAGTCTACCCGTTCATACAATGATAACATATTGTAAAACCCTCCATGAGGGCAAATTGATGCTAGTCCTTGTGATACCTTAACTATTGGGCAGTTTGGCAAGGACTACAGGACTAGTGCCAATGTCTATAATGTATACGCTGTTTTGAGTCATGTGATATTTCATGTTTCGACATTAGGCCTTTAGGACATGGTGAATGTGCCAATATTGTTCTATGAATGTTCCAAGCCTGTTCCTGTGTTGTCAGGCTGTGATCCGACCAACGCCAGAGGCGAAGCAGCAGTTGATGCTGATCTCACGTAAAGTAGCCAACGCCGTCACAGAGCTGGTCCAGTCTGCCGAGGCCATCAAAGGTACGTGTCTGACGATGCCAGACTGTGGCTTCATGTGTGCTCCCTCTGGTGGCAGACTTTCATCTCGCGTACACGCGGAAATATTCAATGTTGATGTACTATACAGGGTTTTTATTTCAGAGAATCTGACAACAGCTATGTGGTTTTAGTTCTTGATGACTCACTGGCTGATGTGATGTAGCTGGAATATTGCTGACTGTGTTGTCAGGCAACATGCATCTTGAAAGCAGAAAAAACTTCAAATCTTTATGTTCCTCATCAGATCTTAGAATTGGGGAATGGGAAATGTTAATTGTGGCAAAACGTATTGTTAGACAGAGGCCATTTAACATGATCAAAGTGTTTTTGATTTTTACTCTTTTTAGGTCAATGTTTTGTTTCTATCAAAAAGTCCTTAAAATGGATAATTTGGGTTACTATTTTAGTACAGAATACCTTGTATTGCACCATGTGATATAGCATTCATGTATCAAGCATAGTGCATCATGTATCATGTGTGTCTTTGAAGTGTGTATCATCCATGTATGTTATAAAGGTGTATATCATCCATGTATGTTATAAAGGTATATATCATCCATGTATGTTATAAAGGTATATATATCATATGTGTATGTTATAAAGGTATATATCATCCATGTATGTTATAAAGGTATATATCATCCGTGTATGTTATAAAGGTATATATCCATGTATGTTATAAAGGTATATATCATTCATGTATGCTATAAAGGTATATATCATCCATGTGTGTTATAAGGTGTATATTGTAGGTTATAACATGTATTTGTCAGTAGTGTACGCATGGCTGGCACCAGGGTCATCTTAGCGTTATATCTTAGTACTATATCTTAGCGTCTGTTAACAAATGCATCAGTGACCCCAGTACTAGCGCTAAGATCTTAGCGCTAGGTTGATAGTAAGCCTGTCAGGAGTCACATAAGGTGAAGTGCTAAGATCTTAGCGCTAGGTTGATAGGGAGTCTGCCAGGAATCACATCAGGTGAAGCGCTAAGATGACCATTGTGGTGCTGAGCCTAGGGATTTATCAAGGTATTCAGAAGACGACAAGAATTTTTTCAGTTAATGGTTTACTGATTTTTTTGTAATAAATCCTGAATGGAAGGTGCACCAGAAACTAAAAAAAGACATTTCGGTTTGAACTTTTCTACTTCAAATCGCTATCTGAATATGCTGCCATATGTGCAGACCAGTGTTGGTTAAGCTTGAACTATTGTTGGTCAGTTGGTAGCAATTTTTGTGTGTGACCACATAAGTTTATAATTAGCGGAATGAGAAGTGCTTTTCAGATTTAATTTTTTCAAACTTTAATTTTCATAGGGTTGTTGAAATCCGTAAACTAGTTTCAGAAAAGTCTTCCGTGCAGTTTTCTGATTGCGAATACCTTCATATCTCCTTGTTGTTGTTGTTGTGTTAACACTGCACAGCGTATGGCATGACATGTTATAATGTGTTCATCATGTATCACACATTGTCACGGATATGACACGTTTCTGTCACGGATATGCAGGCCAGTTTCTACCATCGCTTCTGGGTGAGGACACTTCTGTATATTGAGATTGACCACTGTGAGCCAGGCTATGTAGATATAGTCCTAACATCCCCCTCATTGTACTACTACCCTCCCTGCCTGCCACACACAGGCTCAATCTCATAGAATCACATCGTTTACTCTGATAGGATCCTTCTCTGCCTGGAGATTTGACAACCACTCCATAGACGGTGAACCCTGAGTGGACTTTGACCTCTCAATCTAAATGTAGGATGCGTGGATTCTTGATGTCAGATGTCAGCTTTTTAAATAGCTTCAGCTATGTGTCGTTACCACCTTGGTTTGAAAATTTTGACTTCATCAAGGAAAACACCTGCAGAACACAATATTCCTTAAATGGTTATAGATGCCATGGCACCAGACGCAACATGATTTATGTATAATGTCCACATCATGGCACAACTTTTATTATTTACATTTGGGACTGGTGGTTAACTTCATTTTTTGATACAGAAATCAGATATGCATTTGGCACTCATCACGAGACACTTATTGGCTGATGCCACCAAATATGGGGTTGCCAGATTTTTACGCAGAGAGGTATGGTATCGGAGTGGAAGATTTGATTTTAATGAGGCTGGAACATCACTATTATCTATAACATGATTACCCTACAGTGATCGACCATGTTATGACATTCATGTTATTATAGCTCATCAGAGCTTATGTTGTGGTGCGTCATCCCTATGTCACTGAGAGGCACTGATGGTACATTGGAAAAGAGGTTCTTATTGACAAGTGCTGAAACATAACTTGGATAGAAATGTTTTAAAAAACAAAAAGTTGAATTTGAGAACAATATGTCAAGAAAATGTTGTGGAATATGAGATGTAGCTAAATTGTTCACTGACATTGATCATGTGCCTTCAGAATGTACCAGGTGAGCTACAGTGCCCTGTGGCTACAAGTTCTACTTGTTATGATTTCCAGTTTGATCATTTGTTATTAAATATGGCCACATATGTATGAGAGACTCCTCCCCGAGTCTGTGTATTGGACATCCCAGTCTGCCTTGGAGTTCTGGCGACCCGACCAGCAGCTTAGTGTCGTGTCCTATATCTGCTACATGTGTATGAGAGACTCCTCCCTGAGTCTGTGTATCTGACATCCCAGTCTGCCTTGGAGTTCTGGCGACCCGACCAGCAGCTTAGTGTCGTGTCCTATATCTGCTACATGTGTATGAGAGACTTGTACCTGAGTCTGTGTATCTGACATCCCCGTCTGCCTTGGAGTTCTGGCGACCCGACCAGCAGCTTAGTGTCCTATATCTGCTACATGTGCTATAACTGCTGTACTCCATGACAGTCACCAAGTATAGGAATGTCTGCTTGTGTAGGATATATGTTGCATACCTGTATACGGTTTCTATGTTGCACACAGGTCATATATGGTTTATATGTTGCACAGAGTATATATAGCTACACAGTATGTCTCCCCCCCTCCCTGAATGACGCCCCTCCCCTCTCTCTCTGCCTCCGCGGATAAGCTTGCTTCTAACATCTCCATCAGCGGCTAACATGTGCTTGTGATGGGACACATCTTGACCAAATGTTGTGGCATTAACTGTGAGAAGCTGTAGGCTTCCTGAAGGTGACTAGTTCCATATGTAGCAGTGTAGCGATACAGAGGTACACATGATACATAGTCGGTGGTAGAAACTCATGTGAATCACCGTCCAGGGATGGGGGACTAGCCTAGTGGCTTAGGGTTTGACTCGTCATGTCGATGACCTGGGTTCGATTCCCACCATGGGTACAATAAGTCCTTGCTGTGATGTAGCTGGAATATTTGGGTGGGGATCATTGGACTAGCACCAGCTTCTAACAGTGAACATGAAGGACACATTGGAGGTTCACATGCTGATTTTTCTTAAATATTGAAAATAGAATTGAATATTTGAGAATCTGTTTGGGTATGTTATCAATACAAATTTCAGTGTGGTTAGGTATGTGCTACAGCACTGGTGTGTTAACATGGGGAATGAGGCTGTGTACCTGCTTGTGTCACTTTGTTGCTACACTGCTTTTGTATTGCTGGATGCGTAGGTGTGCTGTGGCTGTGCTAGGGTCAATATTTCAGGTGGCTTCAATGTTTGACTGAGTGGTCACAGTGTTTGACTGAAGTGTTCAGTGTTTGACTGGGGTGGTCACAGTGTTTGACTGAAGTGTTCAGTGTTTGACTGAGGTGTTCTGTGTTGGACTCAGGTGGTCACAGTGTTGGACTCAGGTGGTCACAGTGTTGGACTCAGGTGGTCACAGTGTTTGACTGAAGTGTTCAGTGTTTGACTGGGGTGTCCTGTGTTTGACTGAGGTGTTCTGTGTTGGACTCTGGTGGTCACAGTGTTTGACTCAGGTGGTCACAGTGTTTGACTGGGGTGGTCACAGTGTTTGACTGAAGTGTTCAGTGTTTGACTGAGGTACCTTCAATGTTTGACTGAGAAGTGTTCAGTGTTTGACTGGGGTGGTCAGTGTTTGACTGAAGTGTTCAGTGTTTGACTGAGGTGTTCTGTGTTTGACTGAGGTGGCTTCAATGTTTGACTGAAATGTTCAGTGTTTGACTGAGGTGTTCAGTGTTTGACTTGGGTGGTCACAGTGTTTGACTGAAGTGTTCAGTGTTTGACTGAGGTGGCTTCAATGTTTGAAGTGTTCAGTGTTTGACTGAGGTGTTCATTGTTTGACTAGGGTGGTCACAGTGTTTGCCTGAGGCGGTCACAGTGTTTGACTGCTGAGGGTGTCACATTGTTTGACTGAGGTTGGCTTCAATGTTTGACTGAGGTGTTTAGTGTTTGACTGAGGTGTTCAGTGTTTGACTCAGGTGGTCGCAGTGCTTGAAGTAGTTTGTTGGTGTGAACAGTGTGCAGTTTGTTATGTTAGATGTAGCATCATTAACATTAAACATGTCATTTAAGAACCCATATTCTCATTTATTAACGTTCATGTTCTGATTGTCTTGTTGTGTTCATTGAATCTTTTTCAGCTGATATCTTCCATTCCATCGACCATATTACAATACCCACCCACTCAAACACTCACTGGTTTGTCTGGTCCAGAATTGACCATGACCCTCTAGCTGAGATACAGCTGACACCTGTCACCACTCAGCCAATGACTCACTGGTTTGTCTGGTCAAGAACTGACCATGACCTCCAGCTGAAGTATGGCAGACACATGTCACCACTCAGCCAATCACTCACTGGTTTGTCTGGTCCAGACCTGACCATGGACTTCCAGCTGAAGTATGGCAGACACATGTCACCACTCACTCATTATTTATGTTTACAAGATTGTAAGTTCTGTTGTTTTGTCTCTACAAGACTCTCGGCCGCGGGTCAGACCGCGGGTACGATACCGAGGTGTGTGGATTGTCTAGTCTCTCTCACCTCTGTCATCACTTTTGTCTCTCCAGTGTCTCTCACATGTGTCTCACACCTCCCGCACATGTCTTGTATTCGCACACCGTTATATCTGGAATTTAGGAACTGTTTTTGTAGCTTGCTTTTTACAAATTAAGCTCTATGCTTTTTTATAAAAAACTCAAAAAATGATATTTCTATCCAATTTGGATAAAGTTTCTGGACTGGAAATGTCTATACATACTTGAAAACAGTATTTCAATTTGACCAGATTTTAGAAACAAGAGTTCAAGTCCTTACAAGATGTAGTACTAGTAGGACTAAAAACTGAGATTCAGTTTGACAATCAGGACCAACTGATCCATATATTTACCTCTGATTTTTGGTTTTAACTGCACAGTTTCAACCTCTTGTCTGACTCGACTCACCAGCTAGCCAGTGTGTAGCACATGGGTGAACAGGCTAGGTGCTTGCCTCACACCACCTTAGTCAGTCTACTCCTGTCTGTGTTGTGTTTGTAGCTGTCTGTGGTTTGCAGGGTCTCTGTGACCAGGGCTGGCCCCGGGTAGGGGCCGTGCTACGCCTTGATGTAACACTTTGTTCCTGTCTCTTCATGATGGAATTAGAGAAAGTCAGACTTTGACCAAGTGCTTGAAATAAAATTGTAAAACAAAATACCTAGTGGACAGGAACAAGAATCACTTAGCAGAGTTATCTCCCTTGTCTGGGAGTTTTGGGTGTAGCTGCGCAGCACTGTTTCAGAGATGCTGAGGGTCTGGATGGAGGGGTAACGAGTCAGAAGGCAGCAAGATGAGGGTCTTAAGTAAGCAGTAGTCATAAAACAAACTAAATGGGTTTTAAGTCTTATTTAGTCAGAACATATGCTTTTTTTCAAATTTGTTCAACAAATAAAAAAAGCTGAGCAGTATTGCATTATATTATATGAAACTTTTGTAATGTAATCTAGACTGGGGTTAAGGTTAGATATGGGCCCCAGGCAACCAAATGGATTGAGTGGTAAAGTTAAGTTCAATGTTTAATCACTAGCCAAGTTGACATTTGCCATCATGATGAGAATGAAGTGGTATATCGAGGACTAGCTGCAAGACACCTAGGTCCAATGATACGTTGTTAGTTTCCATGACTACTCAGTGAACTTATGTTGCTAGTTCCCATGACAACACTGAACATATGTTGCTAGTTTCCATGACAACCCTGTCAACATATGTTGCTAGTTTCCATGACAACTCGGTGAACATATGTTGTTAGTTTCCCAGACAACACTGTGAACATATGTTGTTAGTTTCCCAGAGAACACTGTGAACATATGTTGTTAGTTTCCATGACAACACTGTTAACATATGTTGCTAGTTTCCATGACAACACTGTGAACATATGTTGCTAGTTTCCATGACAACCCTGTCAACATATGTTGCTAGTTTCCATGACAACTCGGTGAACGTATGTTGTTAGTTTCCCAGACAACACTGTGAACATATGTTGCTAGTTTCCATGACAACACTGTGAACATATGTTGTTAGTTTCCATGACAACACTGTGACCGTATGTTGGTGTTTTCTCACAGACTCAGTAGAGATCCGCTGGTCTTATAACGTGCCAGGTAACATCTACAACCGTCAGGGAATGCTCCACTCTATAACTAACCAGTCTTTTCATTTCAGACAGCTAGTCACCAGTATTATAAGTATTGTGGAAAAACACCTGTGGTTTAAACAGATGTGTAGAATTGGGGCTCAGAAATCCGGTATTTGTTCTGGGGTTTAGCCTTGTAGTCATGGGCAGCGTGTTTGGGATAATGACTTTTTTTTATATAATAAATAATTTAGTGTGTGTTAGTCAAAAACATGAATATAAACTGATTTAAATTTGTATAAACAACTCTTTTTTCATGATATCTTAAATTGATGCTTTCGATTTAGAAATTTAAATTGTTTTATTTAGAAATTTAAGACCTAAAATCTGTATTTATAAGGAAATTCTCCCAGATCTGCTGCCTCATTTTGGCATTTTTAATAGGATCCTGGAGTCCTGAATCCTGGCCAGAGAAAATCTTTAGCTTCAGGCAATCTGCCCCAAACTTCTTGGTTGGTGTCAGTACATACATACACTTGGTCGAATATTTCAGCCAATTCTGAATATATTTTGCAAATTTGAACCATTGATAAATATTGAAAATCTAATTTTGTCTTAAACAGTTTCAGGGTTTTTCCACAATAATGTATAGATTATTTTTATTTTGTTTATTAAACAAATTAAGCAAGACGATTCTTAGATATGATTTGAGCATGGAGTGAAATAGGTAGTATCCGATACAATCCTGCAGATACATTAGTCCCTGCCTACACCTACATCAGTGGATGCCTAGTGTCCTGAACACTGCCTGTAGTGGCTGAGAGAGTTGGGACAGTGGGTAGTGTGTTGCTTCATCACACAACACCCTGGTTCCGTTCCTGTCATGGTCACTTGAGTCATTTAGCTGCATTATTGTACAGGTCCCCACATCTCCTGTCTTGTCATCAGTAGAACTACAGGTCCACACGTCTCCTTTCTTGTAATGAGTAGAACTACAGGTCCCCACATCTCCTTTCTTGTCATCAGTAGAACTACAGGTCCACACGTCTCCTTTCTTGTAATCAGTAGAACTACTGGTCCCCACGTCTCCTTTCTTGTCATCAGTAGAACTACAGGTCCACACGTCTCCTTTCTTGTCATCAGTAGAACTACAGGTCCCCACGTCTCCTTTCTTGTCATCAGTAGAACTACTGGTCCCCACGTCCCCTTTCTTGTAATCAGTAGAACAGTAGAACTACAGGTCCCCACGTCTCCTTTCTTGTAATCAGTAGAACTACAGGTCCCCACGTCTCCTTTCTTGTAATCAGTAGAACTACAGGTCCCCACATCCCCTTTCTTGTAATCAGTAGAACCACAGGTCCCCACGTCTCCTTTCTTGTAATCAGTAGAACTACAGGTCCCCACATCTCCTTTCTTGTCATCAGTAGAACTACAGGTCCCCACGTCCCCTTTCTTGTAATCAGTAGAACAGTAGAACTACAGGTCCCCACGTCTCCTTTCTTGTAATCAGTAGAACTACAGGTCCCCACATCTCCTTTCTTGTCATCAGTAGAACTACAGGTCCCCACGTCCCCTTTCTTGTAATCAGTAGAACAGTAGAACTACAGGTCCCCACATCTCCTTTCTTGTAATCAGTAGAACTACAGGTCCCCACGTCTCCTTTCTTGTAATCAGTAGAACTACAGGTCCCCACATCTCCTTTCTTGTCATCAGTAGAACTACAGGTCCCCACATCCCCTTTCTTGTAATCAGTAGAACAGTAGAACTACAGGTCCCCACATCTCCTTTCTTGTCATCAGTAGAACTACAGGTCCCCACGTCCCCTTTCTTGTAATCAGTAGAACAGTAGAACTACAGGTCCCCACATCTCCTTTCTTGTAATCAGTAGAACTACAGGTCCCCACGTCTCCTTTCTTGTAATGAGTAGAACTACAGGTCCCCACATCTCCTTTCTTGTCATCAGTAGAACTACAGGTCCCCACGTCTCCTTTCTTGTAATCAGTAGAACTACAGGTCCCCACATCTCCTTTCTTGTCATCAGTAGAACTACAGGTCCCCACATCTCCTTTCTTGTAATCAGTAGAACTACAGGTCCCCACGTCTCCTTTCTTGTCATCAGTAGAACTACAGGTCCCCACATCTCCTTTCTTGTAATCAGTAGAACTACAGGTCCCCACGTCTCCTTTCTTGTAATGAGTAGAACTACAGGTCCCCACATCCCCTTTCTTGTAATCAGTAGAACTACAGGTCCCCACATCTCCTTTCTTGTAATCAGTAGAACTACAGGTCCCCACGTCTCCTTTCTTGTCATCAGTAGAACTACAGGTCCCCACATCTCCTTTCTTGTAATCAGTAGAACTACAGGTCCCCACGTCTCCTTTCTTGTAATGAGTAGAACTACAGGTCCCCACGTCTCCTTTCTTGTCATCAGTAGAACTACAGGTCCCCACATCTCCTTTCTTGTAATCAGTAGAACTACTGGTCCCCACGTCCCCTTTCTTGTAATCAGTAGAACAGTAGAACTACAGGTCCCCACGTCTCCTTTCTTGTAATCAGTAGAACTACAGGTCCCCACATCTCCTTTCTTGTCATCAGTAGAACTACAGGTCCCCACGTCCCCTTTCTTGTAATCAGTAGAACAGTAGAACTACAGGTCCCCACATCTCCTTTCTTGTAATCAGTAGAACTACAGGTCCCCACGTCTCCTTTCTTGTGATCAGTAGAACTACAGGTCCCCACGTCTCCTTTCTTGTAATCAGTAGAACCACAGGTCCCCACATCCCCTTTCTTGTAATCAGTAGAACTACAAGAGTGAGGTCACTGTTTATAGTTACATGCAAGACCTTGTACATGTCTGTCACCATCTCGACACCATCTTGACACCATCTTGACACCATCTTGACACCATTGTTCAATACTGAAGCCTTGTCCTTGTCATCAACCTTCTTCTGTCTTTAGAATTACAAAGAGGGACATCATCAGATGCTTTGATGTGGAAGTAATTCTGTAGGTTTTGAGAACCAAGTTCATATGTTACAGTCAATGTGTAAAATCAGTCGTGTGAAATGGCTGAAATTTTAGCTTCGGCAATTCACAAGACGCCTAAATAATTCAGTCGTTTTACAAATTGACTAAAAATTCTGTCCATATAATTTATTATGATAACGAATTCCAAAGATTTTGATGTTGAAGTTCATCACCCAGTGAATATGACAGCGTAAAGAGAAAACGGAAGTCAGTGTATATTAGTTTTCATTGTTCCCTTATTAGTCTCCATGGTTATATAATGAGAACATCTTTCCCTTGAGGTGGTGGTGGGGTGGCCCAGTGGTTCAAGTGGTGGCCCATCATGCTGAAGCCCTGGGTTTGATTCCCTACATGGCTACAGTGTGGGTACTCCATACTCTCTGCCCCTACAGTCATACGGTTGAGGTGGTGGTAGGGTAGCCCAGTGGTTCAAGTGGTGGCCCATCATGCTGAAGCCCTGGGTTTGATTCCCTACATGGCTACAGTGTGGGTACTCCTTACTCTCTTCCCCTATAGTCTTACGCCCGAAATATTCCTAAAAAAGATATTAGACTGCAATCAGTCAGCACTGACCCCATAAAGATTCCCGATGACAGTTTAGATCCCTAATCCCAAAGAACCGACGAAATGAGGATTGGGTGGTCACAGTGTATGACTGTCTGATTCTGTGCACGACAATAAGGTTGTTGTTTATGCTGTCAACCACCGTTGTGCCCACCCTGTATTATCCACACAACATGTTGTGACTGTACTATTGGTGTTCACGACTCAAGAACATACCTCACACAGGACATAGTAGGCAGGTGACTGCATGGCCAACATTTAACCCCACACTGACCAGATGACATTCTCCAGCCCATAGGCGGAACATTCTGTTAGAAGAGCTAGAAATAATTCCCTTGCTAATCCTGTCAGGAATCCTCCCCCACAAGACTAAGTCCTCCCTCCTCCGCCCTAGACTCTCCCCCTGCATGGAGTGTTGCTGCTGGCATGAACAATCCGATGTTTTACTTTCCGATCAGATTAATGTCTCTCCACCTTGAGTTGATTCTGTTGGGTTATTGATGTGTGTAACTGTGTAACGTCTCCGATAACATCATGTGTGGTGCTGTTGAAGATTTAAGCTTGTCCTACATCTAATTACCAGTTTGAATAATGATAATGAATTTATTGAACCCTTTCATCACTTTAATTTCTGCAGTTTAACTTAACATCTACCTGAACGCCACTATCACCCAATCATAAATTTAAGTTTGATAAATTAACAGTCAGTAAAGATATTTAAGTGACAATTTAGTTTGTGTTACTTGAACCCAGATTTGTGATGGAATTTGAGATAAAGTTTCTGAAAAAAATTGAAAATAAGTTGAAACATTATAAATTTTATGATAATAAAATCTTGTCTCACATTCCAACCACTGGGTTTGTATTTGATTCCCAACATGCCTGTGATCTCCATGTTGTTGTAGTGTTGTTTCAGTGTTGTTCAATCGTTGTTGCAGGCACGGACTGGGTGGACCCCGATGACCCGACAGTCATCGCGGAGAACGAGCTCCTCAGCGCAGCCAACTCCATCGAGGCAGCGGCCAAGAAACTGGCCCAGCTGCGACCTCGACCTTCCGCCAAGGTGAGAAAGAGGCTTGTGTGTTGCCATGGCTTTGTGGTTCTCTAGACTGTGCTAGGTGTGTTAGTGTATCACAGCAATGTAGTTTCTATATATATCAGTCTTAGCCATGAACCAACTACTCCAAGCTTGTGTTTCAGCATTACTGTCAGTGTCTTGTAACCTTTGATAATAGGAGTTGTCATAACAGAGACTTCTTTGTCCCAAAATGAATTTTGCTAGACAAACGCATTGGACTAGTCACTATTAGGCAGTCTGGTAGAATCCTATTTCTATTCAATCCTGGGTCATCTTCATCTTGTGTATCTCTGTGATGTTACCTCCATAGTCTGAACAAAGATGCAGATGCACAATGCAGGGATCTGGGTCCTTTTTGGCTGCTGTAGCTGACTTTCAAAGTAATCTTTTGTAAGACTACTCCAGCAGGACTGTTGCAAACCATGTCACTGGTCCTCTGAGTTAGTGGCTAGTCCTGTTTGATTTATTCATAGTAAGCTCAAAGTATAGTGAAAATTGGAAGCCCTCAAATGTACCTTTTCATTAAGGACTGCAGGATTATTTGCTGTCCATATCACAGTATAGTTGTCTCTGGCTAACAGCCTAGCATGAATTTCGTCGGCTCTAGAGTATATTTTTCATCGAGGGACCTGCAGACTGTTGCACTTTTATCATTAGAGTACGGACAAGGCTCCCATGATGGCCATTCCTAATGTTCGAGCAATGCATCCATAGTTGTGGAGAAAGAAAACGAGAAATAGTTTTTAATATTAATCAAGACTATTGGCTTATATACAGATTCCAGTGAACATATTTTATTTAGGAACACTTCACTGTTATTTTCAACTTTTAAAAATTGAGAAATGAACTTGTGGTTGTCTGTGTTCAGGAAAGATGCTGACTGTGATGTCAATGTAGGCTGGGACTGATGTCCATGTTGTCCATGTTGTCCATGTTGCACTGTGTTGTGTGTGTAGTGGAGCGCCTGCTGTTGTAGATGCAGTCAGTCGTCCACCCTGCTTGGATTCATTGTGGTACATGGTCAACACCGCAAATGACAAACTCTGACATGCTCTGTATCATGTTCACCGTGGGGATGCTGGGTTAGAATGAGTCCTCCGTATCCTGTACCAGTAAGACACGACTAACTTGATTGGGGGGTCAGACACGGCTCATATGTGTCATCGTACCCTGAGATTGCTCATGATATCAATCACTGGTTGTCTGATCCAGAATGTCATCTGAAAATGTAGGGTCATTTTGAGAATAAATGTTATGTTTTTTTGTTTGTTGTTTAACGCCACACTCAGCAATATTCCAGCTGTATGACGGCAGTCTTGAAATAATCGAGTCTGGACCAGACAATCCAGTGATTGACATGAGCATCAATCCACACAATTAGGATACGATGACATGCATCAAACCAAGTCAGCAAGCCTGACCACCCGATCCTGTTAGTCGCCTCTTACGACAAGCATAGTCGCCTTTTACGGCAAGGATGGGTTGCTGAAGACCTATTCTATCTCGGATCTTCATGGGTCATATGTTTATCCTACTCTACTTATGATAGGGAAACCTTCCCATGATACCCAAATTGCTTCTCACAATATGTTAAGTGTATATTTAATATATGTGACATTACTGATTCTCACAATATGTTAAGTGTATATTTAATATATGTGACATAACTGATTCTCACAATATGTTAAGTGTATATTTAATATAAGTGACATTACTGATTCTCACAATATGTTAAGTGTATATTGAATATATGTGACATAACTGATTCTCACAATATGTTAAGTGTATATTTAATATATGTGACATAACTGATTCTCACAATATGTTAAGTGTATATTGAATATATGTGACATAACTGATTCTCACAATATGTTAAGTGTATATTTAATATATGTGACATAACTGATTCTCACAATATGTTAAGTGTATATTTAATATATGTGACATAACTGATTCTCACAATATGTTAAGTGTATATTGAATATATGTGACATAACTGATTCTCACAATATGTTAAGTATTCATTTAATATATCTGACATTTCCTTATCAAAAGTGGAGTCAATTTTAATAAAAAGATAAATTTGCAAACAAAATTTACTTAGTTCCAGCGTCTGGGTTAAATTGAACTTTGTCTGGAATGTGAATCTCACAGCTCTGGTTGTCTGGAGTCTGGAGTCTGGAGTTTGTTGTTTGCGTTGTTGACTGCAGCTTTCAGCTTCCGTTGTAACAACATCGTTTACGTCTTGTTCATCATGTTAAAGAAGCATGTAGTGTTTTTATGTAATCATCAAACTCAGGCCAATGTGAACAACATTACAAATTCTGAATATTAGAATGATTGAATTAAGATGGAATGGTGAATATGATTCAGTGTTGGAAATTAAGTTGGAATGCCACGGAGCCCTTTTCATTACCCTGAAGTGAACAAGTTAGGGACTGTCTAGATTATGATGTACCAGTTACTTCTCATCAAGGACCCCTGATCCCCTCTCCAGGGATTTATCTGAACCTGCTTATAGGCAGATATTGGGACCCAACTCTCCTGCAAATTGCAGTGAAGATATCCAATTTTTGTTAAAAATGTCCCAATACATGGACATTACAATTTAAAAAAATAAGAACAGTAACTACAACAATTTTGAACAATATCAACATTTTTTTCAAAAAATTCAGTAGTTGCCTGCTAAGGGTACTACTTTGTTTGGGATCCTTGGTAAATCACTTCCCATTAATTTCTAACACTGTAATTTTTATGACGTATAGACTCAAATGTTTTAATTTTCCAAACATCAGATCCTATAACTGAATGGTATTATAGAAAATATTCAGCTTGAATGTGTGTGGTCTATTTGTTATTTCTATTGTCCACCTATTGGCGGAGTGTTGCACTAGGAGCAGACAACTCTTTCCTGCAGTGTGTGCCTGTCTTTCTGCCCTCTAGTGAGTGACGTGTGCACCAGGGGTAGACAACCCTGTCTGTTCTCTGCCAGATATGTTTGATATATTTGGTGGTGAAATTGAAGCCACCAAGTATCAAACATGTCAAGGCAGAGGCGGGTATTTGCATCACCGTGGCAACGCTGCACCATCACCATAGCAACAGCTTCACCAACCATATTGTTTAGATGAACAGCCAATAGACTGCTTCCCACACCTTTGTTTCAGTTTAAGTATATCCTCCTTACTTCCATTCTAGATCAAAGCTTGTCTACATCTCAAGTGTAACAGGCTCAGCTGAGCTTCTAATTAAATGTCAACTATGACGGGCTGGCTAAAAAGATCGGTAATCAGAATTATCGTCAATTGGAATAAATATTGGATATGAAATTGTAGTCATCGATAAAAATTCACATCAACTAATGTGATTAGATAAAGTTTAGATTTACCGAAACAGACAATAATGTCAATTGTCAAAGACGGAAAGTAACCGTTCTTGTTATATCTCAGATGTCAACAAAGAGATCTATGCATAAATGTATCACTGCTCACCAGTGGCGGGAAATCTGTTGATTTTTATTCAAGACTTTCTTGGATATTTCCTTAATGTTCCTACTCTGATATTCTTTGATAACTGATCGATATTTAGTTAGCGATTATTGATTATCGATCTCTATGATCTGTATCAATAGCCAGCCCTAGCCACAACACAATATTGTTTGTTTATTATCAGTGATGTTTTTTGTAATGTTTTTGATGGAGTTGGGTGATCCAATAAACTAGAAACTATTTGTAATAAACTCCATGTCACATGCAATGCCTGCTTGTTACCAAAATACTTGTGAATGTTTCTGTAAACAAACATTTTACAGCTGTAGCTTTGTATTTGTAAATGAAATTAAATCTCAGACATTGATTAGTTTAAAACTGACATCATATCAATGAAATTATGACCCAATGTGTTCTGTATCGTGATTAACATCCTACAATCTGTATGTGTGGCTTGCTTTCACCAAAGGCTGTTGACTACGACAGACTGATTGCCATGTTGTATGATTTGGAATTGTGTCTGAGAGGCCTAAGCATGGTATTCTTCAGTTTCAGATGTGTGTAACCTTGCTTTCACAATGAACCTATTTCTAACAGTATCTCATATTTAAATTGTAGCAAGCAGATGAGAATCTCAACTTTGAGCAACAGATTCTTACTGCAGCCCAAGCCATCGCCGCGGCAACAGCAGCCTTAGTTAAATCTGCATCTGCTGCTCAAAGGGAGCTGGTAGCACAGGGCAAGGTAATAAAGGAAGATAACTCTCAACTTCATAAAGACTCCTTTGTCAGTTTAAGGCTGTTCATTTCATTGTCATACATTGATGGAGTAGATTTTTGCCCTGTCTATGTGACTGGTACATATTCAGGAATAACTTTGATCAGTTGTGCAGCATTGAAGCATGTTTGTGAGTGTGGATTATTTCCTGATTTTCTAGCTGTGTCTATGGTGGAAAGGTAATCTCCCATTGGAGTGCAGTGATGTGAGGCCAATGTTGAGTTAAGCAGGTATTACCTCGGAAGATTTGAAACATCAGACCTAGTTGTATTAGGATGTCATTCCTCTAACAGATGTCATTGTAAAGGAGAGGGACTATGTTGATGGGTTGATCTTCTGCCCACATCAAGACAGAGGTATATTGTCTTGATGGAAGGAGGCGGATCATTTTGTAATGGCTTCTATCAAATGTGATAGGACTGTCCAATAATCTACACTTCAAACCTCAACGTTGACCAATCAGAAAATCTGAAGTTCTATAAAGTACACCATTTTGTCCGACAACAAACCTGTCAACTTTTTTCAAAATGGTCGATGTTTGTCAGGTGAAGCTTCAGTTAAATGTTGATTTTTGATGTATTTCCCATCTTGTGTAGAAAAAATGAAAGATGGAAGAAAACTGAACCTACAGGTTTTCATGTATCTAGACATACACAATGTGGGCCAAACACATTTACATGGTTAAGTAAGGTGTGTAGAATGTCGATAACTTTTGAAGTGATCTGGTATGTATGCGTGTATACAGATGAATAAAACAGATGATGAAGTCTCCCCTGATGGCTGTATGTGTGTTGGGTGTGTGGTAACTGTCGCGATAGTCCTGAGCTGTGTCCCCCTCTGACTCGTGCTGTGTGTCTGCAGGTGGGATCAACACTCCACCGCCATGCTGTATGTGTGTTGGGTGTGTGGTAACTGTAGCAATAGTTTAACTGTCCTGAGCTGTGTCCCCCTCTGACTCGTGCTGTGTGTCTGCAGGTGGGATCAACCTTCCACTGCCATGCTGTATGTGTGTTGGGTGTGTGGTAACTGTAGCGATAGTTTAACTGTCCTGAGCTGTTATCCCCCTCTGACTTGTGCTGTGTGTCTGCAGGTGGGATCAACCTTCCATCGCCATGCTATGGACGAGGATGGACAGTGGTCCGAGGGCCTCATTTCCGCGGTAAGTTCCTGAGTGAAATCCAGGCATTGGATAAGGAAGAAGATCATTGCCTTTCTATTACTGACACCCCTACTCGACCACTTATAAATCTGGATGCTTTGTCACCTTCACAAAAAACTACTACTGTGGTTACCCAATTTTCTTTGGTTTTATAATCTTCTTTGCATCAGACATGTTAGATTTTGTTCTTAAAAAAATAAATATAATCATTGTGAAGTAATTAAAACAGTCCTAAAGAAAGTTTATGAAGTTGAACTACCAGATGATCTATCAAGTATTTAGGAATAGTTCTTGTTGGAGGCAAATTTGGAAGAGAATATTATTTTGCCTTAAATCAAAGAATTATTATAAAGCCCATTTTTCCTTTTAGCATTGCATTCCATGCAGGAAGGTGGTACTATGTTTAAAGCCTTGATGGACTCTCTTGATTCCAGGCTCGGATGGTTGCAGCCGCCACTCACAGTCTGTGTGAGGCGGCCAATGCCATGGTTCAAGGTCACGCCAGCGAGGAGAAGCTGATCGCGTCGGCCAAGGAGGTCGCAGGGTCAACAGCCCAGCTGCTCATGGCCTGCAAGGTGAAGGCCGACCCAGGCTCGGTGGCCATGCAGAGGCTGCAGGTACGTTTCATCAGTCTTAGACATGGAGGACTTACCCTGGTCCTTCCTACCTCCTGCTTGCAGATAGCGGGATTTGATGTGGTCCCTGAACTGGGGGCAGGAAGGTCCTCGGGGTCCCTATTGTTAGAAGACATGGTTAATGATGATTAGATGGGTGACTTGGGTGACTGTGTGTCATGTCATTATCACCATCTGTTTGCTTGGTTAAGACTCAGTTATTTACAGGCTTGAGTATTGCTGAGTGCGGCATTAACATCCAACTCATTGAATACGACTGCGTTGTGCAGGGCAGTAAGTAGACCCTCAGCCAAGGACCCTTGTAATAGTTAGTCATGTAGAATCCCCTCTTTTGGAAGGTTACATTGATGTGTTTGAGAGACAAGTGACATGTTTTTCTTCTCCAGTCTGCCGGCAATGCTGTGAAGAAGGCCACAGAGGCACTGGTGCGGGCAGCTCAGCAGGCCAAGGACTTCGTCGATGAGGGCACCAGCCTCACCGTCAACAAGAGGATGGTTGGCGGCATTGCACAGGTACGACACTGGCGGTAGTGAAAGGTCTTGCAAGTGTTCACCATGTGGGGAATTGTGACAGTCTTGGTAGAGCTGACTTTAATGGGTGGCCAGGCTCTGTGACTTAGACCCTCACTCCAGACAGTAGTAAATGTAGGCCTTTGTGACTTGGCCCAAGATTAGACCCTCAGTTCAGACAGTAGTCAATGCAGGCTCTGTGACTTGGCCCAAGGTTAGACCCTCAGTCCAGACAGTAGTCAATGCAGGCTCTGTGACTTGGCCCAAGATTAGACCCTCAGTTCAGACAGTAGTCAATGGAGGCTCTGTGACTTGGCCCAAGATTAGACCCTCAGTTCAGACAGTAGTCAATGGAGGCTCTGTGACTTGGCCCAAGATTAGACCCTTGGTCCAGACAGTAGTCAATACAGGCTCTGTGACTTGGCCCAAGATTAGACCTCAGTTCAGTCAGTAGTCAATGCAGGCTCTGTGACTTGGCCCAAGATTAGACCCTCAGTTCAGACAGTAGTCAATGGAGGCTCTGTGACTTGGCCCAAGATTAGACCCTTGGTCCAGACAGTAGTCAATACAGGCTCTGTGACTTGGCCCAAGGTTAGACCCTCAGTCCAGACAGTAGTCAATGCAGGCTCTGTGACTTGGCCCAAGATTAGACCCTCAGTTCAGACAGTAGTCAATGGAGGCTCTGTGACTTGGCCCAAGATTAGACCCTCAGTCCAGAAAGTAGAAAATGCAGGCTCTGTGACTTGGCCCAAGATTAGACCCTCAGTTCAGACTGTAGTCAATGTAGGCTCTGTGACTTGGCCCAAGATTAGACCCTCAGTTCAGACAGTAGTCAATGCAGGCTCTGTGACTTGGCCCAAGATTAGACCCTCAGTTCAGTCAGTAGTCAATGCAGGCTCTGTGACTTGGCCCAAGATTAGACCCTCAGTTCAGTCAGTAGTCAATGCAGGCTCTGTGACTTGGCCCAAGATTAGACCCTCAGTTCAGTCAGTAGTCAATGCAGGCTCTGTGACTTGGCCCAAGATTAGACCCTCAGTCTAGACAGTAGTCAATGGAGGCTCTGTGACTTGGCCCAAGATTAGACCCTCAGTCCAGACAGTAGTCAATGCAGGCTCTGTGACTTGGCCCAAGATTAGACCCTCAGTTCAGACAGTAGTCAATGGAGGCTCTGTGACTTGGCCCAAGATTAGACCCTTGGTCCAGACAGTAGTCAATACAGGCTCTGTGACTTGGCCCAAGATTAGACCTCAGTTCAGACAGTAGTCAATGCAGGCTCTGTGACTTGGCCCAAGATTAGACCCTCAGTCCAGACAGTAGTCAATTTTGACTCTGACAATATTTCACTCATACTTGGACAACTAATTGCTTCAGACTGGTAGGGGTCTTAAGCCATAAGTATTCTTTGTTGCAGGAAATCATGGCCCAGGAGGAGATCCTGCGGAAGGAGCGTGAGCTGACAGAGGCCCGCAGGAAGCTCGAGATCATCAGGAAGGAGAGATACAAGGACCGACCTCCAGAGGAATACGACTCCTCCTCCTCCTTCTAGACTAGCACCGAGTAGCACAGGCGGACTGACTGGAGCGAGTCCACGACAACATAGGGGGGACAGTGTGCAGCATGCAGGGCAGACAACCCATGCCCACAGATGCTGGGATCTCTGGATTGATAAGACTCTTCATCTCTGGCAGTTGTCTTCTGTCTACACACAGACTGAGTCAGGCTTGCTTTGTTAGTGTAGGCTACAAATGGCAGGTGTGTCGTGCAAGCATAGCGTGATGTGAGTGACCAAGGGGCATTGTTGACTGTGTGGCTGTGTGCTCAGCTTCTAGACGCTTGCTTTAGACAGTGGACAGATGACACTTGGATGTAGTAACACAGGTCTCCACTTCAACCAAGGACTGACAGATGAGGTCGACAGTGACTGCATGTCTACCACAAGGCTGTCCTCGTGTAGTGTAGATGATCACTGTTTTGATACCAAAGGACATATACTATCTCAATATAACTGAAAGCAATTTGTTTCTACCAACTATCAAATACATTGTCTGATATGCTTTTCCTCAATAGAAAACAAAATACTGTATGTCCATTCTTAAAAAATTGAACTTGATACTGTTGGTGATTGTTGATGATGAAGGTTCTCCCCGTCCTGGGCCCAGCCTGTATAGGTTCTTGCATGTAACGCTCGATCTGTCCGCCTCACTGCCGCCCAGCAACAGGGAGGTCTTGAAGCAAGGAACAAATGTGGGACAATTTTCACCATGCATTATCTGAAGATTGTCTCAAAGCCTTATTGAAGGTTGGGTTGGATTGTGGCTGCTTAGTGCTGGCTTGGTGATGTAGTGTGATAGTGTAGACTGTATATTTACATGCCGCTGCGATGGCGGCGGGGGAGCTTGGACCGTATCTTGTAGTCAACTTTGCTTTGTTTTGTTGATATATTTCACCAAGGTGCTAAACTAAACCACATCGGTTTATTCTGCCTGTCGAGTTGTCTCCCTTAGATGACGTGTACATAGACTGCAGCCATAGTGCTTTAAGTTACCAACTCATCCTCTCCGCAGACACACACGTCTGTGGATTTGGGGGCCAACATTGTCAGTTTCCCGATCAGTGTTGCATGCACGTGTTGGATAGACTGACGTTTCATTGAGTGAAATTATATTCTCAGTAAGATTAGTGTAATGTAATGTGATTAGATAAGTTGCTGCTGTCCCTATGTCAGTGTTGGAACTGATGTGATTCTCAACCTAACTGCAAGTCTTAAGGGAGGTTCTGACTATGGTTGACTCTCAAGTCAAGCCAAACTTGCTAGGACCAGTCCAGTTTCTTTCTTTTGTATAAACAATGTAAAACAATAGGGAAAATATGTTACATTTAAAATATGCCTTTTTTGACTTTCTTATCAAGACTTTTTTATATGTTAAATAACTAAATGTCCAACAAAGGTGACAGATGCCTCTTGTGTCATGGAAAATTGAACAAGAAAACAATTTTCCTGACTTTTCATAGGATTTATGTATTAAATGCGACCAAAATTGACAAAAGCGGCCATTTAGAGCAGAGTTGATAAGACTAGAGGGATGGCTTGTTTCTTAATACTGTCCTGCTAGTGGTATAACATCCCATATCAACACGCAGGTGGTGAATACTGTGACAATATTCCACATGAGTCTGCCGTCAGTGGATTACGATAGCCTTAGCGGAGCTGGTCCACTGTGTACCTAGTGGTATAACATCCCATATCAACACGCAGGTGGTGAATACTGTGACAATATTCCACATGAGTCTGCCATCAGTGGATTACGATAGCCTTAGCGGAGCTGGTCCACTGTGTACCTTGTGGTATAACGTCCCATATCAACACGCAGGTGGTGAATACTGTGACAATATTCCACATGAGTCTGCCGTCAGTGGATTACGATAGCCTTAGCGGAGCTGGTCCACTGTGTACCTAGTGGTATAACATCCCATATCAACACGCAGGTGGTGAATACTGTGACAATATTCCACATGAGTCTGCCATCAGTGGATTACGATAGCCTTAGCGGAGCTGGTCCACTGTGTACCTAGTGGTATTACATCCCATATCAACACGCAGGTGGTGAATACTGTGACAATATTCCACATGAGTCTGCCATCAGTGGATTACGATAGCCTTAGCGGAGCTGGTCCACTGTGTACCTAGTGGTATTACATCCCATATCAACACGCAGGTGGTGAATACTGTGACAATATTCCACATGAGTCTGCCATCAGTGGATTACGATAGCCTTAGCGGAGCTGGTCCACTGTGTACCTTGTGGTATAACGTCCCATATCAACACACAGGTGGTGAATACTGTGACTATATTTCACATGAGTCTGCCATCAGTGGATTACGATAGCCTTAGTGGAGCTGGTCCACTGTGTACCTAGTGGTATAACGTCCCATATCACCATACAGGTGGTGAATACTGTGACAATATTCCACATGAGTCTGCCATCAGTGGATTACGATAGCCTTAGCGGAGCTGGTCCACTGTGTACCTTGTGGTATAACGTCCAGATCAACACACGTGGTGAATACTGTGACAATATTCCACATGAGTCTGCCATCAGTGGTCCACTATGTAGCTTGTGATATTTATTTGACAAGTAAATGTAAACCCTGGTAGAGGTTGAGAGTGTGCTTTGGTTTTGCTTCCTATTTACAGTACTTCCTTGATACCCCCTGTAGGATGTGACATAACCCGAACACAGTATAGGGGCCACGTTAGTGTACATCTCAGTCCACCATAGCGGACATGTAATCACTTTGTCAAAAGCATAATACATAGATCTGATCAGCTAATCCACATTGCTGTCTTCCATTTAACACATCCTGGATGTCATCCTGTGTAACTGGGGTAGTGCATGGTAGGAAAACTATTCCCCCTCTATGGGTTTCTTTTTTCTAGCTTTCTATGCCGTTTTATTTATAAAATATTCTTTTCACAATTTCGAGATATTTTATGAATTTTTGTTTCACAATATGGTATGGTGACAAATGATGTTGAAAAAATATTATTTAGAATAATTTACAGATACTAAAGTGTATGTAGTCAGTTTGTAAAGGGAGGTAACTGTTGCATGACAAGGGGAGATAACCCTGGTTTTATCAGCTACATGCATATTATACATATCCCAGTATTTCCCCTGTAGGGGTATTGTATATTACTTTATTCTGTTCTATTTGTGTTATTGTGTACACCTCTATACAGACCTCCCACATCATGTCTCAGCCTCCACCTTCACTGGAGTAGCAGGCTAGATACACGCCCACCGTTACATGGAGCAGGATAATAGCAGCAAATACTTTCCAAACAAATATTGCCAATATTATCAGAGATAAAAAATGTGTTTCTTAAATTTCAGACTTTGAGAAAACTTTTTTCATTGAGTCGTCTTTCCGAAATTTATGATAATTCATTACATTCAAAGTTTGCTTATAACACTGAAAATATTAGAAGTCCATTGATGTGTCTTACCCCCTTGCCACACAGGGTTGGGTAATTGCTGCTACAGCCTTGTTGTAGCCTGTAGTTCTGTCACCCCAGTGAAGGTGTTAGTGAGATACGAGTGTTATGATACAGCTTATAGCATTATTGTGTATATTTCCCTGTATGTTTGTATATGCCTTTATATACATACACTGCACAGGCGCAGTTATCATAAACATGTTTATGGCGAATGTATATTTCATAATTCATAATAATAAATGTCATATCATCTATCAATAGAGTTGTGTTTTGTTTCACATGTTAAAGAGGGAGACAGATGACGTTGGGGTCTCTGATGCTGTAATTAGCTGTGAAGAGAAGAATCCCCGTCACCTGGTAAAGAACCTTACTTTGCCAGTGACATGCTCGATCTTGTCTGTTGTGTAACCTCAGTCTTTCCTCCCACATTAAGCTGACATACTAAAAGCCACTAAGCCACACCCACATGTTAAGGTTCACTGTGGAGACTCCTATAGGTGTTAAGGTTCACTGTGGAGACTCCTATAGGTGTTAAGGTTCACTGTGGAGACTCCTATAGGTGTTAAGGTTCACTGTGGAGACTCCTATAGGTGTTAAGGTTCACTGTGGAGACTCCTGTAGGCCATTTGTTTGTTGTTTTACGCCGCACTCGGCAATATTCCAGGTATATGACCGCGGCAGTTCTGTAAATAATCAGGTCTGGACCAGACAATTCAGTGAGTGACATCATGAGCATCGATCTACGCAATCCCAAAACCTCTTACTCGTTTCAGTATATTATGTAAAAATGGAAACAAAACAATGAACGTTGAACAAAACATTATCCATGGACTTATCAATTACGTTATTGTTGATATAAATGTGTTGAAATTATATTAATTAAAACATTGTTTCGAATACATATCATATGGGCACTTGTTCTTTTGTTACATACACTACAATGAGAAACGCCTACACGGGGACTACGCAGCAAGTCTGTAACGTTTCAAGTTTCCTTCATTACTACACTGCTACTATAGATCTACTTTAACTACAACTTGCCTCCGTGTGTCAATGCGAGTATATCTACTTTAACTACAACTTGCCTCCGTGTGTCAGTGCGAGTATATCTACTTTAACTACAACTTGCCTCCGTGTGTCAGGGGCGGTCGGGTAGCCTAGTTGTTAAAGCGTTCGCTCGTCCCGCCGAAGACCCGGGTTCGAATCCCGACATGGGTACAATGTGTGAAGCCCATTTCTGGTGTCCCCCGCCGTGATATTGCTTGAATATTGCTAAAAGCGGCGTTAAACCAAACTCACTCACTCACTCCGTGTGTCAAGGCGAGTATAGCTTCTTTAACTACAACTTGCCTCCGTGTGTCAATGCGAGGAACACTTGTCTCCTTAGTTCTCAGCTTTATGTTTACACAGGTAGTAATTAATTGTTGTACGTATACACTCATAGGATGAAGAACACTTGTTATTCGTCAATGAACAAGTCAAACAAATTTATACTGTCTGTACAATACCGTATTCTTGGACACCGCATGCGCACAGGAAAGCTGTTGAGTACAAACAGTCCCCATTAAAAGCTAATTCAATTTGTTTCACCATTAACTTTAAAGTAATTATTTATTTATTATGTTGTTTAATTTACCTAATTTCTCATATCAGTGACTGATTTTAAAGCGCATGTTTTTGTGGTACCAAGCCAGTGTCCGCAACCCTCGTGCATCATAATGCATGTTGCAACCTCGTGATGTACGTTATAACATTTCAGGGCACAACCATCATCTAATACACAACAGATGTTTCCTGGACATAGTATATATATATATGTCGGTTCCATGCCAAATACCGTCTTATACATGTTTCTAGTACATATTTCCACAAACATGACCGCTTAGCCTATATCAGGAATGCAGCCGTCAGCAGTTCATTATTATCTCACTAACTGTCTATACTATCAGCAAATAACAGGATTCTTAACAGCAAAAATGAACGATATACAACGGAATTTCCCCCATCTATCACAAAATGAGTCGACACTGACACCTGTGGGGCGGATGGGTAGCCTTGTGGTTAAAGCGTTCGCTCGTCACGCCGAAGACAGGGCTCGATTCCCCACATGGGTACCATGCCCATTTCTGGTGTCCCTTCCGTGATATTGCTGGAATATTTCTAAAAGCGGTGTAAAACCACACTCAATCAATCAGTAGGTACCTATTATCGACAGGGTGGGGTGGTGGTTCAAAGCGAAACGGACGACACGGTCTCTTGCCTTATAAATGCTGGGCGGCACATTTGATCTTGCCTCCAACCAGACATGTGGTAGAAGTAAACGATGATTAGTATGGCCTTGAAATAAACAAGATTCTTTCCTCTTGTCATTTTTCTGTCATGAGTTTTTTATGTTTGTGTGCCCAATGTATCCACAATTAACTACAAAAAATATATACAAGCTAGGTATTTGCCCATAGCAAATATTTATTTGCTTAATTGCATCAGTGCGGTTTATCGACACACGTATAACATTTATTCACGCATTATGACAGCGTCAGCAGGGATAATAGAGGACATCAGACTATATTTGCCATTCTGGCCAAACACAGACAGTGGCATAGGAAGATCTTACATAAATATATTCAAGTTACACGGCAGCAGGGTAGATTATTTACAATTTACAACAGCATACAGCAATACAGTGCATATATTGTGTTCAACGAAACAAAACGTTTTATAGATTTTTAACACTTATTTTTGCACTATTAAACAAACTGGAATATTAAGACATTTGGCTTATTGTGATAACATCTAGGTAACACATGATATCTCTCGCTGAGATCCATGAGCATAGCTATGGTGCGGTCAAACCTAAAAACATAATCAGGGCAGCCAGGGTTGACTTACCAGTGCCAGAAGTAAATTTATTCTTAGATATGTTAAAAGTAATTAACCCCATGACATATAGCTGAGAACTGTCTCTCGCATGATTATGGGTGATGATGTATGTGATAACATTACTTCAGAATGGCATTCACTCCAACGTTCTAACTGTCAATTGTCTGAACACGACCATAACTTTGGTTATATAAAGACTCCCTGTCTCTCTGAATTTAGTAGTTAATCGGGAACATTCATGAAACGGTAGTGCATTTTCTCAGCTTATTCGTCTATTGTTGCAAGCTTTACTGATTTCATTACGCAATAAAAACTCTAATTGATCATGAACTCCCAAGGCATTCAAACAACCGTATTGTTAGAAAATATACATGTCAAGTAAAGCAGCCATGTTACATGTAGTGATAATACATGCAAGCTGGTAATAATGTTGTCGCAATACAGCTGAAAACTGCCGGTGTGATGGAACATTTAAACTCACTCACAGACAATATTGATTTCGCGAGAGTGTAGAACAACTCTCCACTCGGAAAATATCTCAAACTGACATTCCCCCACATAGAATTTTCCCCATACTGAATATATAACTAGTTTATATTACAGTTTCATTTACAAACAGACAGACATATTATTCGTATGTTTTAGCCATGAGGCCAAGTGAGATTTCACCAAAAGTATGTACAGCGCGTCTGTTTAGTTATATGCAATTCTATACAGTTGTAGACAATTTACATTTATCTTTAAGACACTTAATTTAAAAAAATAACTAATCGTAAAGTAATGTTTGTATTTTGGGTTGGTTTGGATAATTAGGAATGTATTCCTTTTTTTCTTCTGCATACAAAGGGCATTCAAATAAAATATGAAATTCATCTGAAGTTTATTAAGGATCTTCGTAGTTGCGGAGAGGATAGGGATTGTAGATAGAACTCGGCTGCTTTACAGTTTGTTATGTTAGATGACCATTCTTGATAGTAAATGTCTTTACAACGATGTTCAAAAGGAGACCAAAATAGTTATTGGTTTCCACTGTACTCATTATTTACAATATCGTTTACAAGTTAATATCCGTATAATAAACAGTAAGGCAGTGTCTAACACATAAACTACAATTAATCTATCTTAACTACTTATTATACATAAACGTTTGAACACTAAAAAACAGACACTGAAGAAGAATAACATATATATGTACAATGGTTGTATCTGTCACATGATCACGACCACGAATCTTGCGCATAACATTTATCCTGACATTGTCTATTACATATGATAGTTAAGTTTGTGTTTGTTTGTTTGGTGTTTAACGCCGCCAATGTTCCAGTTTTATCACGACGATCTATAAATAGTCGAGTCTGGACCAGTCGTCTAAGGCGCTGTGCAGAGTTGCGTCCCTTGGGCATGCCAGAAACCTTGATTGTGGGTTCGAATCCTGGTTCGCCCCGATTATGTTTCTAGGTTTGTCAGCACCATACCCGTGCTCGTGGGTTTCACCGAAGTTGTAAACGTCTGAAACCAGCATCACTTCGGGCTTTCCTCCCACATTAAGCTGACACGTCGTGATATGACTGGAATACTGTTAAAAAAAGCGCTGTTAAACCCAACTCACTCATTCACTCACTAAAAACAAGTAAACAGTAATAATTAGACAAGCCGGGTATTTTCAGGGATGAGCGACTCTTTGCTGATTAGACAAAGTGGATATGTTGATGAGCACATTTTACTATTAACAGGAGTGCACAGAATTGAAACAAAAAGACATACATGTTTAAGTAGTCATTTATTTAGCTATCTTAGCACTTATGCGTGAGTAAGAAGACTGTAAACCTATACTATGCAGCACATATCCCCACAAGCATAATATTGTCATAGCAAGTCTTTTCATCAACAAGGCCAAAGTACCATAAATACATTATGAGATACTTCCGCTCTATTTAGGTTAGCGCATGCGCCAGAATCGAGGGACAAACATTGTCATTTGTCCCTCTTCCGCTCGTTGGAATCAAAGCACGTTTTAGGATATTTTAACACGATGCCACCTAAACACTGTGCTTATGGGATCTGCCGAAGTGACAGCCGCTATACGGATAGACTTGACATGGCAGGGATCCATTTTATTTTGTTTCCTAAGTTTTACAAGCAGCCTGTGAAGTGTGGAAGGTGAGTTCGCGCTTGTTGTCGAGAGGGCTTTACGACAGACAAGGTTAACAAGTACACCTACACATGTTCAAAGCACTTCATCGGCGGGAATGGTCCTTCAATTGACCATATAAATCCGATCAGGTACCTATTATGATTTGTGTTATTTTTCATTTATCGTCAGAAACTTCTATGTCGATACCATCACAGGCTAGAAGGTCAAATCAATGTTTAA